TGCCGAGCTTATAGAGACATACCCCAAGAGACTTGCAGCTGTAATTGCTGCAAAAGGTGGCTCTACAAGGTTAATAGTTATGCACGCTCAAGTTTTCTGTTTTTTTGTTTGTTTCACAATAAAAAATATTTTGCAGCTTCAAAAGGGTAGGCATGTTGTTTAAATCATATGATACAAACCCCCCCAAAATTCATCCATTTTAATTCCAGGTTGTAAGGCAACAAAATAGGAAAAATGCCAAGGGGGGTGAATACTTTCACAAGCTACTCTATCTAACAGACAGGATACATTGTGTGCTTACTGACGGAATTAAATCTAGTTTCCTCAAAATTACGAAAGGTGTGCCGCAACAGTCGATTTTGGGCCCTGCTCTCTTCACTATTTATCTAAATAATCTACACGGATGATATAGTTATTTACTCCGGTGCCCCATCAGTACAGCAGGCCATTCATGACCTTCAGCATTGTTTTGACTCAATTCAAAAATTGCTTACTGAACTTAAACTAGTGCTAAATGCTAATAAAACCAAATTTATGTTGTTCTCTATGTCTCGTAATATTGAACCTGAGGACCTGCATATTTGAAAAGAGCCCAAATTGAGCAACTTCCCCCTTTTAAGTACTTGGGTATTTGGATTGACGATAAGCTCTCTTTTACAACATACATTGAAAAACTGACAGAAAAGCTATGAATTAAGATTGGTTTATTTTATAGAAATAAATCCTGCCTCACTTTGGAAAGTAGAAATAAGATTGCTCAAGCAACGCTTCTCCCAGCACTTGATTATAGTGATATAATCTACATGCATGCAGCAGCCTCTGTTTTAAAACCTTTAGATTCAGTCTATCACTCAGCACTGTGTTTCATCACTGGGGACAATTTTCATACACACCAGTGTATTTTGTAGAGTTCTGTTGGCTGGGAGTCTCTGACTACAAGAAGGGCCCAGCATTGGCTGCTTTTTGTATATAAAGTGGTTCTTCAGATACTCCCCCACTACCTCAGCTCACGTATTAATTGGAGATCCAGCAATTTTCAGATCTGCTCTTTGGACTTTTAGTTTTTATGCTCCCAGCTCATGGAATAGCCTTCAGGACAACTTGAAATTAGACACACTGGTCTCCATTGGACAGTTTAGATCAAGTTTAAGGGACGTGATAGGTTTGTTTTGATTAATCTTGTTGTATTTATTGTATTGTATTGATATTATTATCTTACATTGTGTGTATTGAATAGTGTATGTTCATGTTCACATGGCTCCCTTGCAAATGAGACCATGATCTCAATGTTGACCCACCATGTATAAATAAAAGTAAAAAATAAAATTAAAAGTGAGGTATATACTGTATATAGCATACTGTATGTGATAAATATTACCCCACTACAAGACAGACAGACAGACGCACACAATCACGCACGCACACACACACCTTCAGGGTATGGCGCACAAGCCAGCTGTCTGGAAAAGGGAACATTTGAATGAAAACAGCAAATGTTAATGTAATCCTCCCCTCCAAAGCACTGCAGCGTCTTCCAGCTCAGGTTCCAGCTCCGTCCAGGAAGGAAGAGCACAGTCGACTCCAATAGGAGATTAGGTTTTGTGTATGTCCCAGAGCTAGGGCACAGCAGCTAGCCAGACGGCCAGAGCAGGGTCACTTTCCAGCGGAATTAGCCCCAGCCTGTCTCCTCTGCCCACCTCTCCTCTGCCCCCCTGCCTGCCTGACCCCCTGGCTTCCATTCTGTCTGGAGTTCAGCTGACCCCAATCTGAAATCTCCCATCCAGGTCCCCCATGCACGTGTGTATGCCCCACAGGTCACAGCAGGCCAGGGCTGTTGTCAAGACAGTTGTTTGTGAAATCAGAGCTCGCTCTCAAGCCCAATGAGTAGTAGTACATCTCTAAGCCGCCCACTGACTAAGAAATATGGTATTTTGGGCAGAGGTTGCTAAAGCAAGATTTTAGAGCTGCATCCTAATCCAGTCTAGGAGATTAACATCATGTATCATGGACTTGTGGTGAACAACAAACTGGGCACTTGGCATTACGGCCCTATCTTACAGTAACATGATCTTCCATAAATTCCCAAAGATGATAAGCCTGCCTGACCTCAATACCCTTGAACAAGGGGATAATATAGAGTTGTGGCTGTGTAGACATTAAAATGTTGGACTGACATGTACATTACAACCGGCAAAGGTAGTTCAAGTTACTTCATGTATGCCAAACTGAATAAAGGCTTCTGTCCGGCAGTTATTGTAATAGAGTGGCCCGGGTATTTTGACAAACAATAAGTCAGGGCTGCACTTCGATCATATGTGTGGGCAGGCTACCCTCGATGCTGGGAAAACAAACCTCGCCCCTGTGTCTAATAACTGTCTCACAATTACTGGGGGCAGTGATTTGATATTGATTGGATTTCACTGGAGCCCACAGACCTCCAAATTATTGTACCACAGGATGGGTACGAAAGCCACCTGTCCCCAGAGGCTCATGACCCTTTCCTTGCTGTATTATCTGCTATTATAGCTTTAGAGCTGCCTGTGTCTAGAATGCTGAATGGGGCCCTGTGTCAGGCAGCACATTGCGCCTCCCGATAAAGCCATTATTTCCACAAGTCCTCAGGGGCTTGTAGAGAACTATATAACTTATCCATCTATTCCTCTTTCTCTCTCTCTCTCTCTTTATCTCTCTCTCTCTTTATCTCTCTCTCTCTTTATCTCTCTCTCTCTTTATCTCTCTCTCTTTATCTCTCTCTCTCTTTATCTCTCTCTCTCTCTCTCTCTCTCTCTCTCTCTCTCTCTCTCCTCTCTCTCTATTCAATTCAAATTGCTTTATTGACATGACGTCACAATGTACATATTGCCAAAACATACTTTGGAAATTAAGTGATTCATTTACAATATTAAAATCATTACAATAATAATAATAATCAGGATTGTCAACAGGACAATCAGTAACAACTATAATTAAGGGTAAAAATAACCCTTCATTTATCCTATTGAGTGAAATCTTGTTTTGCAAGTGGGACCCCACACCTGTCTGCAATAAAGTGCAATTGGTTCAATGACATATTCAATTAATTTGAGCCAAAGTTTCAGACGGATTTCAATTTGGAATTTGTTTTTTAATGGCGTAGAATGCCCTGCGTGCTTTCTCTCTCAGTTCATTCACTGCCTCATTTACTGTAGGTGTCCAGTTGAGCTTATTTTTAAACCTAAGTAATAATTATTTTGGGGTTTGCTGGCAGGGTCCAGATCTGGCAGTACTGTTCTAGCAGGTCCAGGCTCTGATGTAGGCCATGTGCTGTCGGTGACAGCAGGCACAGGTCATCTACGAAGAGCAGCTATTTAACCTCTGAATTGTGGAGACTAATACCAGGGACTGAGGATTTTTCTAGAATAGTGGCCAATTCGTTGATGTAAATATTGAAAAGTGCCAGGCTGAGATTTGCAACCCTAGCAAAGGCCCCGGCCCTGGTTAAAGAATGATGTCCTTTTCTTGCCAATTTTGATGCCACACGTATTGCCAGTATTGATTTAATTATGTCATATGTTTTACCCCCATACCACTTTCAATAACTTTGTAGAACAGCCCTGTATGCCAAATAAAATCAAATGCTTTTTGGAAGCATAAATGTTAGTCTTATTTTGGTGGACATGTTTATCTATCAGGGTGTGCAGGGTCTAAATATGAGCGGTTGTGCAATGTTTTGGTATAAGTCCAAATTTGATTTTACTCAAGAGCACTATTGTGCTTATTAAGGAAGTTTAGAACTCTTACATGTACACTGAGTTTACAAAACATTAAGGACACCTGCTCTTTCCATGACATAGTCTGAACAGGTGAATCAAGGTGAAAGCTATGATCCCTTGTTGATGTCACTTGTTAAATCCACTTCAATCAGTGTAGATGAAGAGTAGGAGACAGGTTAAAGAAGGATTTTTAAGCCTTGAGACAATTGAGACATGGATTGTGTATGTGTGCCATTCAGAGTGTGAATAATATCTCCCGAGTGGCGCAGTGGTCTAAGGCACTGCATTGCAGTGTTAGCTGTGCCACTAGAGATCCTGGTTCGAATCCAGGCTCTGTCGTAGCTGGCCGTGACCGGGAGACCCATGGGGCGGCGCACAATTGGCCAAGCGTCGTCCAGGGTAGGGGAGGGAATGGCCGGCAGGGATGTAGCTCAGTTGGTAGAGCATGGCGTTTGCAACGCCAGGGTTGTGGGTTCGATTCCCACGGGGGGCCAGTATGAAAAATATAATGTCGCTCTGGCGTCCGCTAAATGACTAAAATGTAAATGTAATAAGCAAGACAAAAGATTTAAGTGCCTTTGAATGGGGTATGGTAGTAGGTGCCAGGCGCACCGGTTTGTGTCAAGAACTGCCACTCTTCTGGGTTTTTCACACTCAACAGTTTCCCGTGGGTATCAACAATGGTCCACCACCCAAAGGACATCCAGCCATCTTGACACAACTGTGGGAAGCATTGGAGTCAACATGGGGCAGCATCCCTGTAGAATGCTTTCGACACCTTGTAGAGTCCATGCCCTGACGAATTGAGACTGTTCTGAAGGAAAGGGGGAGGGGAGGGGGATGCAACTTCAATTTTAGGAAGGTGTTCCTAATGTTTTGTATACTCAGTGTGTAACACTACATAAAACCAGGTTACTGTTTACACAAATGCCTCGGTAATTGTTAGGGTCAAATTTGTCTCCATTCTTAAAGATTTGGATCCTTGGTCCTCTCTCTTTTTTCCCTGACCTATCTTGTGGGTCATTAACTGTGCAATGAATTGTGTAGAGCTTTGTGATAGTAATTAAGACCTCTGCCTCAGAAGGAGGATAGTTTGATTTGATGCAAATGCCTCTTAACATTTTTGAAATGCTTCAAAACGAATGCCAAAGCTTCATTCAATTGTATAAAGGATAACAGCAATCAAATTTGTCTCAATATTTATTCCTCCAAGCTATCTCACTTATTTGTTTTTATTCTACTTCCCAGGTCCTGATCGAAGCAACTGTTTCCAGGGAGCGGCGAGGCTACATTGCCATGGATGACATCATGCTCCTGACCTATCCCTGTTGTGAGTACCATCACCGATGTAGAAGAGGAGGGAGGTGGTTGGGGATTAAGGAGCAGTATAAAATAGAAAAGGTAGAGACTGATACTGTATAGAGAGTGAAATGTAGAGAATTACGTCCATACGATAAAGTGGAGGAGAACGCTAATGGAAGCTTGACCTTTTCATTGGATGATTGCCCTGAGGCCTCTCTCGGCAATGGGGGTCCAGGTTTTATGTGAATGACATTTGCCCAAAACACTCACCATATACACTTGCCTCTTCAGCTCCAGCCACTTTTTAGGAACATTCTCTAGACTGAAACGGTAAAATGTGTATTTTGCAAAAGCTGTTCCTCTAGGAGAAGACCTGTGGTGGTTTTGTCACTAGGTGGTTTCCCCCTGCTGTTATACAGTGGTTAAGGCTGTCTGTGTGTGCACGGTGTACCTGGGATAACACAGGCTTAGTGTGCTATCAGTCCTAGAGGAGTAGAAAAGTCCTTGGAAAAGCAGTAATGACAGTGGCTAACACCCCTGAGCTTAAACCCTGGACAAAGCTTCTCTCTCCCTGTGACATGTTTGCTCCCCGACATACTGCTGATCAACAATGATCTGCCAGCTCACTAATTTGGATTTCGGTTAACAGCTTTAGTCCAGTTAGAATACTCCTCAGCATCCCCCTTCCAACTCCTCAGATGATCCTGCAGGTGAAGAAGCAGGATGTGGAGGTCCTGGGCTGGAGTGGTTACACGTGGTCTGCGGTTGTGAGGCCGGTTGGATGTACTGCCAAATTCTCTAAAACGACGTTGGAGGAGGCTTATGGTAGAGAAATGAACAGTCAATTCTCTGGCAACAGCTCTGGTGGACATTCCTGCAGTCAGCATGCCAATTGCACACTCCCTCAAAACTTGAGACATCTGTGGCATTGTGTTGTGTGTCAAAACTGCACATTTTAGAGTGGCCTTTTATTGTCCCCAGCACAATGTGCACCTGTGTAATGATCATGCTGTTTAATCAGCTTCTTGATATGTCACACCAGTCAGGTGGATGGATTATCTTGGTAAAGGAAAAATGCTCACTAACAGGGATGTAAACAGATTTGTGCACATCATTTTTGAGAAATAAGCTTTTTGTGCATATAGAAAATTTCAGGGATCTTTTATTTCAGCTCATTAAAAATGTTACCAACACTTTACATGTTGCGTTTATATGTTTGTTCAGTATAGTTTCTACTGTATGGTTTTATAGACACCACATGCCATGGAGACCAGAAGTGATTTAAATCAGAGATGCTGACTGTGGTTCCCCGTGTCTCCAAAGGAGAGCAGATGGTATCTTCTACACACCCTCAGTGCTACCATTAAATAATTAAGACTGTCATCAGGACCTGGGCACAGTACTGTCTATGGTGGCACACTGCCAGCCTGCACCATTTGTCACAGGGAAAGGAGACAAAAGCAAAGAGAAAAAAAATCAACGAAAGGAATATGAAGGGGGAAAAAATAAGAAAAGCCACCAAGCTCCTTCCTTCTTGCAAATTCCGGTTGAAACTGCTAAGCACGCTTGACATTTCTGTTGTATTCTCCATAGTCCTAGTCTTTGACTCTGAAACCGGTGTTGCAGTCAAATGAAATATGTATCATGGTGAAGAGTCCCTGGGATGCAATCTGACACATTTACACTACCAAGTTATTTAGTCAACAGAAGGACCTGTTTTTTTTAATCACATTCATTTTTGTGTTTGTTTATGCTGGCTTATAGCTACGATGAATTATGAATTAACTTTAGACGGGGGAGTTGTCCATGGGAAACATGACCACCTGTGGACTACAAACGCAAGAGGCATCCCCGCCTCTCCCCCCTGCATATTTACACAAAGTAGATCAACAACTTGTCTCTCTCTGCCAGAAAGCAACAGTATAATGAAACATTGAACATGGAAGAGCAGGACTTGAAACATCATTCGCCTCTCTCTTTCTGATTTCACTACTACTCCACCACTGGGGTTGCTACGGTAACGTCTCCTGCCTGTCAATCACTTTGATTGACAGGTTGGGTTGTCCTCCATTTTGTGGCGATGAGAGCCTGTGCTGGAGGCTCTAACCCAGTGCTTAGGCTCTGCGGGAAGTCCGTCTCATAGAGCTGTGGAGGAGCAGGAGAGCTCCAGTGTTAATCACAGTGTAGCTGGGTGGGAGGGCTGCTGCTGCACCCATACTCTGACTCACTGCGGCGCTCAATGCATCAAGCTGGGTTCTTATCAGAAGAGTGCTGCTTGTTCTTCATCAGCAACAATGTTATTGAGCCTGATTTCTGAGTTCTCTGGGGTCTGGGGATCTGGCTGAAGGATGTTTACCTAACTTCCAATGACGCCCGTGTTATGGCCTATTGCCACGGTGAAGGGTTGTCGAGAATAGTAGCTGCCAGCAATTAATTTCTAAGTTGTGTATTGGATGACTTCTCTTTGTGGGTTTATTGTAGGACAATAAATGGAGAGAACAAGCAATATGTCAATGAGTCCTTCTCCAACCAGCTGTGAGGTCCTTCATGGGAGAAAATGAGTCTATGATTCGTATCTAATTAAACATGAAAGTTTGAATTACGTTGTTGTATAATGTGAAAAGCTGCCGATGGTGACATTTCATACTTTCACAGTCATACACATCTCTCACTCTGGCAATGAAGCTGGAACAAAGTTCCGATTTCTGATCATTTACTGCAGCTCTTTAGAAATCACAAAATGTATTATAGCTGCATAGCCCTCGAACTGAAGGACATGGGCGTTTTGCCACACATAACAACTTCGTAAAATGTATTTGAAAATAAAAGCATTTCTTTTGTTGGTCTGGCTGGCTGGCATTGTGATTGGCTGACTGTCACGGCACAGCAGTCCTTTGATCTCTGCTCTCTCGCTCTGTTCCTACAGATAAGGCGCCCCACTTCTCCCGGCTGGGGGATGAGGAGGTCAATGCTGGGCAGAATGCCACCTTCCAATGTGTGGCATCGGGCCGGGCATCGGAAGCTGAGAAGTTCCTACTGGAGGTCAGTGGGGATTTGGGTGCACACCTGTAGTATTTATTTTCTCTCAAATACTTTTGAGAGTTTGATTGAGCCTGTCTGGAGTGCCAGGTAGGTGGGTTTGCACTTTTGGGTTCATTTTCAACTATTCAATTGGTTCCATTACGCCAGGCAATCTCAATCAAGCGCAGCTGAAGTATTTGAAAGAAACCAAGTACTATTTGAATGAAGGTCTTTTTGGGAATAACAACATTTTTTAGTTCTACTTGAAGTGTATTTGTAGTCACGCCATTAAAGAGGGAACCTTGAAACGATGGGTCAGTGTCTTTGAATTATAAACATGCTTGTGTTAGTATTCAAATTCAGCAGAGCATTGGGGAAAGTTGTAATGCTACGCTCCAGCCTTGAAGACTCTCCAGACCAGCACCTTTGAAAATATAGTTTGCTCATGAAATCACAGCGCTCTGCTTTCTTCACAGCCTTCTTCCTTTATCCAAAATAGAGGGCTCTGTTTTTAATATCCCTTTTCACACTTGAATGCTTTATTCATGCAACTTCCATCCCTCTGAAGGTCAGGAAGGCCACTAGAGTGTATTTCTGAGTGAATAACATTCATTGGTTTTAAAAACCTCACGTATGCAGGCCTGATGGAAGGTTTCAAAGAGCATTGTGATAGTCTTTTGTTTTCCAGCCTGTCTCTCACAGCAATGACCAGGCAGCCACACATCCACGACTCCTACCACCACCTCTTACAGTATGTGTTAATTACACCATGCAAGCCTTGAGGCGGAAGGCACAACATCGTCTTCAACTTTGAGACCTCAAAGTTCAAGAATTCTAACATCAGAGTGAGAATTATATCAAACAAACCATTTTGTCACATCACAAGGACAAGGACAGATGCCTCTAGTAGGGAGCTGTCATAACAGCACTAGCATTCACAATACCAAACGTCCTCAAGGCCCTTCGAAGCCTGCCTTCCCCAAACAGCATGGGGAGATACATGACTGGGTGTCACGGCTGCCATTTTAGATGAGGTTGCTTCCCTTCCCTGTTGTGTTGTTATTTTCTTTTGATTGTTGCATCTGCTGTGTTTACCAGCAGGGACCCAGTCTCACCAACTCCTGCCAGACTAAACAGATCATTTTGTTAGTGTTCTCAGTAATTCCCTCCAGCCTGATTGTTTACATAATCCGTCTCATGCTTATTTGATAAACCTGATTTCCCTAATATCCTTTCGTGGAGGGAGAAAAAAACAAAACAGATAAAAGAAGTAAGCCGAGGGCAGAGGCCACTGAAGTCTATGATTGAGGGTTTGGTTTGGTTTTGGTATGACCACCAGACCAGACTGGTTGCCACTGCTTGACCCTAATTAGAGTTTGTGTGTTTGTGTGTTTACTTGTGAAAGCTGGGGCTTGTGTGGTCTGCGGCTTTCGGGACTTTACAAACATACACACACGTCCACTGTGGCTTTGGACAGCACAAAGACTTACATACGTCCAGTCATCCAAGCAAACGGAGAAGGGGCCTAGCTCATCCCCGGGCCTATGTGTTCTCTGAGACTGAGCCCGTTTACTCACCAGTTGTTTTTCAAGAAAGAGAGAGGAGGAATGTGTTGATAGGCAAGCCTGCTATTTCACACACTGAGGAATGCCTTGGCCTAAACGTTAGACTAATGTTAGGCTCAAGGTTGCCTGTTGTTGAGACTATAGGCTTGAAGGATACTTGGTGGTGATAATGGAATAGAACAATGTGAGAAATGCCTTGAAGGGTTCAGTGGTATACCTCCTTTCATTCAACAACATCTCTACTGCAGCTTTCTTTCCCAGCACCGGTACTCTCTTTTGTTTTTGTAATTTTTTCTCCTGCGCTCTCTCTCTACCTTTGTCATGCCCACTCCTTCTCCGTGATATATTCTGGCTTTGAAGAGTCATTTTCTCTGTTTAGTTCCCTTTTGCTCTGTACCAAAAAATGAAAGCTTACCCCCCTGCTATTCATCTGCAAGACTACACATTAGAGTGACTAAAGGGTGAAACATTAAGTCCATCAGGCATGCACTTATAGCTACGCATGTGGACTTAAATGTATTGGCTCCATAGCCGTTTGTAGGACTGTGTGAGTGCTGGGTGGTGAAACCACCCTATATTGCTGTGGACACTAAAGAGGACTGACTACCGGCGCCTGCGCTGATTTAACTGATGGCCCTCATGACCAATATTGCTCTCATAATCGTTATTATCTTAACGAGATTTCATTTGTTTGTATTAAAGGATAGCTGATTGTCATTTTACATGTTTAAATCAGAGGGGATGACCCCTGCCATTCTAATATAATTGCATGCTGCTGGACAATCATCCTTTTTTAATCACTCAACTCAAATGGCCTATTTAGCAATAATTGAAACATATTTAGTTATGATGTTGTTAGCTGAGTGTCATGGCTCCACCAAGGGAACAATAATCTTACTATGCAGACTGCCTCAAATATGGCACTCCATTTAGCTGGTTTAAGAAGATGGAGCATACACAAATGTTGTGGATGTTGTTTCAAAGCCTAACACAACGAAATGGACAGCGCTTTTTAAGGTGATGATTCATTCAAAACACCCATACACATACTAGAGCTTATGCATATGCATAGGCCTATAAACATTAGGAACATGGGCATTGACTCTCCAAGGTGTCGAAAGCGTTCCACAGGAATGCTGGACCATGTTGAATCCAATGTTTCCCACAGTTGTGTCAAGTTGGCTGGATGTCCTTTGGGTGTTGGACCATTTTTGATACACACGGGAAACTGTTGAGCTTGAGAAACCCAGCAGCATTGCAGTTCTTGACATGAACTGGTGCGCCTGGTACCTACTACCATACTATCTTGCCCATTCATTCACCCTCTGAATAGCACACAAACGCAATCCATGTTTCAAGGCGTAACAATCTTTCTTTAACCTGTCTCCTCCCCTTCATATATACTGATTGAAGTGGATTTAACAAGTGACATCAATAATGGATCATAGCTTTCACCTGGATTCACCTGGTCAGTTTTATTTTTATTTTTTATAATTAATAGGCTGAAACATTTCCTTTAGCTACAGGATATCTCACCACTGCGCATTTCCATCTCCTCCTCTCTCTCCTTTCTAGAGTGCGCAGAGAGAGGGGCTGTCAAGAATGTAATAAAATATGTTTAGTTGTGAAAACATGTTACTATCGATGTTCCCAAACAGATTTCACTTGGTTTCCCAAATTAAGCACTGGGTAGCTGCAGGAACAGGGTTGGAGAGCCCATGGCATACAGAGTTTGGGCAGAATATCACCTGTTGGCTGCAAGGCTGCATGCTCCTCAATCGGTGCGTGGAGTGAAATAAGTGTTCTTATACTGAACAAAGATATAAACGCAACAATTTCAAAGATTTTACTGAGCTACAAGGAATCAGTCAATTGAAATTAATTATGTAGGCCCTAATCTATGGATTTCACATGACTGGGAATACAGATATGCATCTGTTGGTCACAGATACAGTTGAAGTCGGAAGTTTACATGCACTTAGGTTGGAGTCATTAAAACTCGTTTTTCAACCACTCCACAAATTTCTTGTTAACAAACTATAGTTTTGGCAAGTCTGTTAGGACATCTACTTTGTGTATGACACAAGTAATTTTTCCAACAATTGTTTACAGACAGATTATTTCACTTATAATTCACTGTATCACAATTCCAGTGGTGTCAGTAAGCAGGGGGACACGTCTGGCACTGCAGGATTTGAGTCCCTGGCGGCGTAGTGTGTTACTGATGGTAGGCTTTGTTACTTTGGTCCCAGCTCTCTGTAGGTCATTCACTAGGTCCCCCCGTGTGGTTCTGGGATTTTTGTTCACCGTTCTTGTGATCATTTTGACCCCATGGCTTTATAAGCTTCTGATAGGCTAATTGACATCATTTGAGTCAATTGGAGGTGTACCTGTGGATGTATTTCAAGGCCTACCTTAAACTCAGTGCCTCTTTGCTTGACATCATGGGAAATAAGAATTTGTTCGTATTTCTTTATATGTTTTATTTAACCTTTATTTAACTAGGCAAGTCAGTTAAGAACAAATTCTTATTTACAATGACGCCCTACACCGGCCAAACCCGGACGAGGCTGGGCCAATTGTGTGCCGCCCTATGGGACTCCCAATCACGGCCGGTTGTGATACAGCCTGGAATCGAACCAGGGGGTCTGTAGTGACGCCTCAAGCACTGAGATGCAGTGCCTTAGACCACTGTGCCACTCGTTAAATACACTTGCCTAGTTAAATACAAGTAAAAATAAATAACAAATAAAAATACATTTCTGCAAGTCAGCATGCCAATTGTACATTCCCTCAAAACTTGAGACATCTCTGGCATTGTGTTGTGTGACAAAACTGCACATTTTAGAGTGCCTTTTATTGTCCCCAACCCAAGGTGCACCTGTGTAATGATCATGCTGTTTAATCAACTTCTTGATATGCCACACCTGTCAAGCATTTTTTGCATTAGGAACATTTCTGGGATCTTTTATTTCAGCTCATGAAACATGGGACCAACACTTTACATGTTGTATTTATAGTTTTGTTCAGCATATAAACCTGGACATTTCTATATTCAATCCCGTTTGAAAGCAGAGTTTTGATGGTTGCCCTTAAAAAGAGGAGGATCCCAAATGCAACTATATTTATTTCTCAGCTGCTCATATTAACCACCTGCTCTACTATAAAACCAGAGTAGTAGCTTACCCGGCATGATTGAAAAACTAACTGTGGGAATGTTGCCTCCATTCTCTATTTGAGTGCATACGGATGACATGTCTTTTTACTCCTGCCGCTGTTCCTGCCCATTTGATAATGAGCCATTCTAAATTGAAACTAATTTGACATAGTATTAAAGACAAGATTAAATTGAGAATAGTCTGATGGGTGAAAATATGATCACTTGATGAGAGAACAGCGTGCACACGTATGAGCAACCTGAGGCAAGGAACAGAGCAAGCTTTTTTGTGTGACTTTCTCAAATCATTAATAGCCTATAGTCATCATGCAGCCCATATATGTTTTAATTTGTAAGACATTCTAAGGTTTGTATCATTCACAACTAAAGTTGCCAAAAAATCTAAATGTAGCGTATAGGACCTGTTTCAAATGATCACTTTTACGCTCAACATAACCACTTCATATGCACACTTGGTCCGGAAAGGAATTATATTATTCTTACTATAAAATCATATAAAATAAAATAATGGCACAGGGCTATTTTGTCTGCTAAATTAACTAGCCTACTGCCTATGACATGGCACAAAAATACATTTTCTTCATATCATTAGGTTTCTTTAGAGCTGCCTGAAAAAATAATGGATTTATTGTGATAGTGTATATTAAATGGATGCAGTAGATGCAGTTATTTGCATGAAAATAACCGGCTGACAAAATGTCATGACTGCTACAGCGCTACCCTTGCTCTGCAAAGGCCACGGCTTTTGTGGAGCAATAGGTAACGATGCTTCGTGGGAGGCAGTTGTTGATATGTTCAGAGGGTCCCCTGGGTTGAGCCCGGTTGGGGCAAGGAGAGGGACATAAGCATACTGTTGTTACAATTGGATAACTCATTTGGCCCTGCCCAGCGCTGGGGTTGCTGTGAGAAGAAGGTTGTCAAAGGGCGGCAGGTACTTAGTGGGTAAGAGGCGTTTTGTTGCCAGTACCGAAAGGGTCGCAGGTTCTAATCCCCGACCGACTAGGTGAAACATCTGTCGATGTGCCCTTGAGCAAGGCACTTAACGCTAATTGCTTCTGTAATCGCTCTGGATAAGCGCTGCTAAATGACTAAAAATGTAAAAATGTAATGTAAAAGGGGGTAAGTGTAACGGTGTGAAATGGCTAGTTCGATAGCGGTGCATGGTAATAGTGTTTCAGTTGGTGACGTCACTTGCTCTGAGACCTTGAAGTATTTGTTTCCCTTGCTCTGCAAAGGCTGTGGCTTTTGTGGAGCGATACGTAACGATGCTTCATGGGAGGCAGTTGTTGATGTGGTTCGAGCCCAGCTTGGGGCAAGGAGAGGGACATAAGCAATACTGTTACATTTGTGTCTGTGTGCAAGCATGTGTTTGTATCTGACCCATCCTGTTTTCTCTGTCCCCTCTCTCCAGAGGAACAGTGGGGACGTGACATCTACAGCCTTGGTCAAGCACCTGAGTCACCGGCGCTTTGTGGCGTCATTCCAGGTGGACAGTGTGCAGCGCACCGACCAGGACCTGTACCGCTGTGTCACCCAGTCCTCCAGGGGCTCTGGGGTCTCCAACTTCGCTGAGCTCATCGTCAAAGGTAAATACGCCCGCCATCAGTCAGTGGGACGAGACTACTAGGTTATGGATCTCTCAATATGCTGTACTGTAGGTCTATGAACCAAGGGAGAACTGAATAAAACTGGTTTAGTCATGTTACTTTGTGTTAGCAATAGCAGAAAATGGTGTAAATGAACATTTACATAATCCGTAATCAATTTACACATCCCACACACTTGTCAGCTGTGGCATAATTCAATCAGCACATGGAAGTGCTTGATTGATATTATCATATAGACTATGATGCATGTGGTATCGTAAGCAAAGCACATCCTTCGAATACAATAATTGTAACTCCAAATATGTATGTGGACACTATAAATAAACATAAAATAATAACAAAATATGTTTTATTGTCACATACGATGAAAAGGTTAAGTGCCTTGCTCAAGGACACATCGGCAGACGCTCTAACCACTAGGATACCTGCTGCCCATAGCTCTACATTCAATGAAGAAATACAACCTATCTGTGTTAATATCTTGGGACTGGCAGTGTCACCAAGGGATGAGTAATGTGTTTGTTTTAATTGACTGTGTTTTGTATCTTAATGTGTATTTAATGTGTATATTGTCTATATTTATGTTTGCCTGATGTACAGTTGAAGTCGAAAGTTTACATACACTTAGGTTGGAGTCATTAAAACTCGTTTTTCAACCACTCCACACATTTCTTGTTAACAAACTATAGTTTTGGCAAGTCTGTTAGGCAAGTCTGTTTACATACACTAAGTTGACTGTGCCTTTAAACAGCTTGGAAAATTCCAGAAAATGATGTCATGGCTTTAGAAGCTTCTGATAGGCTAATTGACATCATTTGAGTCAATTGGAGGTGTACCTGTGGATGTATTTCAAGGCCTACCTTCAAACTCAGTGCCTCTTTGCTTGACATCATGGGAAAATGAAAAGAAATCAGCCAAGACCTCAGAAAAAAATTGTAGACCTTCTGGTTCATCCTTGTGAGCAATTTCCAAACACCTGAAGGTACCACGTTCATCTGTACAAACAATAGTATGCAAGTATAAACACCATGGGACCACGCAGCCGTCACACCGCTCAGGAAGGAAACGCTTTCTGTCTCCTAGAGATGAACGTACTTTGGTGTGAAAAGTGCAAATCAATCCCAGAACAACAGCAAATTACCTTGTGAAAATGCTAGAGGAAACGGGTACAAAATATCTATATCCACAGTAAAACGAGTCCTATATCGACATAACCTGAAAGGCCGCTCAGCAAGGATGAAGCCACTGCTCCAAAACTGCCATAAAAAGCCAGACTACGGTTTGCAACTGCACATGAGGACAAAGATCATATTTCGGGAGAAATGTCCTCTGGTCTGATGAAACAAAAATAGAACTGTTTGGCCATAATGACCATCGTTATGTTTGGAGGAAAAAGTGGGGGCTTGCAAGCCGAAGAACACCATCCCAACCGTGAAGAACGGGGGTGGCAGCATCATGCTGTGGGGGTGCTTTGCTGCAGGAGGGACTGGTGCACAAAATAGATTGCATCATGAGGAAGGAAAATTATGTGGATATATTTGAAGCAACATCTCAAGACATCAGTCAGGAAGTTAAAGCTTGGTCGCAAATAGGTCTTCCAAATGGACAATGACCCCAAGCATACTTCCAAAGTTGTGGCGAAATGGCTTAAGGACAACAAAGTCAAGGTATTGGAGTGGCCATCACAAAGCCTTGACCTCAATTCTATAGAAAATGTGTGGGCAGAACTGAAAAAGCGTGTGCGAGCAAGGAGGCCTACAAACCTAACTCAGTTCCACCAGCTCTGTCAGGAGGAATGGGCCAAAATTCACCCAACTTATTGTGGGAAGCTTGTGGAAGGCTACACTAAACGTTTGACCCAAGTTAAACAATGTAAAGGCAATGCTACCAAATACTAATTGAGTGTATGTAAACTTCTGACCCACTGGGAATGTGATGAAAGAAATAAAAGCTGAAATAAATCATTCTCTCTACTATTATTCTGACTAACTGACCTAAGACAGGGAATTTTTACTAGGATTAAATGTCAGGAATTGTGAAAAACTGAGTTTAAATGTATTTGGCTAAGGTGTATGTGAACTTCCGACTTCAACTTTATGTGCTTGTTTTTGTATTGTACAGGGCTCATTTGTAAAAGTGACTTTAGTCTCAATATTCCCTGTTAAAATAAAGGTAAATAATAATAATAATAATAATAATGTTCCAAGCTGATCAGTAGAGCAGTGTTGGAGAGCTGACCTATTGGACTCCAATGTTGATCCAACATCTCGCCCCTCATATCATGCTCTGCAGATGGCCCAACCTTAGTCCCATTACTCACTCTAACCCTAGAGCCTGACATTGCTCTGACAGCTCTCTGATGACACGGCTCAATAGGAGGGTTTGATGCCACGCCAGGCCCCAATCCCTAAGCCAGGGGAATGAGATGGAGAAGGAAATAAGGACATGGAGAAATCTTATTCTAGTCATCTCCTCTCATCCTTTATATCCTTTAAAGCATCACTTCTTAAAACCAGGCCTTGAAAGCAGGGAGAGGTGGTAGAGAGAGGGAAAGAGGAGAGAGAAAGAGAGCGAGAGTAAGAGCAGAGAGTGTGGGGGGGGGGGGGGGGGGGGGGAACGATAATGAGTAAAGGGGGTTTTGTGAAGTAGCACCAATATAATCCCATTGATAGATGTGGCATCATGGATTACGTTGAGGTTAGTGATACGGATCTTTTGGTGGACGACAGCACAGCCCCTAGCCAGTGCAGCACTAAGCTCACATAGTGTCTGCCAGTAAACAACAGCCTCAATCAATTCACAGACAGCGGGCCACACAATCTCCAAGTAATGTGCTCAGATCTATAGAAAACTCTACAAGGAATTCTGAGCTCTGGAATTGTTAGTAGCATTATAGTAGTGCCATGGTTGTTGCCATGGCTTTTTTAAAATTCAGAATATGTGGGTTATTTTTGGCATGGTGTGTTCTGTCCTGACTCCTGAGAGCTGATGCATAGCCATTCTGCAACGGGGCCATAACTCATAGCTGCTCGTTCAGTCACTGCTACTCTGTGTTGTATTTCACAGGGACTGCAGTGCGAGGCCCTTAACAAGGCTTTTATAAACACCCCTTCCCCACTGCCCCCGCTAACGAGAGGGTAATCAGCCTTTTAATTAGCTTGATCAACTCATTTCAGATCACACAAGTGCTCCACGTTCGGCACATAGATTGCATGCAGAAAGTAATCATGTCAAATGCAAAGAGGCCCATGGAGGACAGAGCTTAGTCCCTGCAATGTAGAACACATTTTGTGGTGTTTCACCCCTGAGGTTTTTGGCTAAGATTTATCATATCAGTAGTCATGTTTCAATAAAAAACTAATTTTCAGGTTCTCTAAAAATTATCATCATTGAGTAAATACATAAGTAAATAAAAAGCTACATTAACAAACCTCCAGCTGATACAGTCAGCTGGGTTTGTGTTCCTAAATACAAAATGGTGCTGAAAACTGAAATGCAACAGTGATGAATAATGCCAGTTATAGAATCCTTGGGAAAGTACAGTAAGGGAGTTTTCTTGATGTCAACTTGCATCAATATATAGTACTATAGCCTGTCTCCCTGTGCTTCCAGAGGCTTGTGAGGCTTGCATGATTGCCTGCAGTGTGGATGTGCTCCGGGAAGCGTCCATGGGATGAGGCAGGAATAGAGACGAGAGCCCTCTGAGAGGATAGTCATAATAGACACCGGTGCCTCTGCAGGAATCAGGCATTAGTCACAGCCACAGTTCTAACTCTGATGTTTCTCTCGCTCTTAGTCCTAGTTTTTCTGCATTCCCTTCATCCCCTCACACAGTCACCTTTCTGTATAATTGTTCAGTGGCTCTGAGAGTCTGCTGTAAGTGACATTTGGATGGCCTCTGAAATTAATCCCTGATTTGGCATCTTGCCCTCGAAATTATGTTATCTTGCCCTTTCATCATAGTAACTTCCTCTGTGAAGCGCTTGCATTAATTACGGTGCCAGCGGAGGCACACATCGCTCAATTAAGAGAGATTGTCTTCTGAGATAATACACATTCCTCAGAGCATATATACAGCAGTTTTTTTCACTCGCGGTTCTCTGCTATGTTCATGTATGGCTAGTTAATGCGCTATTAATAGGTGGGGCTGTAGTGGAACAGGTTGAGAGCTTCAAGTTCCTTGGTGTCCACATCACCAACAAACTATCATGGTCCAAACACAGCAAGACAGTCGTAAAGAGGGCACGACAAAGCCTATTCCCCCTCAGGAGACTGAAAAGATTTGGCATGGGTCCTCAGATCCTCAAAAAGTTATACAGCTGCACCATCGAGAGCATCCTGACTGGTTGAATCACTGCCTGGTATGGCAACTGCTCGGCCTTCAACCGCAAGGCACTACAGAGGGTAGTGCGTACGGCCCAGTACATCACTGGGGCCAAGCTTCCTGCCATCCAGGACCTCTATACCAGGCAGTGTCAGACGAAGGCCCTAAAAATGGTCAAAGACTCCAGCCACCCTAGTCATAGACTGTTCTCTCTGCTACCGCACGGCAAGTGGTACCGGAGCGCCAAGTCTAGGTCCAAAAGGCTTCTTAACAGCTTTTACCCCCGCCATAAGACTCCTGAACAGCTAATCATGGCTACCCGGACTATTTGCATTGTCCCCCCCACCCCATCCCACCCCCTCTTTTACACTGCTGCTACTCTCTTTTTATTATCTATGCATAGTCACTTTAACTGTACCCACATGTACATATTACCTCAATTACCTAGACTATTATGTGCCCCCGTACATTGACTCTGTACCGGTACCCCCTGTATATAGCCTCCCTACTGCTATTTTATTTTACTGCTGCTCTTTAATTCCTTTTTATTTTTATTTTTTACTCATCTATTTTTAACTTTACACTTATTTTTCTTAAAACTGCATTGTTGGTTAAGGGCTTGTAAGTAAGCATTTCACTGTAAGGTCTACACCTGTTGTATTAGGCGATTGTGGCAAATACAATTTGATTTGATTAGATTTGTCCAATCTGCTATTTGAACCCTTGACCTGCTCACATTCTTCAGCCCCGGGGGGCTCAAACAAACCTGAGAGTTATAGAGTTAATAAAAGGCTAATCAGGCCTATTTAGAGTAAAATGATGAAAAAATATGATAAGCATGTTATAATAAGACTAATTAGCAAGAGTACATAGTACTTATAAGTACAGTGGAATCCATTTCAACAGCTTCTGACCAAGATAGCCCTCAAATTTCACATAATGGATGGAAAAAATACAGCTACAGTTTATAGAAGCAATAATAACATTTAAATAACCTCACAGCCTTCTACCCTGTCTTCTTCCCACAGTTCCCCCCTCCCCTATCGCACCCCCACAGCTGCTGCGAGCGGGCTCCACATATCTGATCATCCAGCTCAACACCAACTCCATCCTGGGAGACGGCCCTATCATCAGGAAGGAGATTGAGTACCGGGCCAGCCAATCACCTTGGTCCGAGGTCCATGGGGTCAACATGGTCACCTACAAGCTGTGGCACCTGGACCCAGACACGGAGTATCACATAAGTGTGTTGCTGACCCGGCCCGGAGAGGGCGGCACCGGACCACCCGGACCACCCCTCGTCAGCAGGACTAAGTGTGCAGGTGAGGGTCTGGGCAGTGTGACAAGGTCTAGATACGCTTGTTAGTATGTGACATTCTCATAGTTGGCCGTGTTTGGTAACACAGAATATTTTGTTAATACATGTTATTAACCACTTGCAAATCCTTGATAAAATCTTACCATACCATATCATACTTTTAAAGCCACATACACTTTGAATAGATTTGCAATATCTATTGTAAGATCACTCTAGTTTTCTTTGTCTGACTGATATGTTTCTAGTCTTGATAAATAGAGGAAAATGTATCACTCCTCTGTGGATTTAAACTCAGAAACCTCAGAAACGCTCCTTATATTTTTTGGACATTTTAGAGAGGATATTTCCTCAGTCAATTCAAAGTACAGATGCCCAACAGCTAGATGCTCACACTTTATTTAATCTCAGAGTAAGTGCTTCATTATATTGTTGAATTTGAAAAGTGGAATAACAGACCATCACCAAGGTGATAATGTGGCAAAATTGTATTCCAGACTGAAACCCCTCTGTGAGATTGAGAGGTGGTCTTGTTCCTCAGATTTTTTTGTACAAATATCATTTGTGCTGGAAGAAAAACAACTAACACACACACACACACACACACACACACACACACACACACACACACACACACACACACACACACACACACACACACACACACACACACACACACACACACACACACACACACACACACACACACACACAGAACCACACAATTCATGCCTATTTCCTGTGGGCAGTTGTCCCATGTCTTCGACAGTCATCAGTCTTTAGTATGCCCAGCGGTCTCTTCCCACCACAAACCATCTCTCACACCTCTCCCCTTCCTGTTCCACCAACCACAGCCTCCATGTCCTTTCTCTAATGACACATTAAGCACACTCCCTTTTCCCAATAGCCGCAGACACCACCTATTCATCAGTAAAATAGAGTGAGCCCACAGCCAGCTGTCACTGAAAAACACAGAGAAAAATATAAAATGAGAGGAAGTAGAGAAAGGATACACAAGGAAAAAATGATAATATTTCAAAGAGATAGACAGGGAAAGAGGAGAGTGAATTTTATAGTTCTAAGTGAGAGAGGATGCACACAATGTTCTAATGTAAATTACTTTCAGTGGCACCAATATTATCCTGTCTGAAGTTTCTGAATTTCAGCCTCTGATGTATTTACATTTCATCCCACTGTGACATTAGCTTGTGCATACATGTGTGTAATTAAAAATGCCACTGTGTTTGCTTACCTGTTAAACAGAGCATTTAGATGCAATATAGGTGTATCAGGGAAAATGTCGCCTGAATTAAGTTTGCCCGCCTTTGTTTGTCACGTGTTTTATCACCAGACAATTTGCATACCAGTGGCTACTAATAATATAATCTATAGTTTTGTCTTGGCAGTATAGTTCATGTTGGTGACTCCAAATAACTGTCTCAGATATCAAAGCTCAACCTCTTGCCCTGTAATTTCCCCAGCTGTTGTTTTCACAACATACAATGCATTCGGAAAGCATTCAGACCCCTTGACTTTTCCCACATTCTTTTTACGTTACAGCCATTTTCTAAAATGGATTAATAAAAACATTTTCCTCATCAATCTACACACAATACCCCATAATGACAAAGCGAAAACAGGTTTTTAGAAAATTCAGACCCTTTGATATGAGACTTGAATTTGAGCTCAGGCGCATCCTGTTTCCATTGATCATCCTTGAGATGTTTCTACAACTTGATTGGAGTCCCCCTGTGGTAAATTAAATTGATTGGACATGATTTGGAAAGGCACACACCTGTCTATATAAGGTCCCACAGTTGACAGTGCATGTCAGAGCAAAAACCAAGCCATGAGGTCGAATGAATTGCCCGTAGAACTCAGAGACAGGATTGTGTCGAGGCACAGATATGGGGAAGGGTACCAAACCATTTCTGCAGCATTGAAGGTCCCCAAGAACACAGTGGCATCCATCATTCTTAAATGAAAGAAGTTTGGAACCACCAAGACTCTTTCTAGAGCTGCCCGCCCGGCCAAACTGAGCAATCGGGGGAGAAGGGCCTTGATCAGGGAGGTGACCAAGAACCTGATGGTCACTCTGACAGAGCTCCAGAGTTCGTCTGTGGAGATGGGAGAACCTTCCAGAAGGACAACCATCACTGCAGCACTCCACCAATCAGGCCTTTATGGTAGAGTGGCCAGACGGAAGCCACTTCTCAGTAAAACACACATGACAGCCCGCTTGGAGTTTGCCAAAAGGCACCTAAAGGACTCTCAGACCATGAGAAACAAGGTTCTCTGGTCTGATGAAACCAATATGTTTTCAGCAGCAGGGACTGGGAGACTAGTCAGGATCAAGGGAAAGATGAACGGAGTAAAGTACAGAGAGATCCTTGATGAAAACCTGCTCCAGAGCATTCAGACTGGGGCAAAGGTTCAACTTCCAACAGGACAACGCTCCTAAGCACACAGCCAAGACAACGCAGGAGTGTTTTCGGGACAAGTCTCTGAATGTCATTGAGTGGCCCAGCCAGAGCCCCGACTTGAACACGATCGAACATCTCTGGAGAGACCTGAAAATAGCTGTGCAGCGACACTCCCCATCCAACCTGACAGAGCTTGAGAGGATCTGCAGAGAAGAATGGGAGAAACTCCCCAAATACAGGTGTGCCAAACTTGTAGCATCATACCCAAGAAGACTCGAGGCTGTAATCGCTGTCAAAGATGCTTCAACAAAGTACTGAGTAAAGGGTCTGAATATTTATGTAAATGTATTATTTCAGTTTTAAATTTTTTATAAATGTGCAAACATTTCTAAAAAATGGTTTTTGCATTGTCATTATGGGGTATTGTGTGAAGATTGATAAGGAAAAACAAAACAATTTAATCAATTTTAGAATAAGGCTGTAACGTAACAAAATGTGGAAAAAGTAAATGGGTCTGAATACTTTCCAAATTTACTGTAAGGGTTAGGTTGTTGTGTCTACTGGCTTGATCTGTTGGTGGCCTGATCCTGATTCACACACCTTCACATACCCCTCATCCATCTGGTGTATCTCACCATGTCCACCCTCCAGGAGTCTAATCACCACCTGGACACCCTTGAGTTCCTCTGATCCCCGTCTCCCAGCCCAGCCCCCAGACCATCTGGTCCAGAACCCACACTGACCTCACACTTCATCATTGCATTATGATCCTCCTCACCTTTGTTGGGCTGCTTAGGTCTAGGCATAAGGAAATAGATGGTCTTGTCACAGTGGGGATCTCTGGGAGTGTGCTAATTAGCAGAGTGAACAGGCTTGGACCCTCTTGGTGTTCTTCTGACTAAAGTGAATTTCCTCTCCAAAAAAGACTGTTGCCATGGACTGGGTATGTTCTGCGGTTCCGTGTGAACACCGCCTCTCTTCCTGGCTGGCTCTGACCTATATAGTGGAGCCCGGGCGTCCTCCTGTTGGTGCTGTAAAACTAATGGCCGTGAATGTGAACATGGTCTCCACCCGCCTCTGATGGCCAGCCAGGTGTGCTTGATGAGCCATCACTGTGATTATCAGCAGGGCTGCATTATCGTAGCTCGAAGCCCCTCAAGTAAATCACAGACGAGACAAGTTATTTCGTACCGCAGGTGGTCCCCAAACCACGTTAATAGGCTTCCACCTGCAGCTGGGTCACTGAGCCTTCTCGAGAGCCCCCTGCCACCAAACCTCTCTGCCAAGTGTGGGGCTAGGAACATTACAGAGAGTGCTCATGCCTTTCACGGCTTTTCTTCCTCATCCATCATGTCAGGCCTCTCTGTCAACGACTGCATTCCTGCTTCATTCCTCCTTCATCTCCCATCCCCCCTGTGGTTAAGTTTTCACAGACTCCCTCCACAGCTCAGCACCATCCTAGGCCAAGGACAACCCTGTCCACAGGTAATCCCATGGATCAGTATTAGTGGGAGTAATAAACCAGAAGCTCTCCCCTTCCTTTCCTCTCACTTCTATACCGTGAGGAACAAGCATGCCACTCTGGGCTCTGGGCCATGTTGGGGATGCTGCAACCTCTCTCCGAAGGGTGCCAGGGAGTGTGCGCTGCACACAGTCGAGCGTGGCATGCAGACAAATAGACTGGGCAAAGGGAAGGGTGTTGGCACAAAAGTCCACTTTGATGAAAATCCACAATGGGCACACTGTGGCCTCTTCAGTGTTTTTTTCATCAGCTCCTCAGTTAAAAGCCCCTCTTTATTTAGCTTCGAGACTGTGCAGACTATCAATTACACCATAAAGACAATCCTCAATCAGATCGTACAATTGTTCAAACATTTCCTGCCGCGTCTAATGTACCACTACTTGATTACCCAGGCCACACATTTTTCAGCTGTCACAGACTGATGTTCAGAACAATGCAGTGGTCATGTTTCCTTCTAGACCGAGATGCCAGCAAACAAATTAGGAAAGTAAACAGGTGACTGTGGAGAGGCTTTAGTATAGATTGCCAGTGTCATGAAATTCAGCTTTAGGGAGAGATATAATGAATAGAAAGGGAAAAGGGATAAATATCTGCGAGGAAGAGGATGGCCTTTTGAGTGGTGAGTGTGTGCGTGTGCATATGCCTGTTTGTGCTCGTATGTGTCCTTTCAGACTTAGAGAGAGCACCTTTCAAATCCATATCCTTTGATTACTCCCTTTGTTCCTTCAAGCTTCCCCTCGCTCATCGATGCATTAGCTCCATTGTTTTAGTCCTCAGCACAAATAGCTGCAGTGAGAGAAGAATCCCTTTGAGTGTGATAGTCAGTGCAGGAATGAAGATGGTGGCTGGTGTTACCTTACTCTTCTCACTGCTGAGCCCTCCGCTCCATATCTCCTCTGTCACTCTCACTCTCCTCCACCATTAGTCACGCATCCCTATTAAAAGAACAAAGCAATACAATACATTATGTGGAATATTGTTTGACAAAAAGGCATCGATTGTGTTAATAATGGGCTGTGACAAATGCCTCCATTGGTAGTGTGCTCCCTGAAAGTGTCCTTGGCTCACCCCTGCAGCCTGTATCTCTTACTGCAACACTGACTGGCTTGTGCCTTCAGGCATAGAGGCTTCTCAGTATCTCTGTATCCCTCTATCTGTCTATGCCGAGGGAGGAAAAGAAAGACAAGGCTGTAGTTCTCTCTGTTTGAGTCAAAGGAAAACAGGGTTGACCCCAAACCCGGCAGTGACCAGAAGTAACTGGGTGACTGCTAAAAATAAGCAGCCCGTCCACAATGACCCAGCAATAAAGATAACCGGTGGAATTGAACGCCCTTGGACAGCTCTCTTATTTTTGGTTCTGAATTTGGCCTCTGGGCATGGAACTATAGTGGACACTCAATTTGCTAGTTGACACAGAGGCGGGGACTGGCGGGGGTGTGACAGAGACCCGCAGCCTGTCCCATTAATTAGCGTAATTGGCACTAGTCCGTGCATGGCTGGCGGGGGACGTGGGTGTGCCGCGCCCACAGTTTTTCTCTGGCAGTAAAACTGTTGACCTCTATGATGGGACATGGTAGTGCCACCTAGCTTGGATGAACAGCTTCCAACACATCGGCGTGACCGAGAGAACGTTGTCAGAACTTGTCACACATGGGAGCATCAGGGCTATTACTAAAGGATTTCATTAAAACATAAAGATTTCGTAATTTACACTGTGTTTAAACAGTTTATATTTAACCTTTATTTAACCAGGTTAGTTTCTTGAGATAAAAATATATTTTTCAAAAGAAGACCTGGACCTAGTTGATAACAAGGCCTTCTCTCGCTCTTCCCTTCCCTTCCTCCCCCTGCCATCCTCCCTCTCTGTTAGAACCCACACGGGCCTTGCGAGGTCTCACAGCCTCAGAGATCCAGTCCAGGCAGCTGACCCTGCAGTGGGAGACGCTGGCCTACAACTTGACCCGCTGCCACACCTACTCTGTGTCACTGTGCTACCACTATGCCACCGCAGGGGGCGGTGGAGGGCAAAACACTACTGTGCGCGAGTGCCTGGCGGTGGAGCACAACGCCTCACGCTTCACCCTGCGCGACCTGCCGCCCTACCACTCCATCCACGTCCGTCTGGCGCTCGCCAACCCTGAGGGCAAGAAGGAGGGTCGGGAGGTCACCTTCCACACTGAAGAGGACAGTAAGTGATGGGAGAATGTTGGAGACATATTCTGTACGTAGGAGCTCATACAGGGTACATTCATAGAAACCAGAATAACATGGGAGAATGTTGGAGACATAAAAAGGAACTGATACGTACAGGGCACATATTCATAGATAGGAACCGTCTTGTGTTGAAGTGCCCTAATGCCAAAATAATATTTTTCAGTGGTGCAATACTCCAGTCTTGTCAGGCCAGAGTTCAGGTTGTGGGTTACTATTCACAAAAATGTGTGGCGGCTACTGAACACTGCTGGTACATTATATCAGTGCTTTTAGATGTACCTGATAGCCTGGCAAGGTCTGTTGGCTGCCATCCAACACCCTCACAGACTGTTCGGGGATCAATTTGGTGTCTGTCTGTTTAGGTAGTGGTGAAACTTCTGTGAGACCAAAATAACCTAAAGTCATTCAAAACTTTTCTCCGGAGTGTATTATCTCCACTCTGCTCTAAATTCAAATTTGTGTTAACAAATTAACAAAAATAGTGCCGTTCAAATGGGGGAAAAAATCTAGCTATCTATACAGTTGGGATTGATAACACTGGGACAGTCAACATCAGTAGCTACAGTTTGATTGAAGGGATTCATAACTATCATGGTCCATCTCCTTTCCCATGCGGTTGTGTCTCAGTATACTTGAATAAAAGCATTGTCACCATCTCCAAGAGGCTGCATTAGCATACCAAAGGATCCGTCTCATTCTCAAATGAAAATGAAATATTAATAATCATATCTGAGGCCCACCAGTAAGCCAGAGAGAACGGATTTCCCCCATATCTCCCAATATATATTCCTTTTGTGCCAAGGCAGGCAACAGCCTCTGTGCATTGCAGATGCCTGACTGAAGGACAAATACATTTTTCCATGAAAAATAAACAAAACAAATGCACTGTTCTCACACCAAAGGGAGAAATAAAGAAATGTGTGTGAGAGAGAGAACGAGAATGAGAGAAAAGAGAGAGAGAGAGAGAGAAAAAAAAGAGATACCTGTCAATTATAAACACACTCTTCAAAAGCTTTTAATCAGCAACTCTCTTTCCAGACTCTGTCACTACCGAAATAACACCAGACAGCTGTTTCCTCACAGGGCTGAATGGTTGTTGCTTTAGTCCCAGTGTAGATCTCTCTTCCCCCCACCACCACTCTACCCTGCACTCTACAAACCCAGACTAATGGGGATTGTGGTCTGGAATAGAAAACCACAGAGCACAGAGGATACTATAAAAACAGTTAGCATTGTTTTTATATGGATGTGTCTAGGCCAGGCTTCCCCTGGTGTCCAGGCCAGACAGAGTTTTAACAGCATTCAGCATTTATACTAATGAATGTCGTCACTGGCCATCAGCTGAGGATGCATTTAATCACCACTATTTCACTGAGGTATTTTGAAGGCATAAGACTCCTGGTACAATAGAAATGATCTGTCCACTATAGTACAGTAATTATATCATGTCACTGTCAGACTCAGTGCTCAACGTAATGTCTTTAAGGGTCTCTGCATCACGTAATATGAACATTTACATTTACATGTTTAGTTTTTTGGTCATTTAGCAGACGCTCTTATCCAGCGCGACATACAGTTAGTGAGTGCATACATTTTTCATACCTCACCATCATGATGATAGTATGAACCTGATCAGTCTTAGTTGACTGTAAGTACTTGTTATTTACTATAGTGGTTTTACTCAGTGGTTTTATACCCCCTTGTTTCTGATCCGTCAATCATCTCCTATTCTCTTTGCTTGTACTCTCTCTGACTCTGGCCCTGACTATATACACTACGGTTAACACAAAATAGAGTCCCTTATGTCCAACACAATGCAGAATTCTCAGTTCCAAGGCTAACATTGTGAGAGAGACTCCGTGACATTGACCACTGAATATGATATTGACATTATGAGATGCTTGCCATGATATTACCGCTTCAATTTCCTGACCTGTGTGTGCACTGCTTATTTCCCATAGTTCCCGGCGGCATCGCCCCTGAGTCGCTGACCTTCACCCCCCTGGAGGACATGATTTTCCTCAAGTGGGAGGAGCCAGTGGAACCCAACGGTCTCATCACCCAATACGAGGTAAGGATGCTTCCCACTCTGCTCGATGCCCTCCAATCATCTTCCTCTAAACATCTCCTCCCAAAGTCCTCAGGTTCACCCTCCTGACTCTCATATCAGATTAGAGTTTGTAGGAATTGATTGGTGTAGTTTAGGTCAGCAAGAGCAGTGTCACAGGCATTGATTAGTACAGGTAAGTTCTAGGAGAAAAATGTCACAGAACTTTTCAAACAGAGAGTTTGAAACAAGGACAGAACAATAAGCAGTCCCACCAACAATTTTACAGCTGTGTCATACAGTTAGCTATATTTTATAGGGGGCTGTTAATTGAGGTAATAGAGACAACACAGCTATTTGACGCTAAGAATACAGGCAGAAGATATCAGCCGCTCTGTATGTGTGGTTATGTATGGCATTTTTATACAAGCTCATAGTCCATCCCCAGAGCGCTCTGTTTCTCTCCACTCATCTAACAGTACATCTAGAGCTAGCAAATAGTCTGGCACCTTGTCACCAACATTTTTCTGCATATAGCACTGCCATGCATCATCACGTTAGTCTCACCCTAATTTATTAGCACTCATTTATTCATGCTAATTTTGGAGTAGGTCTCAGATGACAATTTGCAACGTTATTCTCACTTTCTCCCTTTTGCCTTCACCTATGGTAGGGGCTCAGCACAGTATTACCTATACCAGCCTCAAGCCTTCCCCCAGCCCTCTCTATTTCAATGTCGTCTCAAGGAGGATATTATTAAATGGGATTTGTGGTTTGACAAATAAAGTGGAGGCAGGGATGGATTTTCTCCCTGTAGCATCCTGATCTCTCTGAGCTAACAAAGAGAGCTTTAGACGGAGCCACAGAAGAAATCCTCTTCATTTCTCTCCCATTAAAGCATTGACCTGTCTCCCTGAGCCCATCGACCGCCACGACTCCAGCCTCACAAGCCCCTTCTTGGTCCTCTTTGGTCTTTCTGGAGGCTATTATCGGCATTTATATTGGGGGTTTTATGTGTGTACTGTGCACAGTAATTGGCTGTCTTCACAGTTACCACGCCTGCATGGGCATATCGTGCTCTTAAAATTATCTGCAAAGTCAATAGTTTGATTCAAGTCAAGTCAGTGGGAAGCGAGGCTTGTCTGTGTCATTTAACATTCCCAGTTTTTACATTCCTCTCTGACGCCACATGGTTGGAATCCCATAAGACAGTTTGACTGGGTGGGAAAAAGTTGATTCCAACAGCATCAATATTTCACACAGAACACATTTCCACATTAGCATGAATGTCCTTCAGGCTTGGCAATTATGAATGTATTAGCAAGCTAAACAAAATCATTAGCCTCTTGTTATTGAGCAACCCACAGGTTGGGAAATTTGTAAACACACAAAACAATAACGGTTTGATAATGATTCCACTTTCATGACAAAATAACAATATTACACAGGACTGCATCACATACGCTGCTGCTACTACTATACTATATAGACTCCTGAGTGGCGCAGTGGTCTAAGACACTGCATCGCAGTGCTAACTGTGCCACTAGAGATCCTGGTTCGAATCCAGGCTCTGTCGCAGCCGGTCGCGACCGGGAGACTCATGGGCGGCGCACAATTGGCCCAGCGTCGTCCAGGGTAGGGGAGGGAATGGCCGGCAGGGATGTAGCTCAGTTGATAGAGCATGGCGTTTTCAACGCCAGGGTTGTGGGTTTGATTCCCACGGGGGGCATAGTATAAAAAAATATATGTATTCACTAAATGTAAGTCGCTCTGGATAAGAGCGTCTGCTAAATGACTAAAAATGTAAATGTAAAAATACTATTTCCTATCTGTCACTTTATTCCTAGTTATATGTACATATCTACCTCAATTACCTTGTACCCCTGCACATCGACTCGATACTGGTACCCCGTGTATATAGGCAAGTTATTGTTACTCGTGTATCTATTATTACTTTTATTATTACATGTTTTACTTTTCTATTATTTCTCATTTCCTTTCTCTCTGCATTGTTGGAAAGGGCCCGTAAGTAAGCATTTCACTGTTAGTCCACACCTGTTGTTTACGGAGCATGTGATTATTTTTTAAAAATATTATTTTGATTTGCAAAGCAAAATGACCAATCAGTACATCGACTTAGAGCAGCAGCACAATTTTCAAAGTCAGATGTGAATCCTCAGAGAAAATCTATTGAACAAAAGTTAAAGGATAGTTGCTCCACAAAGTTAATAACTCATGCTCTCAGAAATAATTGCAGTATGAATCATTCTGGTGTCTTTTCTTAATTTGACCACAGATCAGCTACCAGAGCATTGAGTCGTCTGACCCGGGCATCAACGTGCCAGGACCTAGGAGAACAGTGTCGAAGCTGAGGAATGAGACCTATCACATGTTCTCCAACCTTCACCCTGGCACCACATATCTGATTTCGGTCCGCGCCCGCACAACCAAGGGCTTCGGCCAGACTGCCCTAACTGAGATCACCACCAACATTTCTGGTGAGCATCGGTGTGTGTGTGCACATGACATTACATTTCATAACACTTTTCACAACACATTAAGTGTGTTCCCTCAGGCCACTACTCTACTATCCCATATCTACAATACAAAATCCCTGTGTACGTGTGTGTAGAGTGCATTTCCGTGTGTGTGCCATGTCAACATTTGTACATAGCTTGGATCAAAGTTGAACATCAACTGTCTGAAGGAGATAACAGGAGTCTGTAAATAGACTATATATACAAAAGTATGTGGACACCCCTTCAAATTAGTGGATTTGGCTATTTCAGCCACACCCGTTACTGACAGGTGTATAAAATCGAGCACACAGCCATGCAATCTCCATAGACAAATATTGGCAGTAGAATTGCCTTACTGAAGAGCTCAGTGACTTTCAACGTGGCACCGTCATAGGATGCCACTAGTTCGTCAAATGCCCTGCTAGAGCTGCCCCCAGTCAACTGTAAGTGCTGTTATTGTGAAGTGGAAATGTCTAGGAGCAGCAACGGCTCAACCGCGAAGTGGTAGGCCACACAAGCTCACAGAACGGCGTAAAAATCATAATCTGTCCTCAGTTGCAACACTCACTACCGAGTTCCAAACTACCTCTGGAAGCAACGTCAGCACAAGAACTGTTCGTCAGGAGCGTCATGAAATGGGTTTCCATGGCCGAGCAGCCGCACACAAGCTTAAGATCGGCTAGAGTGGTGTAAAGCTCGCCGCTATTGGACTTTGGAGCAGTGGAAATGCGTTCTCTGGAGTGATGCCAGGTGAACGCTACCTGCCCGAATGCGTAGTGCCAACTGTAAAGTTTGGTGGAGGAGGAATAATCTGTCTGGGGCTGTTTTTCATGGTTCGGGCTAGGCCCCTTAGTTCCAGTGAAGGAAAATCTTAACACTACAGCATACTGTACAATGACATTCTAGACAATTCTGTGCTTCAAACTTTGTGGCAACAGTTTGGGGAAGGCCCTTTCCTGTTTCGGCATGACAATGCCCCCGTGCACAAAGTGAGGTCCATACAGAAATGGTTTGTCGAGATCGGAGTGGAATAACTTGACTGGCCTGCACAGAGCCCTGACCTCAACCCCATCGAACACCTTTGGGATGAATTAGAAAACCGACTGCCAGCCAGGCCTAATCGCCCAACATCAGTGCCCGACCTCACTAATGCTTATGGCTGAATGGAAGCAAATCCCCTCAGCAATGTTCCAACATCTAGTGGAAAGCTTTCCCATAAGAGTGGAGGCTGTTATAGAAGCAAAGGGGGGACCAACTCCATATTAATGCCCAGGATTTTGGAATGAGATGTTCGACGAGCAGGTGTCCACATACTTTTGTTCATGTAGTGTATGTTTGAAGGGTGTTACAGCAATATGTTAATTGATGTTGCACATGGCTATAATCACAACTCCTCTGGGTCTCAAGTGAATGTTGTGAGATAGACTAATTAATTCCTATATATCCATCAGAGGAAAAATACCAATGACATGCCCTCTTCTATATGGTGTATGTCTCCCATCATTTGCATAGATTCCCAATACTGCAGTCTCTCTATCCGAGGGAAGGTATCTCACTGAAGACTGTTGTCTGAGCTCGTGCAGCTGTGTAGTTAGCTATAGTAGGTTTCACTCACTCTGTGCTTTTATTAGGGTCTGAATGTGACTTTCAACCTCAGGTGCTTTATCCTCGTGCAGTGGCAAAACAACTCCTCCAAGAATATAAGTACAACCACTCCCATCCTCTCAAAAGGAGTGACACCCTGTCATCGCGCACAACAAAGCACAAAGAGCAGAGGGGAAACAAGGATTGTTATGTGTAAGGATAGATGCAGTGCTATCTTCATGGGACCATGCAGCATCTCCCAGCTGAGAGAAAGACAGACTCTGAGCTTATTACTGAAGAAGGAAATCCACCCCTGGTGTTCCATTCACTTTTAATGATGCATGTTTCCCTGTGTAAAAAGGCAGGAATAAAAACACCTCAGAGGAAACCTCAATGCAGCTCTCTCTCTCTCTCTCTCTCTCTCTCTCTCTCTCTCTCTCTCTCTCTCTCTCTCTCTCTCTCTCTCTCTCAGTGGGTGTATGAGTGTGTCTCCACGCAAAGGAGAATACTGAGAGTTTTTAATTATAGATTTACTGCTTAATCACTCCTTGGTGGCTGTATGTCAGACAGGGACCTGCTGGCACGTGGCCAGAGAGAGAGTCCAAAAGTCATTATGTATCATCCTCCCCCTCCATACCCCCTCTACTGGCCTACAGTGCAGAACAGCAGAACATTCACTTGTACTGAGCATCTTTCATTGCTACACTGACAACTAGCTTATAGCGCTTATAACGAACTCAACATACTGTACGTGCACCCCTACTAAGACAGCCAGAGAGCCTGCCGTCTACAGTCTACACTCTTCCAGAGTGAACTACCACAGAGCACTCTCTGAACTGTACACAACCCTCAAGCTAATTCTTACTTTATCTCCATTGAGCTTACTCCAATAAACCCCCTCCCAACCGACCAACACCTTTCTGAAATCAAACACCTCACAGACTCTTCGTAGCACGCTAGAGCTTTTATGTTGCGTGTGAATAAAATAAACACACACACATTAAACGCCTCACTTTAATTGAAGGCAGCTTATTCAGCTAGCTGCAATTTTCCAAACCCTCTTTTTTTAATACCATAATCATTGATTCCTCCGTGATAGTTTGCCTTTCCTCCCCCTCACTAATTGACTAGGGATATTAAAGACACGCCGTGCAGAGGGAGGCATCTCCTGGGAGAAACACAGCTTCGGCCAAATCCCTTTAAATGAGAAGCTCCTTCTATATGTCCTGCACTCGCAGGACTTTAAATTGCACTCGGTATCCAAGACAACCAGAACATAGGGAAATTCGGGAGGGCCATTTCTGGGGGAACGGTGACATTGTTTTGTGGATATGAAATTGACTGTCAGTTTCACAAGAGTTGATGGGGTCTGCAGACCTTTTATGAGAGAATAGGGAAAGAGGCTGTGTGTTTATTAGATAGGATGTGTGGATAGACTCAGCTGGTTTTAAAGGGGACTGATGAAGGATGTGTCTGTGTACGTGTGTGTGTCTGCATGTGAGTGTGTGGCGTGAGAGTATGTATATTATCTTGTTTATTACAAGGTCAGTCTAATTGCTATATAAAATAACTTGGTCTGTACTCCTGTGCTCCTGTCTCTTCAGCTCCAATGTTTGACTATGGAGACATGCCGTCCCCTCTGAGTGAAACAGAGAGCACGATCACTGTGTTGCTTCGCCCCGCCCTGGGCAGGGGAGCACCCGTCAGGTGAGAACACAACAGCAACAGACACACACAGACATGTACACACAGAGAACATTGTTCATAGTGACATTTCCATTACAATACATAGATATTTAGGATTTATAGACATTTTGATGTCACATTTACAGCACATACATATTATTTGCCAATGCCCCCATATGATCAAACTTAATGAGAAACATCTTACAATAATTTATACCAACCTCTTATATTGTGCCCTGTCTCCACCAGTAAGTACCAAGTTGTGGTAGAGGAGGAGAGTGGCAGGAAGGTGAAGAGGGAACTGGGGGTTCAGGACTGTTACCCTCTGCCCATGTCCCACGGGGATGCTCAAGCCAGAGGGACCCCCCACTACTACACGGCCGAGCTGCCCCCCAGCAGCCTGCCTGAAGCCAGCCCCTTCACCGTGGGGGACAACCACACCTACAATGGCTACTGGAACACCCCGCTGGACCCCCGCAAGAGCTACCTCATCTACTTCCAGGCCATGAGCAACTTCAGAGGGGTGAGTACAGGGCTTGAAGAAGGCTGTGGCTGATTTCTAGATCAACTCCTAGCCCCTAGGCGATCTGAGAGTATGGGTAGGTAAGCAATCGGTCGGTATCAATTAAACGTCACAATACGGTTTAGAACGTTCGATATTGCTGCTGGGAGATGCCCCAGCTCCTTTAAAACCATTGACAACTACGTGCCGTTTTTAAGGGATTTTTAAATCAATGTTATAACTAATTGGTTTTAATATCATCACCTTTTGAAGAGCATAGTCAGAACTACACATTTCCGATGATTCCACATTTAGGTCTATCATCAGAGTTATACGACAAGTAATGCATGCTTTTCAATATAGGTAAACATGTACTGTTTATTCAGATATGTGAGGGTAGCCTATCCATTTGGCGTATAGCTAGCTAGCTAAGCAAACAATGTGTGATTTAGCTTGCTTAATCAGAGATTAGGCTTTTGGAAAGTGCTTGGCATGGGCAAATCACTTGTCAGAAAACTTAAGACACACGGCGTGGCTAATCTCAGTGCGAAGGCTCCCGGTGAGAGCAGTAGTCCAATTGAGCTGTTATGTTAAAACAAAAAAATGCCCAATGCCATCATGTACTGATTATGAAACACTTATTATTAGAATGTAGCAGATCAAATGAAATCTGGGAACAAATGCAAGATATTGGAGTCACTTTTCAAGTCAAACCAAATACCATACTGTATGGGAAAATATGTGGAACACTTAAAGAGATCTATAAAGAACTTTTTCACCTCATCATATGTGTAGGGAATGCACAAATATGGAAAACCCGATGCCGAATGACAATTGAAAATGTCTTGATTCCCAGCCAAACAGTTTTTAAACAAATTAGAACGGAACTGAAAAGGAGAAGAACCAACGAAATGAGGAGGGGACAACGGGAAGTTCTTGACTGTTGATTTAGAAACAAACAAACAAAAAAATATATATATATACAGTGAGGGAAAAAAGTATTTGATCCCCTGCTGATTTTGTACATTTGTCCACTGACAAAGAAATGATCAGTCTATAATTTTAATGGTAGGTTTATTTGAACAGTGAGAGACAGAATAACAACAAAAAAATCCAGAAAAACGCATGTCAAAAATGTTATAAATTGATTTGCATTTTAATGAGGGAAATAAGTATTTGACCCCTCTGCAAAACATGACTTGTACTTGGTGGCAAAAACCCTTGTTGGCAATCACAGAGGTCAGACGTTTGTTAACAATCCCTTGAAATTGGCAGGCAGTTGTCAATGGTTTTAGAGGAGCTGGGGGTCTCCTTGCCTCCCAGCAGGCAAATCGAACGCTCTGCACCTTATTGTGACATTTTATTGATAACGACCTGCTTGCTTCAGTTGCTAATTGCTTACATCCATCCAATCCTTTCAGATCCACAGGAGTGCCCAGGGAGTAGGTTTATGAAAATCTAGTAATTTTCTAACTTCCATTGTCCTCCAAGACTGGCTGAATATATATCCCATACTGTATGCCAGGCTTGAAAGAGCAGGGGAAATTACCTCCTTTAGGCTTGTACCCCATGTGAAAATATTTGTGGTGTGAAATGTGCTTGGAGGGGATTTTTTATTTTATTTTTTTTGCCTGGATTGGCATGGTTCCTAGCTGGAATCCATGTATCTGAACGTGTCCAGTGCTTTGATTCGATGCACAGCATACAAAGGGTGTCAGTTGTGCACATTACTTCCAGCTAGTAAGTCTGTGATTAGCTGGAATTACTCAGAGAGACAACAAAGAGACAAGTGGGCTCTCCTTTTCTTATCCACCCCACATTATCCCTCCCTACATTCTCAGATTTATTCCAGACCACCATCCTCTGTTCCTGTTCTCTCACTCCTCTGCTCCTCTCCTGCCCAAATAAAGCTGCAGCAGTCCCAATCATACACCAAGGAAGCTCCATTATCAGTCCAAACCGCCATTACAGGATCACCCGCTATCTGGCAGAGACAATTACTTAGGGATAATTGGACACAGGTGCAGATGATCAGAGATATACATTTTCTATTTTAATATTCAGAGAGCACGGCAAGGCTTTTCTTTGCAAATCTAAATCTGGGCCAGCATTCGGAGCAACCTTTTGTGGATCATCAGTAAGGTAATGGATTCCTACAGGCCTTTGCATCGTTGCTCTTTTCGATACCTCTGGATAGCATGGTATGGTAGGTTACCTTTGTTATTTTAGAGTCTTTAAGGTGGAAGTCTGATAAATGGGTGTATTCTAGTCTAGGGCCCATCAGCAACTCACCCCCCATCAGCAACTCACACCCCCTTTTCCTCCAGCGGTAGTGGTGGTGGCTTTTTCCGGCCAGTGGAGCATTACTAGGGGCAGTGCAGCGTTAGCAGTTCACACAACTGGGTTAATAAGCGGCAGGATTAGACAGTGAAGAGTCTGGCTTTACCGGCGGATGGGATTAGGGCTTTTGTTTTGGCTGGCAGCGAGCCAGACTCCAGCGCTAGGAGCGGGCGGGGCAATGGAGGCACAGTAACCGATCACAAGGCCCAGCCCTAAGTCCCCAGGGGGCTCTGCCAGCCAAGGCCATGCGGGCACCAAGGGTAAACAGTAGTTACACAGTCAGTCAGGCGGTCCCCATATCAGTTCCAGGGCTCTCCCCATGGGCACAGAGTATCCACACTCCCTTCATGCCAGATCACCTTCTTGGGCTTATATACCCCTCATACAGAGGAGTGTTCATGTACACTTTTAGAAGTAAAGGAGCCTGGAAGAAGCTTTTGGGATTCTAAAAATTGTCACACAGGGGGAACTTTTCACATGGGAACCTATTCTAATATTCTAATATGATATTAGCATTGCTGATTACATGTAGAGCCATGACAGTCATCTGATGCAATTAACACTTTATATAGTAATAATACTTACAGCCATGCGTGAATACATTTTACCTATGGGTGGTCCCGGGAATCAAACCCACTATCCTGGCGTTGCAAGCACCAAATCTGGGGAACAACAGTATGTTAAGGGGGGTAGAAGGGGGAAAAGAAAAATTAGGGAAAAAATTTAGAAAAAGAAAGAAAAAGAAAAAATGTCAGGTTCATCTACATAAGTGTTTATTAATAATTCTTTATTATGATCAGCTGAAAAACGCAAAAACATTTTTTTCCCTGTGTTTGAGGAAGGGAATAGTGGACCTGTAGGTCCCAAGTTCGAATCCCGCCTCAGACAAAAATAAAATATCTTAACAACCACTATAGTCTCCAAAAGTTGTAAATTGTCAATGACAAATCAAATCAGATTTTATTGGCCACATGCGCCGAATACAACAGGTGCAGACATTACAGTGAAATGCTTACTTACAGCCCTTAACCAACAGTGCATTTATTTTTAATAAAAAAGTAAAATAAAACAACAACAAAAAAGTGTTGAGAAAAAAAGAGCAGAAGTAAAATCAAATAACAGTAGGGAGGCTATATATACAGGGGGGTACCGGTGCAGAGTCAATGTGCGGGGGCACCGGCTAGTTGAGGTAGTTGAAGTAATATGTACATGTGGGTAGAGTTAAAGTGACTATGCATAAATAATTAACAGAGTAGCAGCAGTGTAAAAATATGGGGGTGGGGGTGGGGGGGGCAGTGCAAATAGTCTGGGTAGCCATGATTAGCTATCCTTTAGTTAAATTGGCAACTATTAGCATGCAACAATATAATGATTTACAGTATGATTGATTAGCTATTACTGTCGGATCTTACTTTGTTATTTGAAAAGTTAAATTCACCCCCACTTTTTCTATCAGGATTGCTGTTGGTCGCGCTAGCTCCAGCCAACCAGCTTGTTTTTTTCTTTCACGTCATCCATAATTCAAAGATGGAGGGGTGAGATGCTATTATGTGTGTCCTTCTTCCAAAGAAGGAGAAGCTATACATGATTGGCTTATGAAATATGGACAACTGGATGGTGATTGGACATGTATGATAGCCTTACGTGAGTTAAGTGGCACCATGCTCTACCAACTGAGCTACAGAGGACCATATTCAACATTGCTATTAAACTAGTACTCATGTAGGAATGGGTCATTGTTTAGAAGTTGCTAGCAATCCCATAAAGCCATTGCCAAAAGCAGCATATTTTAATCTTCTTCAGAGTCTAGCAGCGCAACAAATGCAATGGCAAAATAAATTCAAAGTGCTCTGTACTAGAGGTCTTCACGCATCCACCTGTACCCGAATACTGGAGACCCGATCCGGGACCCAAGCGAATTCGGATCCAGAATTCTAAATAATGTCATGGGTCTGGGTCGGATCTTATATGATTGTCAAGGTTCTCGGGTATGTGTAATTTTAACTGACTTGTCCAGAAGGGCCCGTACAGATCTGAAAGCGACTGCTGGAGTAGAGAGAGAGAAAGTTTATAATTTATGCTGCTGCTCTTGCTTTTCACGAGAGTGGAGCATGGCGCATGTAGCTTCTTGTTGTTGTTGGCCAATCATAAGTCATCAAAGCGGAAATAGGCTACAGTGATATAGCCTCCGTGTGTGGCAAAAGTTAGGAAATATCTAATCAATGGAATATGGAATTAAAATGACGGAATTTAAAGTTAAAGTAGAAGGATAGGCTACAATATTTGGTTGGTTGCTGTCTCTTGTCTCTCCCTCCTACCTCACAGTATGGCCCTAGTTGTCCGCGAGTCCGTTCGGAACTGGTCTATATTTTAAAAATGTATTTATGCATATTGGGTCCAGTTGGGAAAGCCCCAGATCCATTTCGTAACGGGTACTCTGCACGCACCAGCAAAAAGGTTCCTCTAGGAACCTTTGCTACATTGAAACATTGAAGGTTCATCCAAGAACCCCTCAACTAACCAATGGTACAAAAGCAGCGGGGGGGAACAATAAAAAAGAAGACTAATACTGTATATACTGTGGTAGACCAGGGGGTTTGATCTAGACACAGACACAAGTGTGATACCTCAGTTTCAAGGGTGTTTATTTAAAACAATAAAGAAAAAGAAACAGGTCTCCTCCAGGAGACCACTTCTGGGTTACCGACTTCTGGGTTCCGGGGAAAACTTTCTCCTCTGGGGTAGAACACCGAGCCCCTCGGTTCTAGCAGACCGTGATTCGTATTCTACCCGGCTTGCCTGAGCACATCCAGTACTGCCTGGAGGCGCGTCAGGTGCTCTTCCCAACCTTGGCTGTGGATGATGATGTCATCCAAATAGGCCACTGCGTACTGTTGGTGGGGTCGGAGGAATCAGTCCATCAGGCGCTGGAACGTGGGCGAGGCTTCATGGAGACCGAACGGGAGGACCCGGTATTGGTATAAGCCTTCCGTTGTCGAGAATGCCGTCTTCTCCTGGGAGGAGGCTGCCATGGGTACCTGCCAATATCCCTTGGTCAGGTCCAGGGTGCTGATGTACCAGGCCTTTCCCAACCGGTCGATGAGCTCGTCCAACCTAGGCATGGGGTAGGCGTCGAACAAACTGATGTCATTAATTCCCCGGAAGTCATTGCAGAAACGCAGACTACCTTCCGGTTTGGGCACCAACACAATGGGGCTGCACCATGCGCTGTGGGACTCCTCGATGACTCCTATCCTCAGCATAGCCTCCACCTCCTGCGTCGCGGCCTTCCTTCGGAACTCGGACCGTTTCTCCGGGCCGGGTGCGGACGTGGTGTTCAATGAGGGTCGTTTGGCCCGACTTCTCTGAGAACAAGGCGGTGTTCCGATCGATGAGCTCCTGGAGTGCTTGCTTCTGGGCCGGTCCGAGGTCGTCATTGCTCGGGGGTCGAAGTCATGTATTTTGACCACAACACGGCCAAGGCTGTCCTCACGTGCCACCTCTTCAATAGGTTCACGTGGTAAATCTGTTGGGGTTTCCGTCTCCCCAGCTGCCGTACGCGGGAATTTACGGGTCCCAGCTTCTCTGTCACCTTGAGACGGGAACTTACTTTCTGCGGTGGGGATTATATCTAGCACCTTGTCATCCACATGGAATGCTCGGGGCTGGGTCCCCCAATTGTAGACCTTGACTTGGGCTGCGATCCGTTCCTGGGTCTTCTCCATTCCCAGGTGCGCCCCCAACAAATGGGTCTGGGCCAGCTGAAGAACGGTTCCGACATACCGGCGGGCCAGCAACAGCACCTCTCGAAGTTCAACCTGTTCGTGCGACACCTGATACAACAGGTTTTTTTTGTTGTTGGGGAAATGGGGGTATCGCCAGTCACTCACCCCCGGAAGAAGCTGGCCATCCACTGGGCGTCCCGAACTGACCTCTCAGGGGGCTCAGGGCAGGTGTCTCAGCGGGTCCCTCAAAATCGAGGAGGGGGAGCATGGGCTCCTCCTCCGGTTGTTCACCAGGTGAGGTTGGTTCCGGCGCCCCCTTGAACCCCAACTCCGGGTCCGTAGACACAGGGTTGGCAACTGCTTGCTTCCGGGCCACGCAGGATGACGGTCCATCCCCGCTCTCGTCTGTCGCTGGCTCGTACTCTTTTCCCCAGCCTGTGCCTCCACGGTGCCGCGGACAATCTCATCCCACGAGGAGAAGTACCGACAACTCAGGTACGGCACCCCACCATCTGGCAGCTCACTTGTGGCGTCACAATGGTGGCCTGCCTGGTCGAATACCATTTGGTGCCGTCGTGGACACAGGAGACGGACATCTCCTCACCACGGTCGTTCGGATGGGCCAGCAGACGCGCTTGTACAAGCATTACCACACTCCCGGAATCCAACAGAGTGTGGGTGTCGTGACCGTCGACTTTCACCAGGACCATGGGGGCTGGTGGTTCGCTGTGGCCCCAACAGGAGGTGAAATAGTTTACTGCATGGCCCGGCTCGTCTCCGGGGCCCGGATTGGAGAGTACGGTGGTGGGGTCGTCCTTCACTTGGACTCTGCCTGCGTCCCCTTCGGCAGGGCCTTGGTATTCTGGTGCATCTCCACGGCTCCCAAGAGGTCCTCCAAGGTCTGGGGTGCGCGGAGGCTCGCCACCCTCTTCATGTCGTGAGGTAGCGCCCGTAAGAAGTGATCCATGACCACTTTGTTGATAATGGGGAGGGTGGCTACGTCGTTTAGGAGCCATACCCTGGTGATGCGCAGTAGGTCGCTCATCTGGGCTCGGGGGGAAGCTTCGGTCACGAACCTCCAGTCGTGGACCAGTTGGGCGTACCTCCCTCTTGAGACAGTCGTAGTTAGCCGCCTGTTCGGTGTTGAGGTCAAAATACGCCTTTTGAGCGTCTTAAAAACGATTAGCTTGATTAAAAACCGGTTGGGATGCGATTCGGTCTGCGTTTCTCCTCGCAGCTTCCTGACTTCCTCAAGCAGCCGGAAATTCTGTAGAAGCTGTTCTTCCAGCATTCGTTCCTGAATGTCCTGTTGTGCTTGTTGGGCCCGAACGAGCTGAGCTATCAACTCGTCCATGCTGATACTGTGTAAACGTCAACCCTGGTCTGACCACGTTGTCAGATTGCCCGCGTTCTCCACCACTTGTGGCAGACCAGGGGGTTTGATCTAGACATTTGATCTAGAATGCTGTCTCCTCTGGGGTAGAACACCGAGCCCCTCGGTTCTAGCAGACCGTGAGGACGTCTATCCGGTAGCAACCTCTCACTACCTCCAACCCTCCCGTGTGCTGCCCTCCTGGCAGCTTTATGGGCCCCGTATGGCTGGTAAGCAATCAGCCCCTTGATTACTCACCAGCCTCAATCAGCCCCAATTAGTCCTAGCCGGAGGACCCGTCAAGACCTGGCACGTCCAGCAGAGGGAGCCACCGCCACGTGATGTAGACTCCGATTGTCACCAGGCCTCGACGAGTCTCCCACTGGTGGCTTGTCCGTGGTTCGTCACAATACATATTTACAGCTGTAACAATGATAAATGTCCATGGGGGGAGGTGGGGGCAGGGGGTAAATGTTAATTGGGGTGGGGGATAGAATATCCAAAGGGGGAGCAGCAAGGCGGGGGGGGGGGGGGGGGGGACTCCTAACGGAGTAATGGAAGCGAGGAGAACACTCCGAGGCTCAGGTGGCTGAGGTCCTTGATTATCATCTTGGCCTTCCTGTGACACCTGGTGTTTTAGGTTTCCAGGAGGGCAGGCAGTGAGCACCCAATGGTGCATTCAGCTAAGCGTACCACCCTCTGTAGAGGCTTGCGGTCAGTGGTGGTGGAGTTGACATACCAGGCCGTGATGCATCCCGACAGTATGCTATTGATGGTGGTCCTGTAGAACACTGTGAGGGCCCACGGGGACAGGCCAAATTTCTTCAGACCATTTCAGCTCATCTTAGATGTGTACACTGAGTTTTTGACCATCTCCATGCTGATGAGGATGGGGGAGTGTCCAACCTGGTTCCTCCTGTCCACAATCAGCTCCTTTGTTTTGCTGACGTTGAGGGAGAGGTTGTTTACCTGGCACCATGCCGTCAGAGTGCCTGGCCTACTACTGTCATGTCATCAGCGAACTTTATGATGGAGTTGGAACTGTGTGAGGCCACGCAGTCGTGGGTATACAGGGAGTACAGGAGGGAACTGTTGAGGGTCAGTGTGGAGGTAATGTTACCTACCACCCCCCCCCCCCCCCCCCTCGGGGGTGGCCCATAAGGAAGTCCAGGACCCAGTTGCATAGGGAGGAGTTCAGTCCCAGGGTTGTGAGCTTTGTGATGAGCTTAGAGGGCACTATGGTATTGAAGGCCGAGCTGTAGTTGATGAACACCATCCTCACATATGCATTCCTTTTGTCCTGGTGGGTCCGCAATGGCAATTGCGTCGTCCGTGGATCTGTCAGGGTGGTAGGTGAATTGGAGAGGTTTGAGTGTGTTGGGGAGGGAGGAGGTGATATGGACTTTGACTAGCCTCTCGAAGCACTTCATGGTGACCGAAGTGAATGCTACGGGTCGGTAGTCATTCAGTTCAATTACTTTCCCTTTCTTGGGAACAGGGATGATAGTGGACATCTTGAAACAGGTGGGGATAACAGCCTGAGCTAGTTATGGACTGGAGTTGCAGCGATGGGACAAGACTGTAACTACCAATTGGATATCATGAAATTGGGGAGAGAAAGGGGTAAACAAATTTTTTTTTTAAAGAGTTCAGTATTCTTGATTAGGTCTTATACAGTATACTGTGCTTACATTCCATTTTGTTCCTTAATTTTCAGTGTATGGTTAATTACACCTCAGCATCACAAACCTTTTATTTTGGTCTGAATAGGCTTTGTTAAGGGCCAACATTACAGCTATAAGTGGCCCTCATAAAGATTGGCAGAGACATTTAAAAAGTGAAAGAGACAAACAATATTTGGCATGCTTATTAGCTGGAGGTTTGCTGTCAAGCCTCTGTGTAATTGCTTTGATTGATACATCTAAAGATGCACTTGAAAGATGGTGCATTCTGACTGTCTCTTTGAAGAACACAGCATGGGAAGCATTTCAATCACAACACCCACTGCGTCTCCTAATGGCACACTCACACAGGCTAACCTGCATGTACTGTAGTAACGATGGCTGCCAGGGCTGCCAACCCCTCTGGCATGACTGGCACAGTATGTGCGGGCGGTAGGGCATCAGTGTCCCCTATGTGGGCTATCTGTTTCTGCTCTCGAGCTCACCAATTAACTCCACTCTCCTGCCTTCCACACACAGACCGATGACGTGCCAGAATGGATGGTTTGAGCTGCAATTTATCACCTCTACTTTCTGCGTTACACATTTTTCTGTCAAGTGTAGTAAACCAAGTGTGCTCAGTCATATTCCCCATCACCCGGAATGGTTATAGAAGTCTTCATAATTTATTTGCTTGGAGTTTTCTGACAGATCTGCTTTTGGAGAGCCAGGCTGGGCATGGTTGCTTTCGTGAATTTGATTAAGTGGAAGGACGCAGGGATTAAGTCCTGCGACAGTGACTGTACAATCAGGGATCAGTCACCGTTCCGCCACTACCACACAAGCCAAAGTATTTATATGCGGGAACACGTTTGATTGGAGAACCATCTAATGAGTGAACATGTAGTTCATCTGAAACATTCTTACGAGAGTTTAAAAACAACATGTATTTAGTTTTGCCTGTATTAAGCACTGTGGCCAATTTATTTTGCTCATTTGTACCCCAGTATCTCTATTTGCACATCATCTCTTGCACATCTATCATTCCAGTGTTAATACTAATTGTAATTATTTTGCACTATAGCCTATTTATTGCCTTACCTCCATAACTTGCTACATTTGCACACACTGTATATATATTTATTTCTGTTGTATTTTTGACTTTGTTTTGTTTTACCCCATATGTAACTCTGTGTTATTGTTTTTATCGCACTGCTTTGCTTTATCTTGGCCAGGTCGCAGTTGTAAATGAGAACTTGTTCTCAACTGGTTTACCTGGTTAAATAAAGGTGAAATTAAAAAATCAAAAAATAAAATAAACTGTTAAATCAGCATGGAATTCCTGCATAGATTCCTGCAAATGATTGCCTTGATGCAGTGAGGAATTACCCCTGTATTTTTATGGGCTGGTTTCTGTCTGTCTTGATAGTCTTTGTATTTGAATGTCAAAAGCATACTGCAATTACATTTTCACAGCGTTTACTGGAGCTAAAAAAGAGAGTTGAATGTGTGTGAATGTTTTAGTCAGTTTGTTTTTGGATCATTTCTGTGTGTGTCATCAATATGCCTCCCTATGTGTCTGTGTTTTTTAGGCAAAAAAACCCCAGCACCATAGGTTTAAGAGTGGGTTTAGGAGGAAATCAGCTTGAAATGGATTTTCAATTAAAAAAGGCAATTTAGCCACGGTTTGAGAGGAGGGCTCTTGCTCCTTTCCGAATGGGCAGATTTGCATAATTGTCCCATAAGGCCTGAATCTGTCAATTTTAATTTGATAATGCATCTCCTCGTCGAGTTGGCAAGACGGAATTGGATTACGGTCTTGGATCTCATTAGTGTTGTTTGACAAAGGTCCTTTTCATAACACAAGATGTCATCAGCTGAAATCTGAAGGAAATTAATTCATTTTTATAGCGGCATATTGGTCCAGCGCCATCTTCTCAATTTGGTTAATTTCCCTTTCAGCAAATCTTCCTTTCTCTCTCTAAACACTTTACCTCAGCTCTTGGCTTGCATATTGTTTGACATTCACTGGTGTTATATCTTTATAAGTGACTATCAGTTTAGCTGATTGAATGCCTCCTCAGTATTCCACTCATGGGGCTCTATTTTGAGTGTCTTTCAATCCAATATGCTGGTCCCTAAAGATGTAAGAAAATCCAACAGTGAATGTTTGTCTTATTTTCATCTGTTGAAGATAATTTGCTTTGTGATTTTATTGTCAAAACACCATCTTGGTGTTCAGCCAAAATTATATATATTCTCTTATATTTTCTTTCATGCTAGGTGCATCGTTACTGCCTGCATTCTACAGGATGCAAAGCATTGGCAATGTTCCCACCTCTGATCTCTGTATTCTCTATTTTTTTCAGGAAACCAGAATAAACTGCATCCGAATAGCCCGCAAAGGTAATTCAACATGAATATTTTCATTGAACAATACGGTGACCTTCCATGGATCTCCCTGAGTCTCTGAAGTCCTGTAGGCTTTACTGTGGCATGTTGACCTTACACTCTAAATACAACTCCAAAGATGAAAAGATGTGTTGTGTTCAGGTCCGAACCCTAGTTTCTGTGCTGGTATTCCAGACATGTACAGTAGATGGAGTTTAGCATGCGGGACAAGCAGCGGGATTTCTCTGAAGATCCATGTTGTTTAGTGATGAGCCAGACTCCTGTGAGCTTTCCTCTCATTGCCTTCAGAGAAAAGGACAGCAAGCAGGGAGAGATTAGAGGTCAGGCTTTCATCATGTTTGTTTGGGGGGACACAGCAATATCAAAGGCAGTTCCACTGTTCCCGTCAGACAGCTACACTACGCAGAGGGGGAGGGAAACATCTGAGGGCTTTTGACCCCTGTCTGCTCAAGAAGGGCCCTTCACATCAACAACACAGATGGAACTACCTGAGCCCATCAATATGAGCAATGTTTCTCCCCTCTTCCTCCCTCCCACTCTCTCTCACCCTGCCACAGGAACTCAAAGGGACACGAAAAGGGCATAGAAATTATGGTGACTAAAAGTCATGTATTTATAGTTATCATAGTGCTGCAACAGTAAGCTAGTCTTGCTAGTAAATTGACTTGGCGAGCTGTACTTTTCGGTGAAGGCCTCTTTTTGTGACTGAATAATGAAGAGACCAGGCGCTCTTGAAGCATGAAGCTAAAAGGCAAGGCCAGCCATTTTAGCTCTGCGTCTCACTCCATCTGGTCCTCACAGACACCCAGTTGGGACTTTGAATAATTACGCCTCGACACATTGATGAACTTTACACAGTATGTGCCTATTTTCTCTGGCACATACTGTAGGGGAAGGCCGTTTGAGAGAGAGGGAAAGGAAGTAAACATAAAGGGCCTTGATGAGAACCCTATGAAAATGTATTTGAACATTTAGGCTCCCGAGTGGTGCAGCGGTCTAAGGCACTGCATCTCAGTGCTTGAGGCGTCACTACAGACCCCCTGGTTTGATTCCAGGCTGTATCACAACCAGCCGTGATTGGGATTCCCATAGGGCGGCGCACAATTGGCACAGCGTCGTCCGGGTTTGGCCGGTGTAGGCCGTCATTGTAAATAAGAATTTGTTCTTAACTGACTTGCCTAGTTAAATAAAGGTAAAATAAAATAAATAAAACATTCAGCCACATTGTATCTTAACCCCCAAAATAGCTTTCAAATTGGTTAGAATCAACATTAGATACTTTAATCAGCCTTTTAACATCCTGCTTGAAAAACAGGAAATAATATGGTGTCCGACAGGGTTAAGTAAGAAGACCAGCTTTAGAAACCACCACTGATGTAACTAAACTGACCAATAGGATACCCCAGATCATTTTATATTTCAAGGTACGACACATCAGTACCAGTGGTTAGTAATTATTTATCTGTTTGATCCCTCTAACGTTAAACATGGTTGCTGCTGTATCACCTGATTTTACTGGTTGTGAAGCGTTACTTTTAAACAGCCTATCACCAGCAAAGTGGAGGCAAATTATTTGGGTTTAGATAACAAAGCTGGAGATTACATATCAACTTCCAGGTGACAGTTTAATTAACTATCTCTTGGCAGCCCCCAACACAACAATAGACTTCCATTTCTCCTCTAAGTGCTAATTCCCATTCTCAGCCAGCCGGCAGTTGTATGGATTAATGTGGAAAAAATGTAATGTTTGGCTTAATAGAAATTCTCAGACTAAATGTGTGAAGACGGTCGTATCTGTCCAGGGTGTCAGATAAATAAATAGATGTTTCCCCCCTCAGCCATGTTATTAGCATGAAAAATATAGGCCTACTCCTGTATTTAACATGATGAATTGAAGTTATATATGACTTCTCCATCTCTCTGTGTTGGTAGGAACAAAGTCTTTAATACATTTTCTGCCAACTACAGTACCTTTAGAAAGTATTCACACCCCTTGACTTTTTCCACATTTTGTTGTGTTACGGCCTGAATTTAAAATGGATTAAATAGAGATTGTTTTGTCACTGGCCTACACAAAATATCCCATAATGTCAAAGTGGAATTATGTTTTTGTACAAATTAATGCTAAATTAAAAGCTGAAATGTCTTGAGTCAATAAGTATGCAACCCCTTTCTTATGGCAAGCGTATACAGTGCCTTCGGAAAGTATTCAGACCCCTTGACTTTTTCCACATTTGGTACGTTACAGCCTTGTTCTAAAATTGATTAAATAAAAATATTTCCTCGGCATCTACACACAATATCCTGTAATGACAAAGTGAAAACAGATTTGTAAAAATTTTAGCAAATGTATTAAACATTTTAAACAGAAATACCTTATTTACGTAAGTATTCAGACCCTTTGCTATGAGACTAGAAATTGAGCTCAGGTGCATCCTGTTTCCATTGAACATCCTTGAGATGTTTCTACAACTTGATTGGAGTCCACCTGTGGTAAATTCAATTGATGGACATGATTTGGAAAGGCACACACCTGTTTATATAAGGTCCCACAGTTGACAGTGCATGTCAGAGCAAAAACAAAGCCATGAGGTCGAAGGAATTGTCCGTAGAACTCTGAGACAGGATTGTGTCGAGGCACAGATCTGGGGAAGGGTACCAAAACATTTCTGCAGCATTGAAGGTCCCCAAGAACACAGTGGCCTCCATCACTCTTAAATGGAAGAAGTTTGGAACCACCAAGACTCTTCCTAGAGCTGGCCGCCCGGCCAAACTGAGTAATTGGGGGAGAAGGGCCTTGGTCAGGGAGGTGACCAAGAACCCGATGGTCACTTTGACAGAGCTCTAGAGTACCTCTGTGGAGATGGGACAACCATCTCTGCAGAACTCCACCAATCAGGCCTTTATGGTAGAGTGGCCAGACGGAAGCCACTCCTCAGTAAAAGGCACATGACAGCCCACTTGGAGTTTGCCAAAAGGCATCTAGAAACAAGATTCTCTGGTCTGATGAAACCAAGATTGAACTCTTTGGCCTGAATGCCAAGCATCACATATGGAGGAAACATGGCACCATCAGCGGCAGGGTCTGAGAGACTAATCAGGATTGAGGCAAAGGTGAACAGAGCAAAGTACAGAGAGATCGATGAAAACCTGCTCCAGAGCTCTCAGGACCTCAGACTGGCGCGAAGGTGCACCTTCCAACAGGACAACGACCGTAAGCACACAGCCAAGACAAAACAGGAGTGGCTTCGGGACAAGTCTGTGAATGTCCTTCAGTGGCCCAGCCATAGCCTGGACTTAAACCTGATCAAACATCTCTGGAGAGACCTGATAATAGCTGTGCAGCAATGCTCCCCATTTAACCTGATAGAGCTTGAGAAGATCTGCAGAGAAGAATGGGAGAAACTCCCCAAATATCGGTGTGCCAAGCTTGTAGTGTCAAACCCAAGAAGACTTGAGGCTGTAATCGCTGCCAAAGGTGCTTCAACAAAGTGCTGAGTAAAGGGTCTGAATACTTACTGTAATATTTTCTTTTTGTTTTGCAAAAATGTCTAAAAACCTGTTTTTGCTTTGTCATTATGGGGTATTGTGTGTAGATTGAGGGGAAAAAATAATTTACTCAATTTTAGAATAAGGCTGTAACCTAACAAAATCTGGAAAAAGTCAAGGGGTCTGAATACTTTCCGAAGGCATTGTAAGTTCAGGAGTAAAAATGTGCTTAACAAGTCACATAATATGTTGCATGGACTGACTCTGTGTGCAATAATAGTGTTTAACATGATTTTTGAATGACTACCTCATCTCTGTACCCCACACCTACAATTATCTGTAAGGTTCCTCAGTCGAGCAGTGAATTTCAAACAGAGATCCAACCACAAAGACCAGGGAGGTTTTTCATAGCCTCGCAAAGAATGGCACCTATTGGTAGATGGATAAAAAAGCAGACATTGAATATCCCTTTGAGCATGGTGAAGTTATAAATTACACTTTGGATGGTGTATCAACACACCCAGATACAGGCGTCCTTCATAACTCAGTTGCCGGAGAGGAAGGAAACTGCTAAGGGATTTCACCATGAGGCCAATGGTGACTTTAAAACAGTTACAGAGTTTAATGGCTGTGACAGGAGAATGGATCAACAGGATGGATCAACAACATTGTAGTTACTCCACAATACTATCCTAAATGACAGAGTGAAAAGAAGAAGGAAGCCTGTACAAAATACAAATATTTCAAAACATGCATCCTGTTTGCAACAAGTCATTAAAGTAATACTACAAGAAGTGTGGCAAAGCAATTCACTTTTTGTCCTGAATATATTTGGGAAAAATCCATTACAACATTATTGAGTTTCAGGATAAAACAATTAATGTGATGGTGCTAAGCACATAACAAAATCCTAGCGGAAAACCTGGATTAGTCAGCTTTCCACCAGACACTGGGAGATGAATTCACCTTTCAGCAGGACAATAACCTAAAACACAAGACCATATATACACTGGGGTTGCTTACCAAGAGGACAGTGAATGTTCCTGAGTGGCCAAATTACAATTTTGACTTAATTCTACTTGAAAATCTATGGCAAGACCTGAAAATGGTTGTCTAGCAATGACCAACAATCATTTTGACAGAGCTTGAAGAATTTCGAAAAGAATAATGGGCAAATGTTGCACAATCCAGGTGTGGAAAGCTCTTATAGACTTGCCCAGAAAGACTCACAGCTGTAATCGCTGCCAAAGGTGCTTCTACAAAATATTGACTCAGGGGTGTGAATACTTATGTAAATTAGATATTTCTGTATTTCATTTTCAATAAATTTGCACAAATTTCTAAAAACATGTTTTCACTTTGTCATTATGTGGTATTGTGTGTAGATGGGTGAGAAAAACAAATCTATGTAATCCATTTTGAATTCAGGCTGTAACATAACAAAATGTGGAATAAGTCAAAGTGTATGAATACCTTTTGATGGGAGGCTGGCTGAATTAGTTATACCTCTTACCTTTGTATGTCAAGCATACTTGTGATACACAAAAGGATTACCTACAAGGCCGGTGTATCCACTCTGTCAGGGAAGACATCGCTCAGAGTCCATTTAGTCTACGTGAACTGTACACCAATGACTAAATGTGATAGACTGTAAAAACATTAGTGAAAGAGTACATACAAGGCTGCTAAAACTTTGGGACTATCCCTTAGTATTGATCAAATGCAACGAGTCATATACTTGGTGATTTTTCATTAAAAAACCCTGGGCACCAACCAGAAACCTTTCCAAAAATTCCTGAAAGAAAACTAGATCTCGTCCTGATATTCTCCCCCATAGGGATGAGGTCGGTGAAATGCCCCTGGGCCTGGTTGCACAAGGAGAGGGCTAAAACATGGCTCCTTTTCCCTTTCCTCTTTCCTCTGCCCCAGATCTCATTCTTCCCTTGTGAGCCTCTTCATTCCAACCACTAGCTAGCTATCTAGACCTGTTTCCTTAGGCCAGCTCTGACTTTCTCCTCCACTAGAGGATGGCTGTGCTGTTCCAAAAGGCACAGTAGGGCTGGTTGAAGGGCTGCTTGGGCCGTAAGGAGAGGCTGACACTACACAGAGAAAGTAGATCATTGGGTTCCTGCTACAAGACAAAAAAAGCTTATTGCTTCTCCTCCTAGTTCCATAAGTGTAGAGCTTTGTACCAGTGAGATGAGTAACTTGCTATTATAATAATGGCCTTTACCATATCTCACAGACACTGGGGCACCTTGCAATTATACTGGGGAAAGGGGAATACCTAGCCAGTTGCACAACTGAATACATTAAACCGAAATGTCTTCTGCATTTAAACCAACCCCTCTGAATCAGAGAAGTGTGGGGGGGTGCCTTAATCGACATCATTGGCGCCCAAGGAGCAGTTGTTGGGGTTAACTGTCTTGCTCAAGGGCAGAATGGTAGATTTTTCCACCTTGCCGGTTAGGGGATTCGAACTAGCAACCTTTCGGTTACTGGCCCAACACTCTTAATGGCTAGGGTACCTGCCACCCATACTCTACTGTACTCGTGTGGATTTAAATAAACAACACTATAGTCTTGGATTTAGATTAGTATTGTCTTGGATTTCCTCCACAAAAACGCTTTTGTTTTGATGTGGCATTAAACATACTGCAGTTGAACAGAATGTCTTCGTCTTCAAGCAAAGTCACATTCATTCGTGCACACAATTGAAAACGAAAAGGTCCAGGTAGGCCATCTCTATTTCAGTCTGTGTTCTTGTGCTTGGTGCCCATTGAACACGACCTAGGTACTCAGTATGGCAAGTTTGTGAAGACCCTCCACAAAACATTGCCCGGTCCTAGACAACTTTTATCCCTGGCCTCATACAGTATATTTCAACCCTCCTTTCCTGTGTATCACTCGAAGACACAAAGGGCTTTTGTTGTCGAAGGAGACGCAAACCTTTCCCCATGGCTATAAAAAGATTATGTATGATTAGCTTATTGAAAAACTCTCACATCACAGTGCTCTGTTTATGTCTCCCATCCAATTATTTTTTTCTAATGAACATAAGGTGTCTATATTAGCAGGAGCTGATGCGCCTGTGCGGTCATGGTGATTCTCTATTGGCTGCATAAGATGTGGGCACCACAAACCCTCTGTAAATGTGTTTATTGTACATGCTGGTAGCCAGACAGTTTCAATATATAACAATCGTCCCTTGAAACATACTGCCATTGAAATAAAGTAAACCGTGCATATGAATGTGCAGATGTGGCGGTGAAGAGTCTGTTTTGAAACATTCTATATTTTCTCAGCAGTCAGGGAGGTTAGTGTGAATGCAGCCATTGGGATGTTACGGGTCAGGATTTGACAGAGTGATGGCTGCTGTGTATGATAAGCATTGATTATTGAACTGCATTTTAAGCCTGTACATTTCTTCCTTTCTCTGTCTCCCTTCTTTTTTCTGTCCCCCTCTCTCATCCCTCTCTGTCTGTATCTCTCCTTCCTTCTGTTTCTCTCTCTCTCTCTCTCTCTCTCTCTCTCTCTCTCTCTCTCTCTCTCTCTCTCTCTCTCTCTCTCTCTCTCTCTCCCTCCCTTCTTCTCTCCCTTCTTCTCTCCCTCTCTCTGCCTCCCCCCTCCTCCCTTCATCCCTCTCTCTCAGCGGCCTGTAAGGACCACCGGCGGGCTCTGGAGGTGTCCCAACACTCAGAGGAGATGGGGCTGATCCTGGGGGTGTGTGCTGGGGGCCTGGTGGTGCTCATCCTGCTCCTGGGGGCCATCATCATCATCATCAAGAAGGGGTGAGTCACTGGCCCACATTTTTATACCACCTCAAAGGCACATGATTACCACACAGCGTGGTAATTGTTTCCTAACTGACAATTCTCTGGACCACACAAACCATGCTTGTGTATCTGTAGAATGTTGATGTTATTTTTGAGATTCTACCCTCGAGTTTTCCCTAGAACTCGCAAGGGGGGGGGGGGGCTGCACTACCTCCCATTCCCTTATGGTGTACCAGAGGGACCACACCGCTCTCATCTGCAGGGCTTATCTGAGTGTGAAATATTTAATTAAAGGCGAATACAATTCAATAACTCACTTAATTACGCACGCCCGGCAGCGGCATGACCCATAAATGAGAGGATAATTTGGAGGGAAAAGGTGTGCTTTAGGAGATGATTAGCCTAGCCACTAGCCTAGCCACCTCCCCGCAGGTGATGACAACGAGAGGGGCGCCCCACCCACCTTTGTGGTGGCATATGACCCAGACGTTACTCCCTACTCATATACTCCCTTTCACAGGAGTGACTTGAGGGGAGTATCTGGGTTTTGCCCGCTTTTTATTGTCCCACTCTATATTTAAATGTAAACTGAGCAAAAAAAGAAATGTCCTCTCACTGTCAACTGTGTTTATTTTCAGCAAACTTAACATATTTGTATGAACATAACAAGATTCACCAACTGAGACATAACCTGAACAAGTTCCACAGACATGTGACTAACAGAAATTGAATAATGTGTCCCTGAACAAAGGGGGGGTCAAAATCAAAAGTAACAGTCAGTATCTGGTGTGGCCACCAGCTGCATTAAGTACTGCAGTGCAGCTCCTCCTCATGGACTGCACCTGATTTGCCAGTTCTTCCTGTGAGATATTACCCCACTCTTCCACCAAGGCACCTGCAAGTTGCTGGACATTTCTGGGGGGAATGGCCCTAGCCCTCACCCTCCGATCCAACAGGTCCCAGACGTGCTCAATGGGATTGAGATCCAGGCTCTTCACTGGCCATGGCAGAACACTGACATTCCTGTCTTGCAGGAAATCACGCACAGAACGAGCAGTATGGCTGGTGGCATTGTCATGCTGGAGGGTCATGTCAGGATGAGCCTGCAGGAAGGGTACCACATGAGGGAGGAGGATGTCTTCCCTGTAACGCACAGCGTTGAGATTGCCTGCAATGACAACAAGCTCAGTCCAATGATGCTGTGACACACTGCTCCAGACCATGACGGACCCTCCACCTCCAAATCGATCCCGCTCCAGAGTACAGGCCTCGGTGTAACGCTCATTCTTTCGACGATAAACGCGATTCCGACCATCACCCCTGGTGAGACAAAACTGCGACTCGTCAGTGAAGAGCACTTTTAGCCAGTCCTGTCTGGTCCAGCGACGGTGGGTTTGTGCCCATAGGCGACGTTGTTGCCGGTGATGTCTGGTGAGGACCTGCCTTACAACAGGCCTACAAGCCCTCAGTCCAGCCTCTCTCAGCCTATTGTGGACAGCCTGAGCACTGATGGAGGGATTGTGCGTTCCTGGTGTAACTTGGGCAGTTGTTGTTGCCATCCTGTACCTGTCCAGCAGGTGTGATGTTCGGATGTACCAATCCTGTGCAGGTGTTGTTACATGTGGTCTGCCACTGCGAGGACAATCAGCTGTCCGTCCTATCTCCCTGTAGCACTGTCTTAGGCGTCTCACAGTACGGACATTGCAATTTATTGCCCTGGCCACATCTGCAGACCATAAGCAAATAGGTAAACTGGGATAATACTACAGAGTTAATCAGGGTGATTTTTCCACAAATTGACAGGTATTTACCTTTCCATGGTAGCAAGATCTTATCTATTTTTGCTAATTTTCTATTAAAATTGATTGGAGTAAGATCATTTATTTCATTTGGGATATGTATTCCGAGTATATCCACATCACCATCAGACCATTTTATTGGTAAACTACATGGTAATGTAAATGTTTTTTATTTTTTAGTGATCCAATACGTAATATAGTACATTTATCATATTTGGTTGTAATCCAGAGAGGTTAGAAAATGTTTCTAGATCCTCTGAGGCTGTGGAGGAATTCAAGTTGTGGATTTAAAAGAAAACATGAATCATCAGCGTACTATGACACCTTTGTTTTTAAGCCCTGTATTTCTAATCCCTTGATATTATTGTTGGATCTGATTTTAAAATCTAACATCTCGATGGCCATAATAAATAGATATGCCGAAAGTGGACAACCTTGTTTCACTCCTCTTGACAGTTTAAAACTTTCTGAGAAATAGCCATTATTTACTATTTTACACCTAGGGTTACTATACATGATTTTAACCCAATTTATAAGAGATTCTCCAAAATTGAAATGCTCCAGGCATTTATATATAAACCCCTGTCGTACTTGATCAAATACCTTTTCGTAGTCTGCTATGAATAGCAGGCCTGGTTTCCAGATTTTACATAATGTTTTATTGTTTCCAGTACTTGCCTTATATTATCTCCAATGTATCGTCCATGTAAAAAACCTGTCTGATTAGAATGAATAATGTCCGACAATACCTTTTTAATTCTATGCGCTATACATTTTACTATAATTTTTGCATCACAACACTGAAGTGTAAGGGGCCTCCAACTGACTGGATCTTTATATTTTCCACTTGTATCCTGTTTCAGTAATAATTAAATCAGACCTTCTTCTTGAGTGTCTGATAATTTATCATTTACATACAGGGAAAAAAGTATCAGAAATATTTGGCAAATAGAAATCAAACTGGATGGACATCAGAAATAGATGAGAGAGGTTGAGGGTAGAGGAAGGACAGCACTAAAAACAAACAAAATATAACTATTATAAAATAGATTGTGTCCGTAAAATGTATAAGCTGGAAGTAGAAGCCAAGTCTTATTGTTCATTAGTTTACACCAATTAGGGAAGGGTAGTAGGGTTAGTGGAAAATAATAAAGGAAAATATATTTTTTAAAAGATACACACACACACACACACATATCTATATATATATATATACATTGAAGGAAAAAAGTATTTGATCCCCTGCTGATTTTGTACGTTTGCCCACTGACAAAGAAATGATCAGTCTATAATTTTAATGGTAGGCTTATTTGAACAGTGAGAGACAGAATAACAACAAAAAATCCAGAAAAACACATGAATGTTATAAATTGATTTACATTTTAGTGAGGGAAATAAGTATTTGACCCCCTCTCAATCAGAAATATTTCTTGCTGCCAGGTGTCTTTTATACAGGTAACGAGCTGAGATTAGGAGCACACTCTTAAAGGGAGTGCTCCTAATCTCAGTTTGTTACCTGTATAAAAGACACCTGTCCACAGAAGCAATCAATCAATCAGATTCCAAACTCTCCACCATGGCCAAGACCAAAGAGCTCTCCAATGATGTCAGGGACAAGATTGTAGACCTACACAAGGCTGGAATGGGCTACAAGACCATCACCAAGCAGCTTGGTGAGAAGGTGACAACAGTTGGTGCGATTATTGGCAAATGGAAGAAACACAAAATAACTGTCAATCTCCCTTGGCCTGGGGCTCCATGCAAGATCTCACCTCGTGGAGTTGCAATGATCATGAGAACGGTGAGGAATCAGCCCAGAACTGCACGGGAGGATCTTGTCAATGAACTCAAGGTAGCTGGGACCATAGTCACCAAGAAAACAATTGGTAACACATTACGCCGTGAAGGACTGAAATCCTGCAGCGCCCGCAAGGTCCCCTTGCTCAGGAAAGCACATATACAGGGCCATCTGAAGTTTTCCAATGAACATCTGAATCATTCAGAGGAGAACTGGGTGAAAGTGTTGTGGTCAGATGAGACCAAAATCGAGCTCTTTGGCATCAACTCAACTCACCGTGTTTGGAGGAGGAGGAATGCTGCCTATGACCCCAAGAACACCATCCCCACCGTCAAACATGGAGGTGGAAACATTATGCTTTGGGGGGGGGTGTTTTTCTGCTAAGGGGACAGGACAACTTCACCGCATCAAAGGGACGATGGACGGAGCCATGTACTGTCAAATCTTGGGTGAGAACCTCCTTCCCTCAGCCAGCGCATTGGAAATGGGTCGTGGATGGGTATTCCAGCATGACAATGACCCAAAACACACGGCCAAGGCAACAAAGAAGTGGATCAAGAAGAAGCACCTTAAGGTCCTGGAGTGGCCTAGCCAGTGTCCAGACCTTAATCCCATAGAAAATCTGTGGAGGGAGCTGAAGGTTCGAGTTGCCAAACGTCAGCCTCGAAACCTTAATGACTTGGAGAAGATCTGCAAAGAGGAGTGGAACAAAATCCCTCCTGAGATGTGTGCAATCCTGGTGGCGAACTACAAGAAACGTCTGACCTCTGTGATTGCCAACAAGGGTTTTGCCACCAAGTACTAAGTCATGTTTTGCAGAGGGGTCAAATACTTATTTCCCTCATTAAAATGCAAATCAATTTATAACATTTTTGAGATGCGTTTTTTCATCATGTCTTTGTCAGTGGGCAAACGTACAAAATCAGCAGGGGATCAAATACTTTTTTCCCTCACTGTAGGAGTGGTTAAAACATGCTAATAACGTTCCTCTGAATATATCAAAAAAAGGTTTGGTATACCTCGACTGGCATGCCATCCAACCCTGGAGTTTTCCCGGACTTAAAGTATTTAATTGCATCCAGAAGTTCGTCCTCTGTAATTTCACCCTCACATGAGTATTTCTGTATTTTACAATAGAAAAAAATCTCTACAATTAGCTTCAGTTAAACAATAAGTATTTCTAGTCCCATATTCATAGCATGCAATGACTACATCTAGCTTGTGACTCTACAAATTTGTTGGATGCATTTGCTGTTCGTTTGGTTGTGTTTCAGATGATTTTATGCCCAATAGAAATGAATGGTAAACTATTAGGTTATTTTGGAGTCAGTTTTATTGTAAATAAGAATATAATATGTTTCTAAACACTTCTACATGAATATGGATGCTACCATGATTACGGATAATCCTAAATGAATGTGAATAATGATGATTGAGAAAGTTACAGATGCACAAATATCATACCCCCAAGACATGCTAACCTCTCACCATTACAATAACAGTGGAGGTTAGCATTTTTTTTTTTTGGGGGGGGGGGGGGGGTATATTTTTTGTGCTTCTGTGACTTTCTGTAACTTTCTGCACTGTAATTTTTTTCATCAATTATAAATGTCTCATGTTCCAACCCCATCATAACTCAAAGTCTGGTCTAGGCTTGCTCAGAAATAGGTGGACATTTCTCAATTAGGTGAAGAGGGTGGTTGACAGGTTCCATTCCAGCTGAACAGGCATTATACATTTTATTTATTTTAATTTAACCTTTTTTTAACCAGGTTTCTCATTGAGATTTAAAACTCTTGTTCAATAGAGACCTGGCCAATATAGCAGCACATTAAGTTTCATACAGACACATTTACAACATAAAACACAAGGCACTACAGTTAAAAAAAACATACATTTACACATTGAGCAGGCATGTTGTAGGGAGATAACACAGTTCATATTGTTTCCAGTCTGTTAAAGCATCAGTAGCTCTCTAATGTAGCATTTCCATGGCTATGGAGAGGATATGAAAAGTAATTGATTAAAGGTTCCTGTTGGTTCCGGTTAGGTTCCCCCAAGTAGTTCAATAAAAAAACAGTTTGCTCATCAACAATGCCTTACCAGTGTAACTAACATACTGTGGGCGGCAGGTTAGCGGTTAAGAGTGTTGGGCCAGCAACCGAAAGGTCGCTGGATCGAATCCCTGAGCCGGCAATGTGGAAAAATCTGCCGTTCTGCCCTTGAGCAAGGTAGTTAACCCCCAACAACTGCTCCCCGGGTGCTGATGATGTCGATTAAAGCAGACCCCGCACCTCTCTGATTCTGATTCAGAGGGGTTAGGTTAAATGCAGAATACATATTTTGGTTAAATGCATTCAGTTGTGCAACTGACTAGGTAATCCCCTATATGTAGCCTATTAAAACACACTATATATTGTGGCAGACCAGGGGGTTTAATCTAAACATTTACACAGATCAGACACGGACACAAGTGTGATACCTCAGTTTCAAGGGTGTTTATTTTAAAACAATAAAGAAAATAACCACGTCTCCTCCAGGAGACCTCTTCCGGGTTAGCAACTTCTGGGCTACGGGGAATGCTGTCTCTTTTGGGGTAGAACACCGAGCCCCTCGGTTCTAGCAACCTCTCACTACCTCCGCCTCTCCCCTGTGCTGCCCTCCTGGCAGCTTTATGGGCCCCGTACGGCTGGTGAGCAATCAGCCCCTTGATTACTCACCAGCCTCAATCAAACCCAATTAGTCCTGGCCTGAGGACCCGTCGAGACCTGGCACGTCCAGCAGAAGGAGCCACCGCCGCGTGATGTAGACTCCGTCTGTTACCAGGCCTCGACGAGTCTCTCCCTGGTGGCTTGTCCGTGGTGCGCCACAATATACGCCACAATATACAAAAGTATGTGGACAGCCCTTCAAATTAGTGGATTAGTCTATTTCAGCTACACCCGTTGCTGACAGGTGTATAAAATTGAGCACATAGCCATGCAATCTCCATAGACAAACATTAGCTGTAGAATGGCCTTACTGAAGAGCTCAATGACTTTCAACGTGGCACCGTCATAGGATGCCACCTTTCCAACAATCAGTTCGTAAAATGTCTGTCCTGCTAGAGCTGCCCCAGTCAACTGTAAGTTCTGTTATTGTGAAGTGGAAACGTCTAGGAGCAACAAAGGCTCAACCGCGAAGTGATAGGCCACACAAGCTCACAGAACGGGATCGCCGAGTGCTGAAGCACGTAAAAATTGTCTGTCCTCGGTTGCAACACTCACTACCGAGTTCCAAACTGCCTCTGGAAGCAACGTCAGCACAATAACTGTTTGTTGGGAGCTTCATGAAATAGGTTTCCATGGCCGAGCAGCCGCACACAAACCTAAAATCACCATGCTCAATGCAAAGCGTCGGCTGGAGTGGTGTAAAGCTCGCCACCATTGGACTCTGGAGCAGTGGAAAAGCGATCTCTGGAGTGATGAATCACTCCAATGGTGAATCTGGGTTTGGCGGATGCCAGGAGAACGCTACCTGCCCGAATGCATAGTGCCAACTGTAAAGTTTGGTGGAGGAGGAATAATGGTCTGAAGCTGTTTTTCATGGTTCGGGCTAGGCCCCTTAGTTCCAGTGAAGGGGAATCTTAACGCTACAGCATACAATGACATTCTAGACGATTCTGTGCTTCCAACTTTGTGGCAACAATTTGGGGAAGGCCCTTTCTTGTTTCAGCATGACAATGCTCCCATGCACAAAGCAAGGTCCATACAGAAATGGTTTGTCGAGATCTGTGTGGAAGAGCTTGACTGGCCTGCACAGAGCCCTGACCTCAACCCCATCGAACACCTTTGGGATGAATTGGAACACCGACTGCCAGCCAGGCCTAATCGCCCAACGTCCGTGCCCGACCTCACTAATGCTCATGGCTGAATGGAAGCAAGTCCCCGCAGCAATGATTCAACATCTAGTGGAAAGCCTTCCCAGAAGAGTGGAGGCTGTTATAGCAGCAAACTGGGGACCAACTCCATGATTTTGGAATGAGATGTTCGACGAGCAGGTATCCACATACTTTTGGTAATGTACATACTTAGAGTCCCAGGGTTGTGGGTTCGATTCCCACGGGGAACCAGTATGAAAATGTATGCACTCACTAACTGTAAGTCGCTCTGGATAAGACTATATTTTTTATTAATTTTTTATTTATATTTTATTGACTAAAATGTAAAAATGTAAAAGTAGTGTATCTAGGCCTATGAAAAATTAGTCTCAAGTTATTATTTTCTATGAAGTCGAGTCTCAAGTCATCAAATTTGACTCGAGTCCACACCTATGGCACACACAACCCTGGAGAAGAAAGAAAAAACACATTATTCCAGTTTACTCCACTAAGCCACCATGAAGTTAGCTCTTAGCTGGATGAATGCTACATTTGCTCTGGCAGGAAGCGACATGATTTACTCGTTAAAGGGGAACACAGTGACATATTCAATTAGAGGCTGGTCTAGCTGCTTTGGCTGTGGTTTGGTCCTGTCACCGCGTGGTAAATGCATGAGTCACAAGGTCCAACCAGACGTTGCAGAGACCGTTGCCACTTTCACGTTAAGGAATCCATCCCTCGGCCGGCCGGCATTTTTTGCATCTCACATCTTCTTATTTCTCTTGATCCTTTTCTCTGCCTTCCCTCCAACTCACTCGCCAGAAGGGACTACTACTCATACTATCCGTAAGTGACGCCAACCCTCCTTCCTTTCCATTGTTTTGCCAGTCGATCATTCACATGCTTGTGCTCCCTGGCTGCCAATGAAGCGTTTCAGTGGCCAAATCAATCTCTCTCTCTCTCTCTCTCTCTCTCTCTCTCTCTCTCTCTCTCTCTCTCTAGGAAGCCAGTGAACATAAATAAGACGCCCATAACGTATCGTCAGGAGAAGAGTCACATGGGTTCCATGGAGCGCAGTTTCACTGACCAGAGTACTCTGCAGGAGGACGAGCGCATGGCCCTCTCTTTCATGGATGCACACACCTGCAGCACGCGCAGTAAGACATACATGTACACGTGCACACACACACACCTGCAGTATATGCTGTCAAATAAAAAAGAAGACACCAGCAATCAAGCCATGATGCATTCCTGGAACACCTGAGGACTAAAATATTCACTCACATAATCACTTAGGACAAGCTTTTCCCAAAATGTTCATCAAACGCTCCCACAATATTGTGTGTGAACTTAATACCTCCCACAACATCCATTTAGTCTTAGAAAAGCTTCATATAATTCAGAAGCGGCTGTACTCCCTGCAGCAGATCCACAGTCTAAAATAAGATAACGAGAAACATTAAATTGCAAGCAGAAGTAAAGTGAAACACCTTCAGGCTATAAAATGATTTGTGATTCTAATCATCTTCCTTCTCATCTCGATATCTTGAAATATTAAGGTGCATAACAGAAATGGAAAGAAAAATCATGTTGTTAAATTTTTTTGGGTTTTTCATGTCCTGGGCCCGGTTGCATAAAACACCTTAAGTTAATTTCCCACCTATCTTTTCCCTTAAAGTTTCCTGAACTTTAAGTCAGTTGCACAAAACATTTAAGGGGAATTTCCCCCTTAAATTAAGTGAACATTTTAAGGGTGCCCATGAGGTCCCTTAACTGCTTTATTCAGTATGGATGGAAACAGCATTTGTGGAGGTGAATGTTGCTTTCATTTGCTCTGGTTACAAAAGGAAAACATCAACCAGCGAGCTGCTTAGCTAAACAATGGAAGGTACACAATCCATGGCTACAAAGCTAGCTGGCTAGCTAGCTATAGCTACTCTGTAAGCTAGCTTGACGTACTAGAAAGTAACATAAACAAGTTGAGAAAAAAGTAACTAAAATAAATGTGGTTTAGTATCTTCTGAAGCAATTTGGTTATCCTGTCTTGATTGTAGAAGTTCTACTTTGCTATCTCACAAAATGAAAGTGATCTCTTTGAGGAGACGTTTAGTCAGTGAATCAGGCCGTCTCCATGGTAACCAGATACTCTTTCTGCCATACATGCCTTCAAACTAAGGAAATATTTGAGGGGCTCTATGCAACGCCCTTAAACATTCCCTAAGGTAAGGGAAAATGATTCCTTAAGGTAAACACTTAAGATGTTTTATGCAACCGGGCCCTTGTGTACTTAATAGTTAATCAAAGAGATAGAATAGATGGTGTCATCTCAATCAAATATTACTACCCAAACAAACCAATCTCACTTTACTGTCAGCAACTTCAATAATACATACAATAGCTGGGTCCATTCTGACACCATACAGTTTTCTATATACCTATAGCCTATGGAATATTGACTGGCATTGACGTCAACAGGAGTTTCATATGAAAAATCAAGTTACGAACATATTACTCAATTTTGTCTAACTCTATGCCTAATGGTGCCTCCTTCCTTTGTCCTCCTCTCATAGGTGAGCAGCGTAGCTCAGTGAACGAGTCCAGTAGTCTTCTGGGGGGTTCCCCGCGACGGCAGTGTGGGCGTAAGGGCTCACCCTACCACACGGGTCAGCTCCACCCTGCTGTGCGCGTGGCCGACCTTCTACAGCACATCAACCAGATGAAAACTGCAGAGGGCTACGGCTTCAAACAGGAGTACGAGGTAGGAAGTATGGGGACAGAGGCATGGTTGTGGCCGATGTGTGTTTGTGTGGTGTAAGGGTGTATTGCTGGGTAAGGTGTGAGAAAATACAAGTTTGTAGTCATGTCATCATACACTGTTTAAAATGTAGAATAAGTCATAATTTACAAGTCAAAATTGTAGACAGGAGATTATACATTTAGTAGTCAGATTGTGTGAAGTCACTCATATCCCAGTTCTCACAGACTGCAAAAATGTATGATCAGGGTTAAAATACACTTCTTGGACCAAGTTGACTGTGAGACTATTAATAAATCATCATTGTCTGGATCTCAAATAGCCCCTCTGTCAGAGTGGCTGTAGCAGTGTAGCTGATGAAGCCCCCCAATCCCCAGGGGATCCCAACCCCTGGCAGTCCTCCATTACCACACTGATAAAAGAAGATCCTCTGGACTCTGGTTGCAGGATAGTTCTCAATAGAGGTTTTTGGGCTCCACCACTGCGAAGTGGCTGGGGTGTGATGTATAGGATGCCACCGAGTTGAAAGTGTTCTTAAGTGGTGCACGGCACAACGAGGGAGACATTTTGTGAAATCAGATCTGCAATTAAGGAGAGAAGCCTGGAGGGACTGACAGGCTATGTTCCAAACCTCTTTATGCATCAGAGAGTGTGTGTTAAGGAGAGTCTTGCTCGGTTCACTTATCTCTCGACATGCAGACTGTGGAACTGAGTCTGTACTTTACTGTAGGCAGAGAGGGACATTGTTTTTGTTTTGGGAGACAAGCAGAACTGAACACACTTATTATTCCAGTACCTCTGTAACGGCTGATTTCCATGGCTGTCTGGATGCGTCGGGCCACATTTTGGAGGGCACACAGCCCTGAAACATGTCCCCCAGGTGGGATACTACTCCAGTCGAGAGCAGACTCTGGGGTGAGCTCCATCCCTGTCTGTCGCCTGTGGTTTCCCTGTCACATGTCAAGGAAAATAGAGAAAATATCTCACTCCCCCAATTTCTCCCTGGCTACATGCTTGCCCCTCTGGAACTCTGCTTGTAGACTCAGTAAACTGTCCCCCATGGGCAAAACAATCTCCACTACAAACATCTATATTCAGCTCCCTGTATTTTCTATATCTGTGTCTCTCTCCATTACAATTGAAAACAATGAGGACTATCAGCTCGTGCTCTCCTGACTGGCCTAGGCTTTATTTCCCAGTGGAATGCTCTCTGCAGTGCATTGTAAAGGACTGGCATGTCTGAATTCCCACTGCAGTCACCTGCAGGTAAACACTAAGATATACATTGGAGAACTCAGGCATTCACTATGCTGTACAGGGCATCACCTTGAGGCAAAGCTTGAAAGGCATAATATATCTATTGATAATTCATTGTGTGCGGAATGAAGTAAACAAAACAAGAGCTGTTTTCACAGATCACAGCCAAGAATTGAGCCAGTTTTTCAATTATGTCCTCAGGATGTTGACTTATACTGTCATTATGCTTAGGAAAAAGGAAAGCAGTCAAAACAGGTGGGATGGTTGATACAGTAATATTGCACTGGGGGAGAAAAGAGACAGCAATAATTTGAAATCACTGCAGCAAAATGATTCATAGCAAAGTTATGCTACGGCTCAGACTGTTCTTCACTGTGTCTCGTCTTTGTCTTCCATCCGAGTTTTACTCTTCATTTTTTGTGTGATCCTCAGAACCAATTAACCCCTCCCTCCCTTCCTGCACCCTCCCCCCCCCGATCCATGGGCCTCACTCTCCACGTCTATATTGGGAAAAGTGGGGGGGTTGGTGTAATCCCAGGCAGGGTTTGGCCAGTTACTCTCTCTCTGGGGAGAAGCGGGGTTGTAATCCCCTGCTCAGCATGCAGGACTCAGGCTTGGATTCACCCAGAGTCCCCCCTGGTGGCTGAACAACCACAGGGGTGTGTGTTGGGGGGAACTTGGCCCCACACACTAGGTTGAGAGGAGTAGTTTGGCTGATAAGAGCATAAGAGAGCTGGATACCGCTGCTGGGGTTGCCGTGGAGTCAGGACTGTCATGGGATGGCGATAGTGGGGCATGGTGATGAGATGAGAGGAGCGTGTTGGAACAGAGTTGTGGATGGGGCCGTATGGGATTCACTAAAGTGCTCTCTCTGTGTGTGAACATGAAGCTAAGGCCCTTCCACATGTTCTGCATGATCAGTTAATGTGAACAGGTCATCTATGATGCTTTTAAACTCCCTTTCAGTCTGAATGGTCTTTGAATAGCACTACACCGTCGTGATGTATGCATTGGCTCACTACTTGAAAGATAGTGCTCCAATTATAGCCATTAATTTTCCATTTCCCCCTTACGTCGCTCAAACACAACAGACAAATGCAGATATAATGGTTTAGAAGAGACGCATTGTAAATATGTTTGACTCGATAGGGGAAGGGTGGTATTGGTGATAGTATCATTAACATATACTTTCCTACACCTCTACAGAGCTTCTTTGATGGCTGGGACTGCACCAAAAAGAAGGACAAAACTAAAGGGAGGCATGACACGTTGATGGGATGTAAGTCATCATGGACATGCCAGCCCTCTTATGACGAAAGCACTGATCACCGTAAGCAATACTGTCAATCACAAATATTTGTTCTATTTTTTTGCGATGAAATGTAGGATCTTTTGGCTAGGTCTTCCATGTAAAATAGGTATTTTTACCTCAGTGGAAGAACCTGAGGTAAAATATATATATATATATATATATATATATATATATATATATATATATATATATATATATATATATATATATATATATATATATAGTACCAGTAAAAAGTTTGGACACACCTACTCATTCAAGGGTTTTTCTTTATTTTTACTATTTTCTACATTGTAGAATAATAGTGAAGACATCAAAACTATGAAATAACACATGTAGTAACCAAAAAGTGTTAAACAAATCAAAATATATTTTAGATTTTAGATTCTTCAAAGTAGCCACCCTTTGCCTTGATGACAGCTTTGCACACTCTTGGCATTCTCTCAACCAGCTTCATGAGGAATGCTTTTGCAACAGTGTTAAATGAGCTGCTATAGACTACAAAGTGCTAACAGGCAGTATCTGGATAGCATGTGTGAAATGCTTGATAATGTATGTGGTATCAACAGAGAAGTATATTTTTTGGGTGATTTAAATATTGACTGGCTCTCATCAAGCTGCCCACTCAAGAAAAAATGTCAAACTGTAGCAAGTGCCTGCAACCTGGTTCAGGTTGTCAGTCAACCTACCAGGGTAGTTAGCTTTGAGTAAAACCAGTGTGTCTATGTATGCGGATGACTCAACACTATACACGTCAGCTACTACAGCAACTGAAATAACTGCAACACTTAACAAAGAGCAACAGTTATTTTCAGAATGGTAGCAAGGAGTAAGTTAGTCCTAAATATTTCCTAAACTAAAAGCATTGTATTTGGGACAAATCATTCACTAAATCCTAAACCTCAACCACATCTCGTAATGAATAATGTGGAAATTGAGCAAGTTGAGGTGACTAAACTGCTTGGAGTAACCCTGGATTGTAAACTGTCATGGTCAAAACATATTGATACAACAGTAGCTAATATGGGGAAAAGTCTGTCCATAATAAAGCTCTGCTCTGCCTTCTTAACAACACTATCAACAAGGCAGGTCCTAGTTTTGTCGCACCTAGACTACTGTTCAGTAGTGTGGTCAGGTGCCACAAAGAGGGACTTGGGAAAATTGCAGTTGGCTCAGAACAGGGCAGCACGGCTGGCCCTTAAAAGTACACGGATAGCTAAAACTAATGACATGCATGTCAATCTCTCCTGGCTCAAAGTGGAAGAGAGATTGACTTCATCGCTACTTGTTTTTGTAAGAGGTGTTGACATGAATGTACCGAGCTGTCTGTTTAAAATACAAGCACACAGATCAGACACCCATGCATACCCCACAAAACATGCCACCAGATGTCTCTTCACAGTCCCCAAGTCCAGAACAGACTATGGGAGGTGCACAGTACTACATAGAGCCATGACTACATGGAACTCTATTCCACATCAGGTAACTGATGCAAGCAGTAGTATCGGATTGAAAAAACAGGTAAAAATACACCTTATGGAACAACGGGGACTGTGAAGAGACAAACAAAGGTACAGACACATGCATACGCACACATTGTGATATTGTTGTATGGTGGTATTAAACATTTTGTATTGTAGATATGTAGTAGTGTAATAATATTATATGATGTACTGTTTTATATTTTGTTGTATATATAAAGTAAGTTCTTTAATATGTCTGGACCCCAGGAAGAGTAGCTGCTGCCTTGCTTTTCCTTCACTCTGCTGTCCAACTCATCCCAAACAATCTCAATTGGGTTGAGGGCGGGTGATTGTGGAGGCCAGGTCATCTGATGTGGTCCTCCATCACTCTCCTTGGTCAAATAGCCCTTACACAGCCTGGAGGTGTGTTTTGGGTCATTGTCCTGTTGAAAAACAAATGATAGTCCCACTAAGCGCAAACCAGATGGGATGGCGTATCGCTGCAGAATGCTGTGGTAGCCATGCTGGTTAAGAGTGCCTTGAATTCTAAATAAATCACAGACAGTGTAACCAGCAAAGCACCCCCACACCATCACACCTCCTCCTCCATGCTTTACGGTGGGAACCACACATGCGGAGATCATCCGTTCACCTCTGCGTCTCACAAAGACACGGCGGTTGGAACCAAAATTCTCAAATTTGGACTCATCAGACCAAAGGACAGATTTCCACAGGTCTAATCTCCATTGCTCGTGTTTCTTGGCCCAAGCAAGTCTCTTCTTCTTATTGGTGTCCTTTAGTAGTGGTTTCTTTGCAGCAGTTTGACCATGAAGGCCTGATTCACACAGTTGATGTTGAGATGTGTCTGTTACTTGAACTATGTGAAGCATTTATTTGGGCTGCAATCTGAGGTGCAGTTAACTCTAATGAACCTTTGCTGTGGTGGTCCTCATGAGAGCCAGTTTCATCATAGCGCTTTATTGTTTTTGCGACTGCACTTGAAGAAACGTTAAAAGTTATTGACATTTTCTGGATTGACTGACCTTCATGTCTTAAAGTAATGATGGACTGTGTTTTCTATTTGCTTATTTGAGCTGTTCTTGCCATAATATGGACTTGGTCTTTTACAAAATAGGGCTATCTTCTGTATACCACCCCTACATTGTCATAACACAACTGATTGGCTCAAACATATTAAGAAGGAAAGAAATTACACAAATTAACTTTTAATTGAAATGCATTCCAGGTGACTACCTTATGAAGCTGGTTGTGAGAATGCCAAGAGTGTGTAAAGCTGTCATCAAGGCAAAGGGTGGCTACTTTGAAGAATCTCAAATATAAAATATATTTTGATTTGTTTAAAAAAAATGTGGTTACTACATGATTCCATATGTGTTATTTCATAGTTTTTATGTCTTCACTATTATTTTACAATGTAGAAAATAGTAAAAATAAAGAAAAACCCTTGAATGAGTAGGTGTGTCCAAACTTTTGACTGGTGCTGTATATATACTGAACAAAAATATAAATGCAACATGTAAAGTGTTGGTCCCATGTTTCATGAGCTGAAATAAAAGATCCCAGAAATGTTCCATACGCACAAAAAGCTTAAAAATATAATACATCAATTGAATATACACCATCACAATACATCCATTATTTATTTTAGTCAGGTCTAAAGAAACATTATGATATGAAGAAAATGTATTTCAGAAGAACAGAATATGAGTTGGCCTACTGTATGCCTATGTTATCTGGCTATGTTCCGTGCCATAGGCTGTAGGCTTGTTAATTTAGCTGACAAGATATGCTTATAAGTCCCGTGGCATTATTTTATTTTATATGATTTTATAGTAAGAAGAATATAATTGAACTTAGCTGAATAAAATGGAAAGGATATTTTTCTCATTACATAGCATATGAAGTGGCTATGTTGAGCCTAAAAGTGATAATTTCCTATATGTTAGATTTAGAGTTATTTGGCAACTTTAGTTGTGAATGATACAAACGTTAGAATGTCTTAGAAATCAAAACAAATGTGGGCTGCATGGTGTGACTATAGGCTATTAATTATTTGAGAAAGTAGCAAAAAAAGCTTGCGCTCTGTTCCTTGCCTCAGGCTGCATAGTCGTTCTCTCATCAATTGATCATATTTTCACCCATCAGACTATATTCTCAATTTAATTTTATCAAATGGGCAGGAATAGGGGCAGGGGAAAAAATACATGTCATATGCATGCACTCGAATAACGAATGGAGGCCGCGCTTTCCCAAACGGATACTTCAGTTTTATAGTGGAGCATATGCTTTGAGAAGTAAATATAAGAACACTTATTTTATTCCACGCATCAACCACTGTTTGCTCTCGCTGCCCGACTGGTGATATCCCGCCCAAACTCTGTATGCCATGGGCTCTCCAACCTTGTTCTTGCAGCTACCCAGTGCTTAATTTGGGAAACCAAGTGAAATTTGTTCGGGAACATTGATAGTAACATGTTTTCGCAACAAAACATATTTCACTAAACAGTTGACAGACCATCTGCGTGCTCGAGAAAGGAATAAAGGAGAGAGAAGAGATTATGGAAACGTGAGATATTCTGTATAGCTAAAGGTAATATGTCACCCAATGAATTATGAAAATATAAAACATTCCCTATTACTAGGCTATTCAAAATCAAATACAAATTCACTAACTGTAAACCACACTGCATAATCAACTAATCAACAGCATCGCCTAGGGCTATACATTCTCTCCTAGAGTCATGGATATACATTTTGGAGCGTAGCATAAGGTAACCTGGCCATCCAGTATGCATAGTAATACAGTCCACACTCAAAGGCAATTGCTCTAATGTGTTTAATTTTGGAGTATAGGCTAGACCATGGCTGTTTTGAATTAATCATCACCTTAGAAAGCGCTGTCCATTTCGTTGTGTTAGGCTTTGAAACAACATCCGCAACAACCATGTTTTACATTGTTTCAACCTGCTGTAGAACTTCTTTCTTCAAATTGATCATCACAGTGAGGTGAGTTTTAAAAGTACTATAGGCCTACTGTTTTGATGATGTGATTGATGTGATTTTCAATTGCATTTGCATTGATGTCAGAGTGGTTAGCACTGAGTACCAGGCCATTAGGACCTGATGGTAGTTAGCAAGTTGGGTACTACCAAAGCATATCCAGAGTGCATAAAATTAGATTACCGTGACTCAACGGTCACATGGAATTGTACTGCGGTCATGACTCATGACTGCCAGTGTGGCGGTAATATGGTCATCGCAACAGCCCTATCTGTGACCAAGAGATGCATATCTGTATTCCCAGTCATGTAAAATCCATAGATCAGGGCCTAATGAATTTATTTCAATTGACTGATTTCCTTAGTGTTGGTCCCATGTTGAAATGACCTGAAATAAAATATGGCAAAACATTTTCCATATGCACAAAAAGCATATTTCTCTCAAATTTTGTGCACAAATTTGTTTACATCCCTATTAGTGAGCATTTCTCCTTGGCCAAGATAATCCATCTACCTGACAGGTGTGGCATATCAAGAAGCTGATTAAACAGCATGATCATTACACAGGTGCACCATTTGCTGGGGACAATAAAAGGCCACTCTAAAATGTGTAGTTTTGTCACACAACACAATGCCACACATCAAGTTTTGAGGGAGCGTGCAATTGGCATGCTGACTGCAGGAATGTCCACCAGAGCTGTTGCCAGATAATTTATTGTTAATTTCTCTACTATTAGCCACCTCCAACGTCGTTTTAGATAATTTGGCAGTACGTCCAACCAGCCTCATAACCGCAGAGCATGTGTAACCACGCCAGCCCAGGACCTCCACATCCGACTTCTTCACTTGCGGGATTGTCTGAGACCAGCCACCCGGACAGCTGATGAAACTGTGGGTTTGCACAACCAAATAATTTCTGCACAAACTGTCAGAAACCGTCTCAGGGAAGCTCATCTGCGTACTCGTCGCCCTCACCAGGGTCTTGACCTGACTGCAGTTCGGCGTCGTAACCGACTTCAGTGGGCAAATGCTCACTTTCGAGGGCCACTTGCACGCTGGAGAAGTGTGCTCTTCACGGATTAATCCTGGTTTCAACTGTACCGGGAAGATGGCAGACAGAGTGTACCCCATGGTGGCGGTGGGGTTATGTTATGGCATGCATAAACTACAGAAAACAAACACAATTGCATTTTATCGATCGCAATTTGAATGTACAGAGATACCGTGACGAGATCCTGAGGCCCATTGTCTTGCCATTCATCCGCCCCCATCACTTCATGTTTCAGCATGATCATGTACATCCCCATGTCGCAAGGATCTGTACACAATTCCTGAAAGCTGAAAATGTCCCAGTTCTTCCATGGCCTGCATACTCATTAGACACGTCACCCATTGAGGATGTTTGGGATGCTCTGGATTGACATGTACGACAGCGTGTTCCAGTTTCCGCCAATAACCAGTAGCTTCGCACAGCCATTGAAGAGGGGACAACATTCCACAGGCCACAATCAACAGCCTGGTCAACTCTATGCGACGGAGATGTGTTGCATTGCAAGAGACAAATGGTAGTCACACCAGATACTGACTGGTTTTCTGATCCACGGCCCTACATATTTTTTAAGTTATCTCGGACCAACAGATGCTTATCTGTATTCCCAGTCATGTGAAATCCATAGATTAGGGCCTAATTTATTTATTTCAATTGACTGATTTCCTTATATGTATATAACTGTAACTTAGAAAAGTATTTGAAATTGTTGCATGTTGTGTTTATATACACTACCGTTCAAAAGTTTGGGGTCACTTAGAAATGTCCTTGTTTTCAAAAGAAAAGCTATTTTTTTGTCCATTAAAATAACATCAAATTGATCAGAAATACAGTGTAGACATTGTTAATGTTGTAAATGGCTATTGTAGCTGGAAACGGCAGATTTTTAATGGAATATCTACATAGGCGTACAGAGGCCCATTATCAGCAACCATCAGTCCTGTCACGATCGTCTAATGAAAAGGACCAAGGCGCAGCGTTGCGACTGAACATATTCTATTTATTTAAACGTACACACGAACAAAACAATAAACAACGAATGCGTGACGTCTATGTTACAACACGAACAAACACAAACAAAAACCCACAACACTAAGGTGAACACTGACAGTTTAAATATGGCTCCCAATCAGAGATAACGAGCCGACAGCTGACACTCGTTACCACTGATTGGGAATCACACGACCAAACAAGGAAACACAACCAAAACAACACAACCAATACCAAACACCACCAAATGAACACACCCTGGCTCAAAATACACAGTCCCGGAGCCAGAGCGTGACAGTACCCCCCCCTAAAGGCGCGGACTCCGACCGCGCCTACACCCCAAATAGGGGAGGGCTGGGTGGGTGTTGCTCCTCGGAGGCGGCTCCGGCTCCGGGCTTGACCACCACCCTACTACAATCCCCCCGTAGTGCCCCCAGTCCGATCTGACCCAGTTAGCTGGATCAGGACTGCCGACGCGCACCCCTGGCTTGGCGCGTGAGGCAGGAATGGACCGGACCTGGCAGACGATACGCACCCTTTGCATAGTGCGTGGAGCCGGAACAGGCCTCACCAGGCTGAAGACTCGCATCCCTGGCTTGGTGCGAGCAGCAGGAATGGGCTGAATCCGGCTGACGACTCGCACCCTTGACTTGGTGCGAGTGGCAGGAACAGGCTGAATCAGGCTGACGGCTCGCACCCTTGGCTTGGTGCGAGAAGCAGGGACGAGCTGAACCCGGCTGACGACTCGCACCCTTGGCTTGGTGCGAGTAGCAGGAACAGGCTGGACCAGGCTGACGACTCGCACCCTTGGCTTGGTGCGAGTAGCAGGAACGGGCCGGACCGGGCTGGCGACGCGCACCGTATGTTTGGTGCGAGTGGCAGGAACAGACCGTGTCAGGCTGGCGACGCGCACCGTAGACTTAGTGCGGGTGGCAGGAACAGGCCGGACCGGGCTGGCGACGCGCACCGTATGTTTGGTGCGAGTGGCAGGAACAGGCCGGGTCGGGCTGGCGACGCGCACCGTAGACTTAGTGCGGGTGGCAGGAACAGGCCGGGCTGGGCTGGCGACGCACACCGTAGGCTTTGTGCGTGGAGCAGGAACAGGCCGGGCTGGGCTGGCGACGCACACCGTAGGCTTTATGCGAGAAGCTTGGATGGGCCGGACTGGGCTGGCGACGCGCACCACAGACTCGGTGCGGAGCGCAGGAACGGGCCGGGCTGGGCTTTCGACGCACACCGTAGGTTTGGTGCGGGGAGCAGGAATAGACTGGACCGTACTGGGGACACACACCACTGGCTCTACACCGGGATCTGGAACGGGCCGGACCGGACTGGCAACACACGCCAGTACCTCTCGCCGTGCCTCTACACCTTCCATCCCCTCTTCTACCAGTGGCCCCCGTAACCTGGCGGCCTCCTCTGCAACCCCGCTGGACCGCTCCATAGCGGCCTCCTGCTGCCCCGACGTCGTGAGCCCCCCCCTAAAAATTTTCTGGGGGTCTCTCCTCCCCGTGGACCAGGCCTCTCTCTCTCTTGCCAGACTCGCAATCATCTCCTCCCACGTCCATCCTCTCTCCTCGTCACGCTGCTTGATCCAGTCGAGGTTGCCACGGAGATCTGCCAGCGATGGCTCCTGAACACGCTGCTTGGTCTGGTTAAGGTGGGTTTTTCTGTCACGATCGTCTAATGAAAAGGACCAAGGCGCAGCGTTGCGACTGAACATATTCTATTTATTTAAACGTACACACGAACAAAACAATAAACAACGAATGCGTGACGTCTATGTTACAACACGAACAAACACGAACAAAAACCCACAACACTAAGGTGAACACTGACAGTTTAAATATGGCTCCCAATCAGAGATAACGAGCCGACAGCTGACACTCGTTACCACTGATTGGGAGTCACACGACCAAACAAGGAAACACAACCAAAACAACACAACCAATACCAAACACCACCAAATGAACACACCCTGGCTCAAAATACACAGTCCCGGAGCCAGAGCGTGACAAGTCCTGTGTTCCAATGGCACGTTGTGTTTGCTAATCCAAGTTTATCATTTTAAAAGGCTAATTGATCATTAGAAAAACCCTTTTGCAATTATGTTAGCACAGCTGAAAACTGTTGTGCTGATTAAAGAAGCAATAAAATTGGCCTTCTTGAGACTTGTTGAGTATCTGGATCATCAGCAATTGTGGGTTAGATTACAGGATTAAAATGGCCAGAAACAAATAACTTTCTTCTGAAATTCGTCAGTCTAACCCACAATTGCTGATGATCCAGATACTCAACTAGTCTCAAGAAGGTCAGTGTTATTTATTATTTAATCGGCACAACGGTTTTCAGCTGTGCTAACATAATTGCAAAAGGGTTTTCTAATGATCAATTAGCCTTTAAAAATAATAAACTTGGATTAGCAAACACAACGTGCCATTGGAACACAGGACTGATGGTTGTTGATAATGGGCCTCTGTACACCTATATAGATATTCCATTAAAAATCAGCCGTTTCCAGCTACAATAGCCATTTACAACATTAACAATGTCTACACTATTTCTGATCAATTTAATGTTATTTTTTATGGACAAAAAATTGCTTTTCTTTAGAAAACAAGGACATTTCCAAGTGATCCCAAACTTTTGAACGGTAGTGTATATATATATATATATAACTTTTTTTAAATAAAATGTAAAAAAGATTGTATGGATGTGTTATTTAATTGAGTTGTATGTGGTGTGGATGTACTGTAATGTAATTGAAAACTTGGCTGAGATGTGATTCTCCCATTGTGTCCATTCCAGACGACCGCCACAGAGTCAAGCTCCACCCACTCCTGGGAGACTCCAACTCTGACTACATCAACGCCAACTACATAGACGTAAGTCTCACCTCACCTTCCTTTCTGCTCTGAATCCTGTCCAATGATAGTGTTATACTGGGAAACACATCAAGTCATTACTTATACAATACATTTCACAGTATTTTGTGTCGCCCTACGCAATCCGGTGCCCCAGATTTACCTGTGAGAGGTTATTCCTGTTCCTGGAAACACCAGCCTCCACCCCACATCCGCCAATCACCCCCCGCCACCCCCACCCTATCCAATCACAAACCTTCCTCTTGGCATTCAGCCAGATGCCATGTCTGTTTGGTGACTATCTCTACAATCCCTTATCCAACGCTATTAATAGACAATAAATTAAATTATAATACCAAGTCCCGGTGGTAAAGCCCTTTGTAAAATCCCCCAAATCCCTCTGAATTGAATAGACTGGATTGATGTTGTTCAACCCCTGGATGAACGGGGAGCAGCTCTGAGACATGATCTCTTTGGCTGCTCACCTTCACTTCACTGTACTTTTTGTTTCCATCTGCATCAACTAGAATGTGTTACCTGTAGAGCAACATGCATCATCAATTTGTTGGACTGTACACTCATGAATACACATTATTCCATCATAAGAGACAAACTTGTCTAAAACGCCTCGTCAGAAAGGTGAACACTCCTTTTACATCGTTTAGCCGGGAGAGATAGAGAGAGAGTGAACATGTGGAGGAGAAATGCTTTTAGGGGACTTCATTAGCATAGAGAGGGCACTTGAGAGGGTGCTAAAATGGGGCCGTCCTATTTTGACTCCAGCCATTGTAAGGGCGCCCATTATAGTGTCAGGGCACAGGGAGGCCAGGCATCATTAGGGACATGCCACTCAATGCTTGGGCGCTACCCGCTGTAGTGCCAAGTTGGCCCCTGACAAGGCTAGCCCTGGCGATGAATGACGAATACGTTGCCAAGAGGAGTACTTGTAGAAAGCCCATTACTATTTCATCAGAGGTTAAATGGAAAAGTTGATCCTCTCTCTGAAACGTGTTTTCTGTTTGTTAAAGTAGACGTTGAAGAAGTGCGAACTCTCAGATTGTTTTTCTCTTTAGCATTTGATTTGATCTCTTTGCTACTCGTCGCCTGGCTGCGTGGCTGTGTGTGTGGCTGTGTGTGTGTAGGTGTGTGGGTATACAGTATTGTGCTGTATGCATATGCATGCTTGGCAGCTGCCTGTGTTTGTCATGTGGTGTAGTACATACAGTGAACCCTGCTGAATGCTATATGGGAGCCTCTACTTTGTTAAATAGGGAGACAGTCCAAAGCAATACACACACATGGCAGCGAATGCATGAACGAATGCACACATGCACACAAAACACGCACTCAATCTCACACACACATATTGTATGTAAACAAGCACACCTCTCCATACAGGTTCTCCACCTGTCTGCAACCTTCAACTCCTTAGATTTCTCAATCTTCTTTCATTAACTAGCTTCTATCTCTTCTCTCTTCTTTTTCTACTACCTTCCCCACCTACTCGACTTTGGACCCTGTAGATTCGGATTAACAGGGAAGTAAGTACTTCACCGCTCTTTCTTCTGTCTGCCATCCCTTTCTTTCCCCTCTTTCCCATGCAGTACATCCCTCTTTCAAAAGTCAAACTCTTCAGTCTAGTGTTTGGGAGCCCGCGTTCAGAGTTGGCACAAAGCAAGCTGCTCCAAGGTGTCACAATGTTCAGATTACAGCAGAGTGAAGAAACTCTGGGGGTTGCCATCTCTTTTCCTTTTATCTGCCATTGAATCTTAGATGTTTGTCTCTTTCTATGTCCACCTGAGCCATGGCCAAGCTTCGAGTCAGTAGCTCATCATGCAGTAGAATAACCAGAGCACCATTGCACTCTGGCAATAATGTTCCACATTGAACAAATTGGAAGCGTTGAAAGAGTTAATGTGAATAGGCACCCTTTTCTCGACCATTCCTGAATCAAAGATAACCACATATCTGCTGAAGACAAGACTGCCTTGTGGCCCATTGTATGTGTGACCTGTAAGCATATAGAGCTGTGTCATTGTCATCGTCACCATACCCACTGGCATGCCCTGTCATCTCCAGCATGTGACAAGTGTCCCTGTGCCGTTATATTACTTGTACTTGCATGAGGTCAGAACTCAGGAGGTTACGGTTGCCACGATGACCGGTGGAGGTGCGTGGATGTCGTGGACATGCTGAATGTGCTGCCCAGGGCCACAGCGAATCGTGGGTAGTGGGTCTCACTGCATCCCTTCACTGTGACAGTCATTCATCTCCATTACACACTTGTCCCTTTTGTGTCTCACTGGGTATACCAGAATTTTCACACTTTTTTTGAGTGTGACACAGAACAGATGCCAGTTGTCTTTCTATGGGGAAGTAACAATGAGTTATGTTCTGTCGACAAACTTATTCTTATAGCCTACTGTACAGTGAGGTGGTCCCCGCCTCTTCACGACATCGTCACCCATAAACACTTACACAATAAGGAGGTATTTTGGCAGATTTTCAAACATTCTTTGATATAAATGGTCTTCTGTTGACTCATTCTGCACGCAAGTTGTACAACTTCTTCTGAGCAATCATTTTGGCTTTGAATATATATGTGACCGGCCGTCTCGATTCGGTCTTATGTAGCAAAATTTGAAATTGTGTTTTTTTTACATTGGATAAAAGTAGAGACTCAGAGCTAGATGGTATATCATACACTACAGTTGAGGAACATTGGGAAAGTAATTCTGCTTTGAAAGTTGATAAACATTTAACCTCACTTTTGAGAAAATGCCCCTTGAATGTTTTGGTAAACCTACTGGAGAGCTCTTCTTTGTCTACACCCATTCAACATCGTTCACACCCTCTTAAGCCTTAGCCCCGCCCATCTCTTTAAGGATTCACATGTGAGCCCATGTACTAAACATCCAAAGATTTCAAGACTAAAGGCTTGTTTATACTATGGGTGTATTCATAAATTCAATATGGAGTGCCAGAGTACACCCTGGGAGTTCGTAAACTCAGAGCGTTGTCAGATTGTCCGTTTGTAAATTCAGAGTGTTTCGCTCTCGGAGCGTTCAGAGCGCACACTGGACGCTCTGGCCGAGGAGTAGGGTTGATCCAAGCATTCTGACCTAACAACAGCAGTCAAGCTCCCAAGCTAACTGGCTAATATTGGCTAGCTTGCTAGCTAATTCCACACACATGAGTGAACAGCTCACTCTGACCATTTTACTCACCCTAGCAGAGCTGGTTAGGCTGTTTTTATGTTATCCAGAGTGTTGGTGACTGTAACTGTGCTGCTGGCAACAATTTAATTATGCTTTTTTGACGACGTTTACTGACACCGGTCATATTCAACGGGTGTTGAGCGTTCGTAAATTTGTCAGTTATTCTGCGCTCTGGCACACTCAGACAATAGTGCTCTGAAATTGGAGTAGATAGCCAGAGCGAATTTACCAGCTACGTCTACCGACAGTTGTTGCAGTGACATCATGAACATTCTATTGAAATGGTTACTTGCATAGTGGAGTCTTTTGTTTAGACATGTAGCTAGCTAGCTAAACAATGAACCATAATCCCAACTCATAACGTTACTACCCTGCATGAATCTGCAGGTAGCTAACCAACCAGGTTCAATGTTAGCTAGCTAACATTAGGCTATAACGAGCAATGTAAATGGCTCTGAGATACGAATAATATTACTACACAGATCATACACATAACATTAGCTAGCGAGCCAGCCAGTTAGTTAGCTACCTAACAGTATGCTTTAACTTGAAATGAAAAGGACTTCGTGAAAAAATTTGAAACGTGTAATATCTGAAAATGTAGCTAGCTAGACTATCTTACCCGTATACATGGATGTCCAGCCCATCCATTATCTCAGCCAATCAAACCAACTAGGCTCGTAATTTAACAATTGTATTCATATTTACAGATGGCATACACATTTGTTATTAAGGCACATGAAAGATGAAAGTTCACATGTTCCAGAAGGCATTTCTGCCCAAAAAGTTTACCTTCAAATGCCTCTCCTGTGAAGTAGTGATGCACGACATATGCCTAGTTTCCTGAAAGAAGTCACATATTTTTTGTGGATCCCTTTTTTTCAAGGATGCTTTTTCCTCTTTTGGTTGAGCACAGTATCTACACAGTATCTAGAGCAATCCCCCCCCCCCCCCCCCCTCCACACACCCAAAAAGTTGGGGTCTCAACTTACTGTTGCAAGTTAGAATAGTAGAACACACAAAGTGCAATTTCGAAATTTGGTTGTGCATCAGCAGTTTTTCTCATTATATCTCTTTCACTGATAGTAAGTCAATTAGCCCATGTCAGCTAAAATGTTGTACATTGCTAAGTTTGTTTAACAGCCAGCTATCTAAACTTGTTTTCATGGTTGAATTACCGGCCCGGGGGCCCCCATTGATTTTGTTAGTCAGTCTCACTCAGATATCATTATAAAAACTGCAAACATTTCTCACCACCATATTGCAAAATGTGTAGAATTGCAGGAAATTAGCTGTAAGACTGCAACATTTCCTCTACATCCCATTGCATCTATAAAAAAAAATTAAATGCAGTATTTTGGAGCAGTAAATCAACTCTAACAATACAAGGAGAACATATTATTTTGTGCATTGTGTTGTATAATGAAATCCGATTCCTATTTCTATGGGACTTAAAAGTAGCATAGTATTCTGAAAAGCATAATTTGGATGGGTAAAGTGGATGTTCTGAATCACTCAAACAACTGCTGGGACTATAGTCTCTCTCTCTCATCTCTCTCAATGCCAAACAAAGTTTTGTGTTGTCCCATTCTGTTATATCGTAACCATGTTTGTGTTGTGATGTCTGTGTGGGGGGATTTGCACATGCTTTTAGAAGTTGATGGCAACTTTTAGGGAAAGCCTGACATGCAATGGAACTCTTTAGTAAGCTGTGCTTTTGGGAGGGGTTATTTAGCATGCACACCAAACTGTAGGCAGATTCTCCCTAAAGCGCTGCCTGAGGCACAGATGGCTTACTCAGCATGTCATCCCTCTTCTCCTTTTCAGGGCTACCATCGATCCAACCACTTCATAGCCACTCAGGGTGAGTATCCCGCCATGTCTGGAGTTGGGTGCTTGTGTGTGTGTGTTTTTGTGTGATAAATTGAGGTTGACCAACCTACCCAATGAACTTCCATGTAGGACCTAGCAACAGTGACACATAGACAGACCTCAAATGTCTCTCCATCCAATCAAAAGGTGACTGCACGTGTCACCCGCCAACCCACTGCAGCCGTGTGATTGATGCCACTGAATTAATCATGATGAGTAATACATTATTAACCCACATTAATTATAGCTGTTCACCCTGCGTGACATGGGGTGGGTGATACATGGAGACAGAGTGTGTGTCTGTAAGAGCATCATAGGTACACTTCAACTGTGAGAGACGGAATCTAGAACAAAAATCCAGAAAATCACATTGTATGATTTTTAAGTAATTAATTTGCATTTTATTGAATAACATACTTATTTGATACATCAGAAAAGCAGAACTTAATATTTGGTACAGAAACCTTTGTTTGCAATTACAGAGATCATACGTTTCCTGTAGGTCTTGACCAGGTTTGCACACACTGCAGCAGGGATTTTGGCCCACTCCTCCATACAGACCTTCTCCAGATCCTTCAGGTTTCGGGGCTGTCGCTGGGCAATACGGACTTTCAGCTCCCTCCAAAGATTTTATATTGGGTTCAGGTCTGGAGACTGGCTAGGCCACTCCAGGACCTTGAGATGCTTCTTACGGAGCCACTCCTTAGTTGCCCTGGCTGTGCGTTTCTTGTCATTGTCATGCTGGAAGACCCAGCCACGACCCATCTTCAATGCTCTTACTGAGGGAAGGAGGTTGTTGGCCAAGATCTCGCGATACATGGCCCCATCCATCCTCCCCTCAATACGGTGCAGTCGTCCTGTCCCCTTTGCAGAAAAGCATCCCCAAAGAATGATGTTTCCACCTCGATGCTTCACGGTTGGGATGGTGTTCTTGGTGTTGTACTCATCCTTCTTCTTCCTCCAAACACGGCGAGTGGAGTTTAGACCAAAAAGCTCTATTTTTGTCTCATCAGACCACATGACCTTCTCCCATTCCTCCTCTGGATCATCCAGATGGTCATTGGCAAACTTCAGACGGGCCTGGACATGCGCTGGTTTGAGCAGGGGGACCTTGCGTGCGCTGCAGGATTTTAATCCATGACGGCGTAGTGTGTTACTAATGGTTTTCTTTGAGACTGTGGTCCCAGCTCTCTTCAGGTCATTGACCAGGTCCTGCCGTGTAGTTCTGGGCTGATCCCTCACCTTCCTCATGATCATTGATGCCCCACGAGGTGAGATCTTGCATGGAGCCCCAGACCGAGGGTGATTGACCGTCATCTTGAACTTCTTCCATTTTCTAATAATTGCGCCAACAGTTGTTGCCTTCTCACCAAGCTGCTTGCCTATTGTCCTGTAGCCCATCCCAGCCTTGTGCAGGTCTACAATTTTATCCCTGATGTCCTTACACAGCTCTCTGGTCTTGGCCATTGTGGAGAGGTTGGAGTCTGTTTGATTGAGTGTGTGGACAGGTGTCTTTTATACAGGTAACGAGTTCAAACAGGTGCAGTTAATACAGGTAATGAGTGGAGAACAGGAGGGCTTCTTAAAGAAAAACTAACAGGTCTGTGAGAGCCGGAATTCTTACTGGTTGGTAGGTGATCAAATACTTATGTCATGCAATAAAATGCAAATTAATTACTTAAAAATCATACAATGTGATTTTCTGGATTTTTGTTCTAGATTCTGTCTCTCACAGTTGAAGTGTACCTATGATAAAAATTACAGACCTCTACATGCTTTGTAAGTAGGAAAACCTGCAAAATCGGCAGTGTATCAAATACTTGTTCTCCCCACTGTAGATCTGCCTCTGTCAATCATCCACACCTGTGATCTCGTACTAAGCAGCAGTTTGGGTGCACGGACTGTGTGTGTGTTTGTGTGTGGGTGCGTGCGTGAATGCGCATGTATACATCTGTTTCCTTTTTGTGCGCATGCATGTTTTTCCATGCGTGCATGTTTGGATGTGTAGATTTGATGGCTACACACCCTAGCGTCAACTGAACTCTCCCCTAGCATGTGTCTAGCTACTCAGGAGTTTCAGTTCCCATGAGGCCTCCAGAACAAAGTCACTCAAGGTCTCATCTGCCGCTTATCTTTCACAAACACTCCTCTCAGAGTAGAGAGAGGGAGAGGGAGAGAGAGAGAAATGAACAATGCTTCTCTCTGTGAGCTTCTCATGCGTGCTCCTGGTTTTAAACGAGTTCTTCCTATTCTTAAATGTCTTCCTCAGATCAATGTAACTGGCTCCTGAACCTCGGGGGCCTTATCATCTGTTTTTTGTTTCACCTGTCAATTCTCAAACTTCTCATACTGAGCCACTGTTCGTTGGCACAGACCAATGAAAACTCTGCTATGAAGCACTGTACAGCACAACTATAATTACAGTAGTGCATATGACCTGACCAGGAAAAACTATTTGGCCGTACTTATAACCTAGGTGTACTGTACTTCATAGCTGCATGTGCCTTGATCCTGTGTCCAAGAAAAGTGACTTAGTACAGTAGTATCAGGTCACGTGGTCAGGAAACAATCCTGGTCCTAGTCATATTGATAAGTTGTATGTACAGCAAACTGTTTTTGACTGACATGGTTAATGTGATGGTTTTTCCCTCTGTCCCATAGGGCCCAAACAGGAGACAGTGTATGACTTCTGGAGGATGGTGTGGCAGGAAAACTGCTTCAGCATCGTCATGATCACTAAACTGGTTGAGGTCGGCAGGGTGAGTCTCACACTCACACCTCTCTCCTCATACACACCTCTCACACACCTATCCCCAGCACCATTGATTCCATCCATCCGGCCATCCATCCATTCATAGAGCTCTTCAATTACCAGCAGAATCATAAGTGCAAAGGGGGACACAATTTAATTTCCTCTGTACTGTATTCAGGTCCCTGCTATTTGCTCAGACAGACATCATTGTTAGAGTAATTGAACCACCAGCAGAATGTAAACGCTATAGTAAGGGTCCCAGAATTTTCTTCTGAAGTCATAAACATAGGACACAGTGGTCAGGATGACACATTGTTTCTATCAATATCAGTACATCCATCCTTAATGGAAAACATTAGTGGTGGCCCAGTTCTAGATATTATGTTCCCCATCATTAAATACTATTATAGTTACCTCCTCTATCTATGGAAGAACTGGTTGATTTTGTTTGGAGCTGAATTTAAGTATAATTGTTCTGTGTCTTCTTTCCTTAAATGTATTTCATGCTGAGCAGTAGGTAACATAATTCACCAACAAGTAACAAACTGTCAAGAGGAGTAAAACAAGGTTGTCCACTATCGGCATATCTATTTATTATGGCCATCGAAATGTTAGCTATTAAAATCAGATCCAACAATAATATCAAGGGATTAGAAATCCTGGGCTTAAAAACAAAGGTGTCATTGAACGCTGATGATTCATGTTTTCTTTTAAATCCACAACTTGAATCCCTCCATAGCCTCAAAGAGGATCGAGATACATTTTCTAACCTCTCTGTATTACAACCAAATTATGACAAATGTACTATATTACGTATTGGATCACTAAAAAATAAAAAAATTACATTACAATGTAGTTTACCATTAAACTGGTCTGCTGGTGATGTGGATATACTCGGAATACATATCCCAAATGAAATAAATGATCTCACTCCAGTACATTTTAATAGAAAGTTAGCAAAAATAGACAAGATCTTGCTACCATGGAAAGGTAAATACCTGTCTATTTGTGGAAAAATCCCCCTGATTAACTCTTTAGTATTATCCCAGTTTACATACAGTGGGGAAAAAAGTATTTAGTCAGCCACCAATTGTGCAAGTTCTTCCACTTAAAAAGATGAGAGAGGCCAGTAATTTTCATCAAAGCTACATGTCAACTATGACAGGCAAAATGAGGAAAAAAAATCCAGAAAATCACATTGTAGGATTTTTTATGAATTTATTTGCAAATTATGGTGGAAAATAAGTATTTGGTCAATAACAAAAGTTTCTCAATACTTTGTTATATACCCTTTGTTGGCAATGACACAGGTCAAACGTTTTCTGTAAGTCTTCACAAGGTTTTCACACACTGTTGCTGGTATTTTGGCCCATTCCTCCATGCAGATCTCCTCTAGAGCAGTGATGTTTTGGGGCTGTCGCTGGGCAACACGGACTTTCAACTCCCTCCAAAGATTTTCTATGGGGTTGAGATCTGGAGACTGGCTAGGCCACTCCAGGACCTTGAAATGCTTCTTACGAAGCCACTCCTTCGTTGCCCGGGCGGTGTGTTTGGGATCATTGTCATGCTGAAAGACCCAGCCACGTTTCATCTTCAATGCCCTTGCTGATGGAAGGAGGTTTTCACTCAAAATCTCACGATACATGGCCCCATTCATTCTTTCCTTTACATGGATCAGTCGTCCTGGTCCCTTTGCAGAAAAACAGCCCCAAAGCATAATGTTTCCACCCCCATGCTTCACAGTAGGTATGGTGTTCTTTGGATGCAACTCAGCATTCTTTGTCCTCCAAACACGACGAGTTGAGTTTTTACCAAAAAGTTCTATGTTGGTTTCATCTGACCATATGACATTCTCCCAATCCTCTTCTGGATCATCCAAATTGTCACGATCGTCTACCAAAGATGAGGACGAAGGCGCAGCGTTGCAGGCAAACATACTCTTTATTAAGAGACACGATCAAAACAACAAACGATACGTGACAGTTCACGGTTTAACTTAAATAGACTTGAAACAAGATCCCACAAACTCTGTGGGGAAACAGGCTGCTAAAGTATGGTTCTCAATCAGAGACAACAAGCAACAGCTGAATCACGTTGCCTCTGATTGAGAACCACACTGGCCAACATAGAACAACAATACTAGAATGTAACACAAATGAAAACTCACACCCTGGCTCAACATACTAGAGTCCCCAGAGCCAGGGCGTGACAGTACCCCCCCCTAAAGGCGCGGACTCCGACCGCGCCAACCAAACACCACAGGGGAGGGACCGGGTGGGCACTCCGCCTAGGCGGCGGATCCGGCTCCGGGCCTGATCCCCGCTCCCTCTCCAACCCCCCAAAGTATCCCTGGTCCGGTCTGGCCCCGCTGGCCGGAGCTGGACTGCACACTGGTGGAGCGGGTTGCTCTAGCTCCGGCGCGAAGCATCCGACCGGTGCCGGACCAGGCACCGGTGGAACAGGCACGGGACGTGCCGGACTGACGACGCACACCACTGGCTTGGTGTGGGGAACAGGCACGGGCCGTGCCGGACTGACGACGCACACCACTGGCTTGGTGTGGGGAACAGGCACGGGCCGTGCCGGGCAGACGACGCACACCACCGGCCCGGTGTGGGGAGCAGGAGCTGGCCGCGCCGGGCTGACGAAACGCACCACTGACTTGGTGCGGGGAGCAGGAGCGGGCCGGACCGGGCTGACGAAGCGCACCACTGACTTGGTGCGGGGAGCAGGAACGGGCCGTGCCGGGCTGACGAAGCGCACCACTGACTTGGTGCGGGGAGCAGGAACGGGCCGAGCCGGGCTGACGAAACGCACCACCGACTTGGTGCAGGGAGCAGGAATGGGCCGGACCGGGCTGACGACGCGCACCACTGACTTGGTGCGAGTGGCAGGAACAGGCCGGACCGTACTGGGAACACACACCACTGGCCCTACGTGGGGATCAGGAACAGGCCGGACCGGACTGGCAACACACGCCAGTACCTCTCGCCGTACCTCTACATCCTCCTTCTCCCTGGTGACCAGTGACTTCCGTAACCTGGCGGCCTCCTGCTGCCCCGTCGTCCACAGCGTTAGCCCCCCCCTAAAAAATGTATGGGCTTCACTCCTACCCGTGGCCAAGGCCTCCATCCCTCTTGCCAGACTCGCACTCATCTCCTCCCAAGTCCATCCTCTCTCCTCGTCATGCTGCTTGATCCAGTCGAGGTGGGATCTTCTGTCACGATCGTCTACCAAAGATGAGGACCAAGGCGCAGCGTTGCAGGCAAACATACTCTTTATTAAGAGACACGATCAAAACAACAAACGATACGTGACAGTTCACGGTTTAACTTAAACAGACTTGAAACAAGATCCCACAAACTCTGTGGGGAAACAGGCTGCTAAAGTATGGCTCTCAATCAGAGACAACAAGCAACAGCTGAATCACATTGCCTCTGATTGAGAACCACACTGGCCAACATAGAACAACAATACTAGAATGTAACACAAATGAAAACTCACACCCTGGCTCAACATACTAGAGTCCCCAGAGCCAGGGCGTGACACAAATGCACTCTAGCTAACTTCAGACGGGCCTGGACATGTACTGGCTTAAGCAGGGGGACACGTCTGGCACTGCAGGATTTGAGTCCCTGGCGGCGTAGTGTGTTACTGATGGTAGGCTTTGTTACTTTGGTCCCAGCTCTCTGCAGGTCATTCACTAGGTCCCCCCGTGTGGTTCTGGGATTTTTGCTCACCGTTCTTGTGATCATTTTGACCCCACGGGGTGAGATCTTGCGTGGAGCCCCAGATCGAGGGAGATTATCAGTGGTCTTTTATGTCTTCCATTTCCTAATAATTGCTCCCACAGTTTATTTCTTCAAACCAAGCTGCTTACCTATTGCAGATTCAGTCTTCCCAGCCTGGTGCAGGTCTACAATTTTGTTTCTGGTGTCCTTTGACAGCTCTTTGGTCTTGGCCATAGTGGAGTTTGGAGTGTGACTGTTTGAGGTTGTGGACAGGTGTCTTTTATACTGATAACAAGTTCAAACAGGTGCCATTAATACAGGTAACGAGTGGAGGACAGAGGAGCCTCTGAAAGAAGAAGTTACAGGTCTGTGAGAGCCAGAAATCTTGCTTGTTTGTAGGTGACCAAATACTTATTTTCCACCATAATTTGCAAATAAATTCATAAAAAATCCTACAATGTGATTTTCTGGATTTTTTTCTTCTCAATTTGTCTGTCATAGTTGACGTGTACCTATGATGAAAATTACAGGCCTCTCTCATCTTTTTAAGTGGGAGAACTTGCACAATTGGTGGCTGACTAAATACTTTTTTTCCCCATTGTATTTGCTTATGGTGTTGCCTACGCCTAGCGAACAGTTTTTTAAATTATATGAGAAAAAAAGATTCCATTTTATTTGGAACGGCAAGCCAGACAAAATTAAACGGGCCTATTTATACAATGAATATGAATTTGTAGGACAGAAATTATTAAATATTAAAGCATTAAACCTATCACTAAAAGCTTCAGTTATACAAAAGTTATACTTAAATCCAAACTGGTTCTCTAGCAAATTAGTAAGATTGTCTCACCCCATGTTCAACAATGGCCTTTTCCCCTTTATTCAGATTACAACCTCTCACTTTCAGTTATTTGAAAAGGAAATAATCTCCCAAATATCAATATTTCTAAAACAAGTCATAGAAAGTTGGTGCAATTTCAATTTAATCCTCCAGAAACTACAGAACAAATAATGCAACAAATATTGTTGTTAAACTCAAATATACTAATTGATAAAAACCATTATTTTTTGAAAGAATGTTTAAAAAAGGTATAATCTTCGTAAATGATATCATAGGTTGGACTGGTGGAGTTATGTCGCACATGCAGCTAACAAAAACATGTGGAAATGTCTGCTCTACCCAAAATTACAACCAAATAATTGCAACATTACCGCAAAAATGGAAGAGGAAAGTGGAAGGGGGAAAAAGTAAGGAACTTGTCTGTCGGCCCTGCATTAAAGAACATAATTGGTTAAAGAAGATTGTGATAAATAAAAAAGTATACCAGTTTCATTTAAGGACCAAAGGGTTGACAGCCATCCCATATAGATTGCTAAATAGTTGGGAAGAGATTTTTGACGTACCGATTCCATGGCATAGTGTTTATGAACTGATATGCAAAACGAAGCCTGATTCAAAACTTAACATTTTTCAATTTAAATTATTATACAAAATTCTTGCTACCAATAGAATGTTATATATATGGGGGATACAATCTTCCCAGCTCTGCAGATTCTGCTGCAAAGAGACAGAATCGTTAGATAATTTGTTTTGGTACTGTCCATTTGTAGCTTGTTTTTGGTCACAGATCCAGGAATGGCTGAAGGATTGCAATATTTACCTGGAGATAACCCTGCAGATAGCACTACTGGGTGACCTGAAAAGTCATAGTCAATCGATCGGTAATATAATAATACTTTTAGCAAAACATTTATTTTCAATTTACAATCTATAGAAACAATGAGAATAGAAAGGTTTCAGAATTTCTGTGAAACATCACAGCACAGTTGAAAAATATATGGCAAATAGAAATCCAATATGGATGGTTAAGAGATGGGAGGTGTTGGATGGAGCTGAATAACTACTAACAACTAACAACAAGTAATAACAACAAGATAACTAATGTAAAGCATACTGAGCCTTTTGTGAAAGAGCACAGTTAGAAAGATATGGCATATAGAAGCAAACCGGATGGACATCATGAAAATGATCAGAGCGGTTGAGGGTAGAGGAAGTTCAGGAGTAAAAACAAACAAAATAGAATTATTGTAAAATTGACTGTGTCCATAACATTTATTTAGTATGTAAACTCGGCAAAAAAAGAAACGTCCTCTCCATGTAAACTGTGTTAATCTTCAGCAAACTTAACATGTGTAAATATTTGTATGAAAATAACAAGATTCAACAACTGAGACATGAACTGAACAATTCCACAGACATGTGATTAACAGAAATTGAATAATGTGTCCCTGAACAAAGGGGGGGTCAAAAAGTAACAGTCAGTATCTGGTGTGGCCACCAGCTGCATTAAGTACTGCAGTGCATCTCCTCCTCATGGACTGCACCAGATTTGCCAGTTCTTGCTCTTCCACCAAGGCACCTGCAAGTTGGCAGAACACTGACATTCCTGTCTTGCAGGAAATCACGCACAGAACGAGCAGTATGGCTGGTGGCATTGTCATGCTGGAGGGTCATGTCTGGATGAGCCTGCAGGAAGGGTACCACATGAGGGAGGAGGATGTCTTCCCTGTAATGCACAGCGTTGAGATTGCCTGCAATGACAACAAGCTCAGTCCGATGATGCTGTGACACACCGCCCCAGACCATGACGGACCCTCCACCTCCAAATCGATCCCGCTCCAGAGTACAGGCCTCAGTGTAACGCTCATTCCTTCGACGATAAACGTGAATCCGACAATCACCCCTGGTGAGACAAAACTACGACTCGTCAGTGAAGAGCACTTTTTGCCAGTCCTTTCTGGTCCAGCGACGGTGGGTTTGTGCCCATAGGTGAAGTTGTTGCCGGTGATGTCTGGTGAGGACCTGCCTTACAACAGGCATACAAGCCCTCAGTCCAGCCTCTCTCAGCCTATTGTGGACAGTCTTAGCACTGATGGAGGGATTGTGCGTTCCTGGTGTAACTCGGGCAGTTGTTGTTGCCATCCTGTACCTGTCCCGCAGGTGTGATGTTCGGATGTACTGATCCTGTGCAGGTGTTGTTACACGTGGTCTGCCACTGCGAGGACGATCAGCTGTCCGTCCTATCTCCCTGTAGCGCTGTCTTAGGCGTCTCACAGTACGGACATTGCAATTTATTGCCCTGGCCACATCTGCAGTCCTCATGCCTCCTTGCAGCTTGCCTAAGGCACGTTCACGCAGATGAGCAGGGACCCTGGGCATCTTTCTTTTGGTGTTTTTCAGAGTCAGTAGAAAGGCCTCTTTAGTATCCTAAGTTTTCATAACTGTGACCTTAATTGCCTACCGTCTGTAAGCTGTTGGTGTCTTAATGACCGTTCCATAGGTGCATGTTCATTAATTGTTTATGGTTAATTGAACATGCATGGGAAACAGTGTTTAAACCCTTTACAATGAAGATCTGTGAAGTTATTTGGATTTTGCGAATTGTCTTTGAAAGACAGGGTCCTGAAAAAGGGACGTTTCTTTTTTTGCTTAGTTTATAAGCTGGAAGTAGAGGCCTAAGCGTTGTTGTTCACTAGTTTACTCCAATTAGGGAAGGGGTGGTGGGGTTGGAAAGTAATAAAGGGAAATATATTTTTAGAAAGGATATGTATGTATATATAGATATATAGATGTATATATATATATATATATATGTATATGTATATACATATATATATACATGTATATATATATGTATATATATATATATATATATGTATATGTGGGGAGAACAAGTGTTTGATACACTGCCAATTTTGCAGGTTTTCCTACTTACAAAGCATGTAGAGGTCTGTAATTTGTATCATAGGTACACTTCAACTGTGAGATCCAGAAAATCACATTGTATGATTTTTAAGTAATTAATTTGCATTTTGTTGCATGACATAAGTATTTGATCACCTACCAACCAGTAAGAATTCCGGCACTCACAGACCTGTTAGTTTTTCTTTAAGAAGCCTGGTTCATCCTTGGGAGCAATTTCCAAACGCCTGAAGGTACCACGTTCATCTGTACAAACAATAGTATGCAAGTATAAACACCATGGGACCACGCAGCCATCATACCGCTCAGGAAGGAGACGCGTTCTGTCTCCTAGAGATGAACGTACTTTGGTACGAAAAGTGAAAATCAATTCCAGAACAACAGCAAAGGACCTTGTGAAGATGCTGGAGGAAACAGGTACAAAAGTATCTATATCCACAGTAAAACAAGTCCTATATCGACATAACCTGAAAGGCCGCTCAGCAAGGAAGAAGCCACTGCTCCAAAACCGCCATAAAAAAGCCAGACTACGGTTTGCAACTGCACATGAGGACAAAGATCGTACTTTTTGTAGAAATGTCCTCTGGTCTGATGAAACAAAAATAGAACTGTTTGGCCATAATGACCATCGTAATGTTTGGAGGAAAAAGGGGGTTCTTGCAAGCCGAAGAACACCATCCCAACGGTGAAGCACGGGGGTGGCAGCATCATGCTGTGGGGGTGCTTTGCTACAGGAGGGACTGGTGCACTTCACAAAATAGATGGCATCATGAGGAAGGAAAGTTATGTGGATAAATTGAAGCAACATCACAAGACATCAGTTAGGAAGTTAAAGCTTGGTCGCAAATGGGTCTTCCAAATGGACAATGACCCCAAGCATACTTCCAAAGTTGTGGCAAAATGGCTTAAGGACAACAAAGTCAAGGTATTGGAGTGGCCATCACAAAGCCCTGACCTCAATCCTATAGAACATTTGTGAGCAGAACTGAAAAAGCTTGTGCGAGCAAGGAGGCCTAAAAACCTGACTCAGTTACACCAACTCTGTCAGGAGGAATGGGCCAAAATTCACCCAACTTATTGTGGGGAGCTTGTGGAAGGCTACCCAAAATGTTTGACCCAAGTTAACCAATTTAAAGGCAATGCTACCAAATACTAATTGAGTGTATGTAAACTTCTGACCCACTGGGAATGTGATGAAAGAAATAAAAGCTGAAATAAATCATTCTCTCTATTATTATTCTGACGTTTCACATTCTTAAAATAAAGTGGTGATCCTAACTGATCCAAGACAGGGAATTTTTACTTGGATTAAATGTCAGGAATTGTGAAAAACGTAGTTTAAATGTATTTGGCTAAGGTGTATGTAAACTTCCGACTTCAACTGTATATAGATATTTATTTGCGAGAAAGAACATGTGGGATTGGAAGTGATGCAGACAATTACATTGATGGAAGTTACCATCTATCAGCAATATTAAAGCTGATCTACCCCCACAAAAAAAAGGTAACACCGGTTGGTCAAACACATGTCAAACACATTTCTATGACTATCATTGTATGTGTCATGTCTCCTCCCATTGCTCCCCGCTGTGATTCGCCGGTCTACTGAGCCACCGGTCTGAGCACACCACCTCGGCAACACCGGAATGGAAACCCAACGCACCCTAATCACCTCCAGTGCAACTGCACCTCATCCTCTCATCACCACCCCTATCGTTTACTCTATCTTTGTTATTTCAATTTCTCATTGTTAAGTAAACCTTGCGTCTGCGTCCTGCCTCTTCGTATACTCAGTACTCGTCACAGTATGCATCGTTTATCAAATGTTATTTGTCTCTGTTGACCAGGTGAAATGCTGTAAATACTGGCCTGATGACAGTGAGATGTATGGAGACATCAAGATCACACTGCTGAAGACGGAAACACTGGCAGAGTACACAGTTCGTACTTTTGCCTTGGAGAGGGTAAGTCCAACCATTCTGTACCTGCACATTTTTGACATTGAGTCTACTTCTATGACCTAATCACATGGCTTTTACTTATACAGGACAAATCCCAGCTATTACTAAGGATCTTTCCCACATTCTTTCCTTATTTTGGTTTCTTATGGCTTCACTGCTCAAACATACCATGATGGCATTGTTTCTTCAGCCAGCGTTTCCAAGCAGTATTCTATTATAGAGAGTCTGTGATGTTTATCAGTCCAACTGAACAGAACCAGCATTCAATCTGTCTCAATTATGAGGTGCTTCTGTTGTGGCTGCATCATACCCAGAGAACATGGATCCACAGAGGCATCTTTGACTCTGTGTGATAAAAGCACTTGGCTGACATATAGCAGCCTGACTAGAGAGAGGTGATAGTAGGAAATAATACTCAGGCTCAATGGTTCTTTCCTCTCCTTTGTTACTGAGTTGGCCCCTGTACCAGTCCCCTCCCCAATACTCATAAACATTGCAGAGACAGCAGCAGTTGGCGTACACTGGTTTGAGTAGACGGTGTCTTACTGCCTGACGATGCATGAATACGATTAGAATAAACAACAGCTCCTGATGTACAGACCGATGTGACTCAGAGACGATGACCATCGAGGGCCCTCGGATTAAAATATGCCTGCAGTGAAAGGATTTAATAACTCAAGCTACTTAAACTCCCGCTCTCTGCCACACTGCTGAGGCGTTGCTGCTTCTTCGATGACAGCGCCTGCGTTTGAAGTGTTCGTTGCTCTCAGTGGGCCATCCTGTCAATCAACGCCAGGGTCTCTCCATGGAACGGCTAAGAGCAACTCTGCGGAGTGACAGTGGCACAAACACAGCATTATCGTTTCACTGTTGCCGCCACTCTCCGTGGGAGCACTACTGTATGGCACTTATCGAGCAGAGATTTTAGGAGAAGTTGACAGTTTGTTTTCACTGCGCCTCGTCTTCTGATTAAATTTTTTTGGGGGTCTCTCTCTATCTCTCTCTCTCTCTTCAAATCTTTGCTTTACTTTGTCAACTCGGCTCAGAGGAGGAAATTGCAGTGATGCGTCTGCCGCCTAGCTCCCCATTGAGCACGAGCCTCCTCAGGCACAGAGTAACAGAGTAAAGCGCTGGCTGTCAGATTGCAGCTGGAGTTAATGTGTCACATCCATGGTGGAGAGTTAAAACACACATGGGGATTCCAGTCCCACAAGACCATGTAGTCCATGCTTCACTGTAGCTGTACCATACTGTAGGTGTACTCAACAATAGTGTCAGTTTGTTGCTGGATCTAAGCTGGATATCTTGACATTTAGAAAAATTGAAAAGCTGAAATGTCTTGAGTCAATATGTATTCAACCCCCTTGTTATGGCAAGCCTGAAGAAGTTCAGGATAAAACATGTATTTCCACAAGTCACATAATACTTTGCATGGACTCACTCTGTGTGCAATAATAGCATTTAACATGATTTCGAATGACTACCTCATCTCTGTACCCCACACATACAATTATCTGTAAGGTCCCTCAGTCGAGCAGTGAATTTCAAACACAGATTCAACCGCAAAGACAAGGGAGGTTTTCCAATGCCCTGCAAAGAAGGGCATCTATTGGTAGAGGGGTCAAAAAAAATAAAAAATAAAAATAAACTAAATATCCCATTGAGCATGGTGAAGTTAATAATTACATCCAGTCACTACAACGATACAGGCGTCCTTCCTAACTCAGTTGCCGGAGAGGAAGGAAACCGCGCAGAGATTTCACCATGATGCCAATGGTCATTTTAAAAGAGTTACAGAGTTTAATGGCTGTGATAGGAGAAAACTGAGGATGGATTTCAAGCATATTGGTGGCTGCGTCATGTTATGGGTATGCTTGTAATCGTTAAGGACTGGGGAGTTTTTCAGTATAAAAAATTAACGGAGTGGAGCTAAACACAGGCAAAATCCTAAAGGAAAACCTGGTTCAGTCTGCTTTCCACCCTTTACATTTACGTCATTTAGCAGACGCTCTTATCCAGAGCGACTTACACCAGACATTAGGAGATGAATTCACCTTTCAGCAGGACAATTTCAGCAGGACAATTTCTCTTCACAACTGGCTATGTGATTATTGCAGCTCAATGGGTTTAACTTTTGTTGACAACTTCGATACCTTTTGGAAACAAAATAATTTTTTAAAGGAGGATGAGATCCACTCAAATCATTTGCGTTCCTGGATCCTTTCACAGCATTATAAGGCTGCGTTGAGACAATGACTTATCAATGACACAAGCCCAGCTTAGTTAATCCCTACCATTGTGATGCTGAGTTGTCATAATGCTTCAGCAAATGTACATTATACCAGGGGCATTGGTAGACACACTGTAAGTAACCTAATTTATGTCCCTCTAACTGCCCTGAATGCCTCTGCTGATCCTAAAGCTATTGTATGCAGTAATCATGTGCCTATGAACCAGATTTATACTGTTAGCACTGAAGCGGTGTGACCTAGTAGGAAGTCCACTGTGTGCAGCTCACCCTGCACTAACATAAATAACATGAGCATATCTACTTCTGCTAAGCTTCCCAGTAAAGCAATGAAAACAAGTACCGTAATTTTCGGACTATAAGCCGCGCCTTTTTTCCAATTTTTCGACCCTAAGGCTTATATAACGGTGCGGCTAATCTATGGATTTTTACAGCTAACGGCCACTAGAAGACCTCCTAAATCTATGGATTTTACAGGTTACAGTCCACCAACTTTAACTCTATGGGCTCTATGACCGGTCCGCGCCCCCCACCTTTAAGCGGCGGGCTCCAGCAGGAAAAGCTGGAGGCCGGAAAAGAGTGAGACAGGTAGCGTGCAAAAGTAAAAGTGGAACCGAGAGTGGTACGAGAGACAGAACGAGAGCAAGACAGACAGACAATACTAGAGCGAGACAGTTTGTGCAAAGGAAGTTTTCATACACAAACCCTCATTATGGAAAACAAACGTAGAAATGCATATGATGCAGCTTTTAAGTTAAAGGCAGTCAATCTGGCTGTCAAAACATCCACGATCATTAACGGGTTCCGAAAGGCTGGACTGCTGCGTGATGAAGAGGAGGACGCCGCCACAGCTGAGGCCCTTCAGAGGCTGTTCGATTCCGACAGTGACGAAGAGGAGTTCGTTGGTTTTGAGAGCGACAACGAAGGAGAGAGGAGTGGCTGACGAAGCCACCCTGATCCTGTTCGTTTCCGACACTGAAGATGAGGACTTTGGTGGTTTTAGTACGCAGGAAGAAGACGGAGATGAGGATTAATGATTTGACTTTTCTGGTTACAGCCGTGTACTGCACCTGAAAAGATGAAGATGAGGATTAATGACTTTTCTGGTAGGCTGATTACCGTATATTTTAAGCAGCCGTGTTGCTGCAACTTTAGGCTTACGCGCTTACTGTCGTGTTACAGGCACTTTATTTTGCACTTTCAAAAAAAAACCACATTTAATTTAGCCATTGATATTGCCTCGTCAAGCGCTGTAAGCTTTGTTTTTTGTTATGGTACTACTGTAGGCTATAATATAGATAAATATTCAAAGATGTGCACACTTTTTCAAGGTTTTTCAAAAATAACCAAAGTTAAGTGGTTAAATGATTGTGACGATATTAACTAATTTTGCTGGGGAACCCCTCAAGTGCTCTCCCTCAAGGACCACTGGTTGAAAACCACTGCTGTAGATCACTGCCGGTATGTGCGCTGGGAGCGCACCGTTTAAGTTTGAAAGTTGAAAAGTTTGTGTGTCTGAAACGCTATGTGATACAGTACAGTTTACACAGCACAGTATATGTTCTGTAGCTACTATTGCACTAAATGGTAACACTTGAATACGTTATGCAAATATGCAACTTGTTTGTTGAAATGTTAATAAATGGGAGCTTCCTCAAGCAGCCATCTCTTTCCCGACAATCCCCTCTGTGCAAGAACCCTTACATATGGTAATTAAACATTAAAACACCTGCGGCTTATAGTCCAGTGCGGCTTATATATGTACACATCATTCAATATCATTCAATTTAGCTGCTGCGGCTTATACTCCGGTGCGCCTTATAGTGCGGAAAATACGGTAAACATCCCGGAAGAGAAGTGCTCAAAATAGCCCACGTTAACATATGTAGCTATCTCTGAAAACTCACTTAGATAATACCTTTGATGACACAGTAGTAGCAATACAAGGTTATAACATTTACAGAAAATACAGAAATGCCAGTGCTGGAGGTTTTGCTGTTTATATTCAGAACCACTTTCCTGTTAGGTTCTAAATAAACAGAGTAAAAACTAACGGACAACTAGTAAAAGCTCAAACCAAGTTTATTCACCCCCTGGGTCACACAGCTGCATAAGACAAAGACATGTTCCCACCAGCTCAAGTATTTATACCCCACTTTAGATGGAGTCTCCTCCTTTTCTCTAAACATGCCATCTTTGTTGCTAGGCAGGAAGTTAAGTGATGTGGGTAATAAACTGTTCCTTCTTCATTCATGTGACCTGACCTGACCTGACCTCGGCCCCCATTCCTCACTAATCCACAGCTATCCACCCTTATCAGTGACCCCACCATATACATTCCTCCTACATATAACCATTAACTGCTGGTGTAGCAAGTTTTTCAAATTACAACCCAACAACTGAAACCAGACTGTGGCCCTTCTCTCCATAGGATACCTAATATCTAGCAATGACATGTTCTGACAGAATATAAACTTTCTGCATTCTCCCCTCTCCCTCAGTAACATGGATAAGGATATTTCAAGTTTAGAAGTCAGAACCCATCACTTAGAGGATTTCATGTTAAATACTATTGAAGTAATATGGCTACAGGTTCATCTGCCTCACCGAAAGCCCATTCTTGTGGGAAGCTGCTATAGACCACCAAGTGCTAACAGTCAGTATCTGGATAACGTGTGAAATCCTTGATAATGTATGTGATATCAACAGAGAGGTATATTTTCTGGGTGATTTTAAATATTGACTGGCTTTCATCAAGCCGCCCACTCAAGAAAAAGCTTCAAACTGTAACCAGTGCCTGCAACCTGGTTCAGGTTATCAGTCAACCTACCAGAGTAGTTATAAACAGCACAGGAATTAAATTATCAACACGTACTGATCACATCTTTACTAATGCTGCAGAAATGTCATTTAAAGCAGTATCCAAATCCATAGGATGTAGTGATCACAATATAGTTGCCATATCTAGGAAAACCAAGGTTCCAAAGGCTGGGCCAAATATAGTGTATAAGAGGTCATACAATAAGTTTTGTAGTGATTCCTATGTTGTGTATGTAAATAATATTTGTTGGTCCGTGGTGTGTAATGAGGAGCAAACAGACACTGCACTTGACACATTTATGAAATTGCTCTTTCCAGTTACTAATAAGCCTGTACCCATTAAGAAAATGACTGTAAAAACTTAAATCCCTGTGGCTTGATGAGGAATTGAAAAGTTGTATGGTTGAGAGGGATGAGGCAAAAGGAATGACAAATAAGTCTGGCTGCACAACCGATTGGCAAACATATTGCAAATTGAGAAATTATGTGACTAAACTGAATAAAAAGAAGAAGAAATTACACAATAGAACAAAGGTAAATTACATAAAGAATTATAGTAAAAAGCTTTGGAGCACCTTAAATGAAATTTTGGGGAAAAAAGCAAACTCAACTCCATCATTCATTGAATCTCATAGCTCATTCATCACAAAACCGACTGATATTGCTGCATACTTTAATGACTTTTTCATTGGCAAGATTAGCACACTTAGGCATGACATGCCAGCAACAAACGCTGACACTACACATCCAAGTATATCTGACCAAACTATGAAAGACAAGCATTGTAATTTTGAATTCCGTAAAGTGAGTGTGGAAGAGGTGAAAAAATGATTGTTGTCTATCAAGAATGACAAGCCACCAGGGTCTGACAACTCGAATAGAAAATTACTAATAGCGGACTATATTGCCACTCCTATTTGCCATATTTTCAATTTAAGCCTACTAGAATGTGTACCCCCGGGCTTGGAGGGAAGCAAAAGTCATTCCACTAACCAAGAATAGTAAAGCCCCCTTTACTTGCTCAAAAAGCCGACCAATCAGCCTGTTACCAACCCTTAGTATGTTTGGAAAAAATTGTGTTTGACCAGATACAATGCTATTTTACAGTAAACAAATTCACAACAGACTTTCAGCATGCTTATAGGGAAGGACATTCAACACGCACAGCACTTACACAAATGACTGATGATTGGCTGAGAGAAATTGATGATAAAAAGATTGTGCGGCTTTTGACATTATCTTTGAGTAAAGCCAGTGTGGCTATGTATGCGGATGACTCAACACTATACACGTCAGCTACTACAGCGACTGAAATGACTGCAACACTTAACAAAGAGCTGCAGTTAGTTTCAGAGTGGGTGGCAAGGAATAAGTTAGTCCTAAATATTTCTAAAACTAAAAGCATTGTATTTGGGACAAATCATTCACTAATACCTGAACTAAATCTTGTAATGAATAATGTGGAAATTGAGCAAGTGGAGGTGACTAAACTGCTTGGAGTAACCCTGGATTGTAAACTGCCAAGGTCAAAACATATTGATACAACAGTAGCTAAAATGGGGAAAAGTCTGTCCATAATAAAGCGCTGCTCTACCTTCTTAACAGCATTATCAACAAGGCAGGCCCTAGTTTTGTCGCACCTGGACTACTGTTCAGTCGTGTGGTCAGGTGCCACGAAAAGGGACTCAGGAAAATTGCAATTGGCTCAGAATAGGGCAGCACGGCCTTGGATGTACACAGAGAGCTAACATCAATAATATGCATGTGAATCTCTCCTGGCTCAAAGTAGAGGAAAGATTGTCTTCATCACTACTTGTATTTGTGAGAGGTATTGACATGTTGAATACAACGAGCTGTCTGTTTGAACTGCTGGGGCACAGCTCGGACACCCATGCATACCCCACAAGCGGTCTCTTCACAGTCCCCAAGTCCAGAACAGAATATGGGAAATGGTAGGCGCACAGTACTACATAGAGCCATGACTACATAGAACTCTATTCCACATCAAGTAACTGATGCAAGCAGTGAAATTAGATTTTAAAAAACATGGAACAGCGGGGACTGTGAAGCAACACAAACAGGCACACACACACGATAACATACGCACTTGTCACGTTGTATAATGATAGAAGACAGGCGCAGTAATACATAATAGTTTTTTTTATTTCTCTACCAAACATAAGGTACGTCATGAAAAACACAGGGATGTAACCCAAAGAAAAGAGTGAGGTGTAAACCTCTAAAAAATACACGGGACGAGACCCGTAATAACAAGTGCACAATTACACGGTATGTAAACCATAATACAATGTACACTAACACTTAGCACGAAAGCTGATGCAACAGAGCACAGGTACTCACGAGACCAACGGACATGGGACAATAATCGACAAGGACAATGGGGAACAGAGAGCACATATATACACATACTAATCAGGGGGAATGGGAAGCAGGTGTGCGTAATGAGACAAGACAGTCCGGAGTTGGTGGTAATGATCCAGGTCAGTGACGCCTAGAAGGTCGGTGACGTAGACCTCTGGAGCTGGTGAACGGAATGAGCAGCAGTACCGGGGGGGATCTGTGACAGCACTATCCCCCTTGGTGTTTTTCCTATTTTGTTGCATTACAACCTGTAATTTAAATATATTTTTATTTGGATTTCATGTAATGGACATACACAAAATAGTCCAAATTGGTGAAATGAAATGTAAAAAATAACTTGTTAAAAAATATATCAAAATAATAAATAACGGAAAAGTGGTGCGTGCATATGTATTCACCCCCTTTGCCATGAAGCCCCTAAATAAGATCTGGTGCAACCAATTACCTTCAGAAGTCACATAATTAGTTAAATAAAGTCCACCTGTGTGCAATCTGTGTCATATGATCTGTCACATGATCTCAGTATATATGCACCTGTTCTGAAAGGCCCCAGAGTCTGCAACACCACTAAGCAAGGGGCACCACCAAGCAAGCGGCACCATGAAGACCAAGGAGCTCTCTAAACAGGTCAGGGACAAAGTTGTGGAGAAGTACAGATCAGGGTTGGGTTATAAAAAAATATCAGAAACTTTGAACATCCCACGGAGCACCATTAAATCCATTATTAAAAATTGGAAAGAATATGGCACCACAACAAACCTGCCAAGAGAGGCCCGCCCACCAAAACTCACGGACCAGGCAAGGAGGGCATTAATCAGAAAGGCAACAATGAGACCAAAGATAACCCTGAAGGAGCTGCGAAGCTCCACAGCGGAGATTCGAGTATCTGTCCATAGGACCACTTTAAGCCGTACACTCTACAGAGCTGAGCTTTACGGAAGAGTGGCCAGAAAAAAAGCCATTACTTAAAGAAAAAATAAGCAAACACATTTGGTGTTCGCCAAAATGCATGTGGGAGACTCCCCAAACATATGGAAGATGGAACTCTGGTCAGATGAGACTAAAATTGAGCTTTTTGGCCATCAAGAAAAACACTATCTCTGGCGCAAACCCAACACCTCATCACCCTGAGAACACCATCCCCACAGTGAAGCATGGTGGTGGCAGCATCATGCTGTGGGGATGGTTTTCATCGGCAGGGACTGGGAAACTATTCAGAACTGAAGGAATGATGGATGGCACTAAATACAGGGAAAGTCTTGAGGGAAACCGGTTTCAGTCTTCCAGAGATTTGAGACTGGGATGGAGTTTCACCTTCCAGCAGGACAATGACCCTAAGCATACTGCTAAAGCAACACTTGAGTGGTTTAAGGGGAAACATTTAAATGTCTTGGAATGGCCTAGTCAAAGCCCAGACCTCAATCCAATTGAGAATCTGTGGTATGACTTAAAGACTGCTGTACACCAGCGGAACCCATCCAACTTGAAGGAGCTGGAGCAGTTTTGCCTTGAATAATGGGCAAAAATCCCAGTTGCTAGATGTGCCAAGCTCATATAGACATACCCCAAGAGACTTGCAGCTGTAATACCTGCAAAAATTTGGTCTACAAAGTATTAACTTTGGGGGGGTGAATAGTTATGCACGCTCAGTTTTTCTGTTTTTTTTGTCTAATTTCTTGTTTGTTTCACAAGAAAAATATTTTGCATTTTCAAAGTGGTAGGCATGTTGTGTATATCAAATGATACAAACCCCCCCAAAATCCATTTTAATTCAAGGTTGTAAGGCAACAAAATAGGAAAAATACCAAGGTGGGTGAATACTTTTGCAAGCCACTGTACACATGGATTTTGTATTGTAGATATGTGGTTGTGGTGGAGTAGGGGCCTGAGGGCACACAGTGTGTTGTGAAATCTGTGAATGTACTGTTATGTTTTTAAAATTGTATAACTGCCTTAATTTTGCTGGACCCCAGGAAGAGTAGCTGTCACCTTGGTAGCAGCTAATGGGGATCCATACTAAATACAAATACAAAGCTAAAACAAATGGCCAAATCTACACTGGAGTTGCTTACCAAGAAGGCAGTGAATGTTCCTGCGTGGCAGTGTTACAGTTTTGACTTAAATCTACTTGAAAATCTATGGCAAGACCTGAAAATGGTTGTCTAGCAATGATCAACAACCAATTTGACAGAGCTTGAAGAATTTTGAAAAGAATAATGGGCAAATGTTGCACAATCCAAGTGTGCAAAGCTCTTAGAGACTTACCCAGAAAAACTCACACCTGTAATCACTGCCAAAGGTGCTCCTACAAAGTATTGACAGGGGTGTGAATACTTATGTAAATTAGATATCTGTTTTGCATTTTCAATACATTTGCTAACATTTCTAAAAACATGTTTTCACTTTGGCATTATGGGTATTATGTGTAGACTCTGTAACTCATGTAATCTTCTTTTTATTCTTCTTCTGATGCTGTGTTTCCACAGAGGGGCTACTCAGCTAAACACGAGGTGCGTCAGTTCCACTTCACGTCCTGGCCGGATCATGGGGTTCCCTACCACGCCACAGGCCTGCTGGCCTTCATACGGCGGGTCAAAGCATCCACGCCCCACGATGCCGGACCTGTGGTCGTCCACTGCAGGTCAATGCACACTGCACTACACCACTTCCTGCTAGCTGTCAATGCTCATGCAACCATTACTACTTTGTGTTTTCAAAGCTTTAATGCTTAGTCCCAGTGGGCAAAACTGGTTTAAATGACGTCATTATAATCAGTTTTACATTCGTTATGAGCCCTGATTGTATTATTTTAATGTCACCCAAGGAAAGAGAGCCAAGAGTTGCTTTCGACCCTTATCTGAATGCTTTTATTACAGTATTGTATGTGAAGGCTTATCCTAAAGGGTCAAAGGTCAGTGAGAGTGACATGTTGTTCTCCCTGTGTCAGTGTGGGGGCAGGACGCACAGGCTGCTACATCGTGCTGGACGTCATGCTGGACATGGCCGAGTGTGAGGGCGTGGTGGACATCTACAACTGTGTCAAAACCCTCTGCTCACGACGCATTAACATGATCCAGACAGAGGTGAGTGGGCTGGCCACCCGCCCAATCAAGCATCCCAACCTACAGTATATTTCAGTGGGGGAAGATAAAAGGAGTCACACCACTCTGGTCTCCTGTATTGTGTTTGGGGAACTCAGAGAGAGTGAGGGGATTATTTTAGCCTAGCTCCCCCACGGGGACTTGTGTATAGGTCGATGGTTTCCGAGATGCGAAGGCTTACATTGTCTCAGTGCCTCGCAGAATCACATGGCTTTTCTTTCGATGATATAGCATATCTTAACCTTATTATGTAAATCCAATATTGGTTTAGCTGTTTATTACATTTGTAGTTATTTGCAGGGGTGCTCTAATTAAATATATACACTGCAAGTGTTTGTTTATTTAGACGTATTTATTCAGTCTCCCACCGCTCTTTGATACACTGTACAAGATTATAGCTTATGTTTAATTCACATCATGGCAGGTAGTGAGATTTCTCTCTCGCCACCCCTCCACACCTCGTACTCTTTCTTTGTGATATCATCCTATGTTCTTCATGTTCTTACTCTCTCTGTTCTGTTGTTCTCTCTCGCTCTCTCTCTCTCTCTCTCCATACCCCCCTCTCTCTCCCCCCTTTCTCTCTCTCTCTCTCCACACCCCCCTCTCTCTCCCCCCCTTCTCTCTCTGCAGGAGCAGTACATATTCATCCATGATGCCATCCTGGAGGCTTGTCTGTGTGGAGAGACGGCCATCTTGGTGAATGAGTTTGCCCTCACCTACAAAGACATGCTGCGGGTGGACTCTCAGAGCAACTCCTCCCAGCTACGAGAAGAGTTCCAGGTCAGTCACACACCGGAATGAAATAATACGCCTTCTGTTTTGTTGTGAAATACTATATGTTTTCAGTGACTTCCCAGAAAAGGTTAATGCACAACAACAACTTGATATTCAAGTACAGGTTTCAGAAAAACAAATAATATTTGAAAGTATTTTGAATACAGTACCAGTCAAAAGTTTGGAGACACCTACTCATTCCAGGGTTTTTCTTTATTTTTACTATTTTCTACATTGTAGAATAATCGTGAAGATATCAAAACTATGAAATAACACATGGAATCATGTAGTTACCAAAAAAGTGTTAAACAAATCAAAATATATTTGAGATTCTTCAAAGTAGCCACCCTTTGCCTTGATGACAGCTTTGCACACTCTTGGCATTCTCACAACCAGCTTCATAAGGTAGTCACCTGAAATGCATTTCAATTAAAAGTTAATTTGTGTAATTTTTTTCCTTCTTAATGCGTTTGAGCCAAACAGTTGTGTTGTGACAAGGTAGGGGTGGTATACAGAAGATAGCTCTATTTGGAAAAAGACCAAGTCCATATTATGGCAAGAACAGCTCAAATAAGCAAAGAGAAAACACAGTTCATCATTACTTTAAGACATGAAGATCAGTCAATCCGGAAAATTTCAAGAACTTTGAAAGTTTCTTCAAGTGCAGTCGCAAAAACCATCAAGCGCTATGATGAAACTGGGTCTCATGAGGACCGCCACAGGAAAGGAAGACCCAGAGTTACCTCTGCTGCAGCGGATAAATTCGTTAGAGTTAACTGCACCTCAGATTGCAGCCCAAATAAATGCTTCACAGAGTTCAAGTAACAGGCACATCTCAACATCAACTGTTCAGAGGAGACTGTGTGAATCAGGTCTTCATGGTCGAATTGCTGCAAAGAAACCACTACTAAAGGACACCAATAATAGGAAGAGACTTGCTAGGGCCAATAAACACAAGCAATGGACATTAGACCGGTGGAAATCTGTCGTTTGGTCTGATGAGTCCAAATGTGAGATTTTGTGTCTTTGTGAGACGCAGAGTAGGTGAACGGATGATCTCCGCATGTGTGGTTACCACCGTGAAGCATGGAGGAGGAGGTGTGATGGTGTGGGGGTGCTGTACTGGTGACACTGTCTGTGATTTATTTAGAATTCAAGGCACACTTAACCAGCATGGCTACCACTGCATTCTGCAGCAATACACCATCCCATCAGGTTTGTGCTTAGTGGGACTGTCATTTGTTTTTCAACAGGACAATGACCCAAAACACACCTCAAGGCTCTGTACGGGCTATTTGACCAAGAAAGAGAGTGATTGAGTGCTACATCAGATGACCTGGCCTCCATAATCACCCAACCTCAACCTAATTAAGATGGTTTGGGATGAGTTGGACCACAGAGTGAAGGAAACGCAGCGTGCTCAGCATATGTGGTAACTCTGTTTGAAAAGCATTCCTCATGAAGCTGGTTGAGAGAATGCCAAGAGTGTGCAAAGCTGTCATCAAGGCAAAGCGTGGCTACTTTGAAGAATCTCAAATCTCAAATATATTTTTAATTGTTTAACACTTTTTTTGGTTACTACATGATGCCATATGTGTTATTTCATCGTTTTGATGTCTTCACTATTATTCTACAATGTAGTAATAGTAAAAATAAAGAAAAACCCTTGAATGAACTTTTGAACGGTACTGTATGTTTCAGAAAACCATTAAAATATATATATACAGTGAGGGAAAAAAATATTTGATCCCCTGCTGATTTTGTACGTTTGCCCACTGACAAAGAAATTATCAGGGAATGCTCCTAATCTCAGCTTGTTACCTGTATAAAAGACCCCTGTCCACAGAAGAAATCAGTCAATCAGATTCCAAACTCTCCAGCATGGCCAAGACCAAAGAGCTCTCCAAGGATGTCAGGGACAAGATTGTAGACCTACACAAGGCTGGAATGGGCTACAACATCATCGGCAAGCAGCTTGGTGAGACAACAGTTGGTGCGATTATTCGCAAATGGAAGAAACACAAAATAACTGTCAGTCTCCCTCGGCCTGGTGCTCCATGCAAGATCTCACCTCGTGGAGTTGCAATGATCATGAGAACGATGAGGAATCAGCCCAGAACTACACGGGAGGATCTTGTCAATGATCTCAAGGCAGCTGGGACCATAGTCACCAAGAAAACAATTGGTAACACACTACGCCATGAATGACTGAAATCCTGCAGCGCCCGCAAGGTCCCCCTGCTCAAGTAAGCACATATACAGGGCCGTCTGAAGTTTGCCAATGAACATCTGAATGATTCAGAGGAGAACTGGGTGAAAGTGTTGTGGTCAGATGAGACCAAAATCGAGCTCTTTGGCATCAACTCAACTCGCCATGTTTTGAGGAGGAGGAATGCTGCCTATGACCCCAAGAACACCATCCCCACTGTCACTGGCTATAAGGTGAATGCACCAATTTGTAAGTCGCTCTGGATAAGAGCATCTGCTAAATGACGTAAATGTAAATGTCAACCATGGAGGTGGAAACATTATGCTTTGGGGGTGTTTTTCTGCTAAGGGGACAGGAAAAATTCACTGCATCAAAAGGAACGATGGACGGGGCCATGTACCGTCAAATCTTGGGTGACAACCTCCTTCCCTCAGTCAGGGCATTGAAAATGGGTCATGGATGGGTATTCCAGCATGACAATGACCCAAAACACACGGCCAAGGCAACAAAGGAGTGGCTCAAGAAGAAGCACATTAAGGTCCTGGAGTGGCCTAGCCAGTCTCCAGACTTTAATCCCATAGAAAATATGTAGAGGGAGCTGAAGGTTCGAGTTGCCAAACGTCAGCCTCGAAACCTTAATGACTTGGAGAAGATCTGCAAAGAGGAGTGGAACAAAATCCCTCCTGAGATGTGTGCAAACCTGGTGGCCAACTACAAGAAACGTCTGACCTCTGTGGTTGCCAACAAGGGTTTTGTCACAAAGTACAAAGTCATGTTTTGCAGAGGGGTCAAATACTTATTTCCCTCATTAAAATGCAAATCAATTTATAACATTTTTGACATGGGTTTTTCTGGATTTTTTGTTGTTATTCTGTCTCTCACTGTTCAAATAAACCTACAATTAAAATTATAGACTGATCATGTCTTTGTCAGTGGGCAAACGTACAAAATCAGCAGGGGATCAAATACTTTTTTCCTCACTGTATATATGAATATATGCAAGTTATTTAAACACAAAAATACTATGATTTGATGACTGCCAAACATTTGATGAAGACTAAAACACTTACTGTAAAACTTCAATTAAACGCAGTCTCAAATAGCTGCCTGTCACTTTTAATAGCATGGCAACGACACACATATCAGCAAATAAACGCTGCTTCAAATAAACGTGTCTAAATTAATTGTTTATGAGGTTATCATGAATTACCATGAATTGTTTAAGAGGTTTAATTTTTGATTTGTTACATTACATAATTCAGTAATGATTCGAAAAAATTATCGCAATCATAAATTTTTAGCGCCAGTATGAAACTGCTAGCCATTGGCTGCTAACAGCTGAAATTGTCAACAACTTTGGGAGTACAGACCCCCAGAAATCGGCTGATCACCATCTGTTGTTTTTGTTTATAGAGGCATACTAAAGCAAAAGAAACGTGACCGTATGTAAATGATAACACATTAGTGCAGGAAATGAAAAAAGGGATTAAAATGCTGGAAATTAATGCTGAAATTAAACAATTAACTATGCAAATCAGTAAAAATGGTGTGCATTAAGGAAATAGAAATCTGGCTCAAATAGAAGCCTTTCTCTGATAAGCGCCTGTTGTGTTCAGTGATTTTAATAAATTTTTATTTATTTTATTTAACCTTTATTTAACTAAGCAAGTCAGTTAAGAACAAATTCTTATTTACAATGACGACCTACCCCGGCAAAACCCGGACGACGCTGGGCCAATTATGTGCCGCCCTATGGGACTCCCAATCACGGCCGGATTGTGATACAGCCTGGAATCAAACCAGGGTCTGTAGTGACGCCTCTAGCACTGAGATGCAGTGCCTTAGACCGCTGCGCCACTCGGGAGCCAAATAAATGCCTGGGATATTGATTGAAGTTTTACGGTAGTTGAATTAGTATAAATATATGATCATAAGCACATGGTTTGGAGGGCTCTTAGATATGAATCTTAATATAGCCTATAGCTAGAATAAAATACATGAGGGCCATTAGAGTAGACCACTTTTGCAGCTTCAAAATGACTAACACATATATGAGTGAGACATAAAGTAATATATTAACTTTGTGATTATTACAATAGCAACATTGTTGTTACATAGGACTTTGGAAATTGCTTTATAAATTGCATAATAATGGAATTATTACACAAGTGGAATAAGGAACAGTCCCTATTCCTCGTGTACAGTAGTGACAAAAACTCTCAGCTCATTGCTCTGCAATTAAAATACAATTACCAAAGTATTATGTAACAACATGCTAATAGCTAGGAAAGTGTATAAGAGGTCATACAATACGTTTTGTAGTGATTCTTATGTTTATGATGTAAATAATATTTGCTGGTCTGTGGTGTGTAATGAGGAGCAGCCAGACGCTGCACTTGACATATTTATGAAATTGCTTATTCCAGTTACTAATAAGAACGCACCCATTACGAAAATGACTGTAAAAACTGTAAAATCCCCTTGGATTGATCAGGAATTGAAAAATAGTCTGGTTGAGAGGGATAAGACAAAAGGAATGGCAAATAAGTCTGGCTAAACAACCGATTGGCAAAGGTACTGCAAATTGAGAAATCATGTGACTAAACTGAATATAAAGAAGAATAAACTACACTATGAAAGAAAGATAAATGAGATAAAGAATTATAGTAAAAAGCTTTGGAGCAACTTAAATGAAATTTTGGGCAAGAAGGCAAACTCGACTCCATCATTCATTGAATCAAATGGATCATTCATCACAAAACCCACTGATATTGCCAACTACTTTAATGATTTT